TATCTCAACCGGGGTCGTTCAGCGCCTACTCGCATACAGGCTCTTGCGATGGTCATCGAGATATACGATTTCCTCTGCCTTGTACGGGATCTTGTAGAGGAGGAGAGTATCTTCGATCTCGTCAAGCGAGTACTATCCGGCATGTCCGTGGAGACCGATGCCGTTGTCCTACAGGAAACCGTCACCTTTATAGTGAGAGTCGCCGAAACAGCCGGAGCAGAACAATTTGACTTCATATTGGACACTTTCAAGAACATAGTCTGCAAAGAGGTCGAAGAGTCAAACCCCTCGACATCAGTGCAAAAGCCTACCGGTGCACAGTCGATCTCTGATCAGCCTATTGAGGTTGGCGGTCAATCCTTACCCAACGTTGTCACGAAAGGTTATGTCCGGATGTTCATGAGGTCTATGGATACCGATGCTTCGAAAGCAGTCAAAACGTTCAATGCCCTTATTTACATCGCAGGCTCAGCCACCTGTGAAACAGATGCTCGCTTGACGGCGATGAAGCTGTTATTTCGCCTCAGAGCTGATTTTGAGTATCGCGTTTACGTGACTTCTCATGTTGAAAATGAAAGCATTGCTGCTACTCTTTACAGAACCGATGCGTCGTTTGCGCGTAAGACAGCCGAAGACGCAGCTCATCCACCCCGCGTTCCAAGGCTAGATCAATCCGGGTCCCCTCGACCACCGATTCGGGGTGCATCATATACGCCGGGGCAGACAGTGGAGAGGTCGGGGCCGATCAGACCTTTGCACCAACCTAGGCAAATACCATACCAAGGGCAGCGATTATGGTGCCTACCCGATCCAGAAGCCGTACCCGAGACTCCTCGAAGTACGCCAAGCCATCTCGTCTTTTCGTATACCGAAGGCGCGGACGGTGAGGCATCCACGAAAGCCTCGAACGCGGTTTTGAAGATGAGTTCATGGTTAAATACCCTGCTCAACATCTTCCATCAGGGATCCGATTGGGAGATTTATAGCTTTATCCTTGCGCATCTGCCGGCACAGCTCAGTGATCACCCAATTTTCCAGGATGCTATCCCACAGTTGCAAGAACTGCGAGGACACATTTGCGAGGTAATCAGGACCAGCCGTTTCCAAGAGCCACCGCTTGTTTCAGGTCTACGACGTCCAGATGTCGCCAACTGCCTGTTCCACTCGCTCACCATGATCGTCAGCTACCATCAGCACTTCCAGAAACTCGACGAGGACGAAATCGTGAGAGCCTTCTTGCATGGCATTGCGGACAAGACGGCAAAGACTTGTATACACGGCTTGTCGATCTGCTGTTACGAGCTTCCCTTATCAGTGAGCAAATCTCTTGACATGATTCTCACAAGGATGTCACAAGTCATCACGCAACCTTTTGTGGCGATGCATTTGCTCGAATTTCTGGCATGTCTCAGTCGATTGCCTGCTCTTTATTCAAACTTCCGAGACGATGACTACCGCGTCGTCTTTGGCATTTGCTTTCGGTATCTTCAGTACGTCCGGGACAAGAAGCATCACGCTCGTAGCACGACGCACATGAGCGAGCCTTCAACGCCCAACATCGTTGTATCCGGTAGTCCGGACTTCCTTGCCTTACAGGCCATTACGGATGACCTCCCCCAGTACGTGTACGCGCTTGCGTATCATGTCATTACGTTCTGGTTCTTGGCAGTCAAGATGCCCGATCGTCTTGGCCATATCAGCTGGATTGCCAAAAACTTGTTTACCGACGTTGATGGTAGCGCCAGTAATGAGGAGCAAGCACAGATCACTCTCGACTTCATGCAGCGTGTGGCATTCTCGGATGCAAGCGACTCAGCGCACGATCCTTTGTTTAATAGGGAAAACTTTGGTGAGATTCAACAAAAACGATGGATTATTGGAAACAGCATCGTCACGGTCAAACAAGCCAAGGAGTCAGGCTGGGCTGAGATCACAAGGCGCTACCCTTCAGGAACATCGTCATATGCGGTTCGCGTCGAGTTCACTCCGATGACGGCCCCGCGAACTGCTGATAGCTCCGACGATGCAGCCTGGGATGGACGTTTCCAAATGGGCACGACTCTGCTCCCCAGCCACGTCTTCCTGCAGCTCTTGGCTCCAATGCCACAGATGTCTGATCCAGCAGCACGTCCTGTCCCTTACCGGATGAAGAAGCGGTCGATCGAGCTATCCGTCTTTTTGACAGAAACTCGGCCGTCGATGGACACAAGGTCGGAGTGATTTACATCGGTGAAGGGCAGACGGATGAAGTTGAGATACTTGCCAACACTATCGGTGGACCAGATTACCACGAATTCCTCGACGGCCTTGGCGTCTTGACGCGGCTTAAGGGGGCGAACTTCAACACCCAGGGTCTGGACCGGGAATACGGCACGGACGGCGAATACACGTATTGTTGGCGCGACAGAGTGTCGGAGATCATATTCCATGTGATCACGCAAATGCCCACAGACCTGGAACGCGACCCCCGGTGCACGGCCAAGAAACGGCACATAGGCAACGACTTTGTCAACATCGTGTTCAATGATTCTGGGTTGCCCTTCAAGTTCGACACGTTCCCTTCTCAGTTCAACTACGTATACATCGTGATCACGCCCACTCCGCGCCACTCATTTGCTTCAGCAAGGCTGAGGGCAAAGCAGCGGGAGGAGGAGGGCAGGAAGGCCGAAACGCCCTTCTATATGGTGCAGGTTATGAGCCAGCCAGGTTTCCCGGAGATCTCGCCAGCCGCCGAACCCAAGGTGGTCAGTCTCACGGCCCTTCCAACATTTGTCCGCCTGCTCGCGCTCAATGCCTCGGTCTTCTCGCAAATCTGGGCCACCAGGGAGGTCGGTGAACACGTCTCGTCTTGGCGCAACCGCCTGCGAGAGATCAACAGACTGCGCGAGCGCTACGGCGGCATAAAGTCAGCTCAGCAGGGACAGCCAAACCCGTCTCCGCCGCCTAACATGCTTGGCGGAGGCGGCAGCGGACTGGGCTCCTCTGTGGTGACTTCCCCTATGACTTCCGGTGGTCCAGGAGGGGGCATAACGCAGCACTCTGGATTGCTCGGACAGGATATTGGCGCATCGAGACCGGTAAACGCCGTCAGGGACAGCTTCACAAGCTTGCGCAGGTCGAGCGTGGCCACGTTCTTTACGAATAATAGCGCGGCGGACCCGACCTCGCATCGGTCATCGATGATGTCGACTACCACGGCTGATACGGAGGTCATGTTCCCGGCCCATGGAGCGGATGCTCTGATTGAGAGTGTTGATTTCTCCAAGTGGACATGAACTGAAGTGACGCTCGTTGGCTCTGCATAAAGGAGCAAAAAAGAGGAAGAAGAAGAATAACCGACATATAATGGCTAATATTGGTTACAAACAGAGGGGGGATATGGGCAGAGCACACCAAAGTCGGAAAAGCAATGCATTTGATAAAAGAATGAGAAAAGAGATTCTACAGATTGGGTGGATGAAATGATTGGATGGGGTATGTATAGAAAGAGAAGGCGGCAGTCTGTCTTTGTAAGGGGGGCGAAACAAAAGCAAAAATCCCGGTGTGTGTAGAGGTATATGTGGACAGAAAGACAAAAGTTCGGTGAGGGGAGGGAGAGTGTAAAATGCGGAAGAGGATTCAAAATGGTGTGGTTAGCAGCACTTGCTTGGAACCATGAGACACGACGGAAGGCAAGGTGGTATGTGGATAATGAGTAGGTTGAGGTTACCAACCTTTTAAGGATAGGCAGCCTACGAGTCAATCACTAAAAGTTGTTGTCTCCTCAGTCTGTGTTCACAGACAAATTTTGCAAGGTGAGAGTAGCCAGATAGTTGATGGAAGGTACAACTGTAGTGCAGTTACTTGCCGTTTGCTCCTTCTGCTTTCTGTCACCCTGGCATGGTGATATCGTACACTTGGAAGGAGCTACCGTCAGGAGACTTTTTTTTTTTTCACCCTCAAGGGTGGCAGTCACTCCCACTTCTCTCTCTGGCTCCTCCTCTTCCCCTCTCTTCGGGGTTTTTTTTTTTTTTTTTCGCTTTCTTTTTATCATCTTCTTATACAATTTAATTGTCTTTTCGCTTTTCCTCCAGATTTATTTCTGGACCTCTCATCATCTTTTTACCTCGAGCTCGTAGTACCTGAGCTCAACAAGAAGTGATTAGTGCCACACGCGATTTGTCATTCATCGGCTGTTTTTCCCGTCTTGCTCATGAAGTTTGGCCATCTCACATACCACCGTTTTCTCTCTCTCCAAAGGCCACTGGGCTTCCGCAATGGGCATCGTGGTAGAACGCATGGTACAGCTCGAATGGTGGTGCGACCAACTGTACCTAAGTAGTAAGATTGCAGCCTAATGCTCCACTTCCCTGCCTTACATCTATCTAACACACTTATGGTATGCTCTCTCTTTAACTTCCTACAAAGGCAGCAAACCACATACCTGGGTTATCACTCGAGTGCCAGCAGACGTCCCCCATCATATCTCCATGATTAAGCCGACATGAGGTGCGAACATTGCCTCAATCTTCAGTATTACGATGGCGAACCATTCGACGGGAGAGAAGTCCTTACGGAGGGAAGGAGACACAGAAGGAAGTTTCTGAGGGAATATCAAGGTTCGGCCGAGAATGGATGCCGTTACTGCAAGTTCATTGTGGATTCCATATCAGACGTAAGCCCGGAGGCTGATGGAAACTTGTTCATATGGCTGGAACTCTTATCAAATGGCGGCGTGCGGATTGAGCGGGTGTCGGAATCTGAGCCGGAGATATCTTTGCAGGTTCACACTCCTATCGGTTAGTCGAGATTTAAACACAGGGAATATCTATCACAAGAAAGGATCGCTAATGATACTACTGCTAGGTCACCTACCTGCTTGGCCGGGGATCACCCAAAGTGGTGAGCTCAGCTGCTCTCCGTCTTCGACTCGGGCGTTTGAGTTTATACGGGCACGGCTTGAGGATTGTGACAACAACCATCAAAGTTGCAAGGCCTCGTCATCAGAGCTACCTACTCGGATGATTGATGTTGGTATTGGTGGGTCAGCAGGCGCCGACTATGTACGGCTTGTGGAAAGTTCATCACTACCTCGGTCTCCTCGTGTCACCTACGTAGCACTTAGCTATTGTTGGGGCCTAGGACAGAGTGTGACGACGGTATCGACCAACTACGAAGCTATGAAACAAGGCATCCATATATCCGAGCTCCCACCCACCATACGAGACGCCATCACAGTTACTAGAAACATGGGCGAGCGCTATCTGTGGATTGATGCCCTGTGCATTATTCAAGATTCATCAACCGACTGGGAGCTCGAATCTGCTCGAATGGCGTCGGTCTACCAAAACGCATATATTACCGTTGCTGCGGGAACTGCTGCTGCTGCGTCAGAGGGCTTTCTTGAGTTAAGACAGCACCTGGCGGCGAGGTCTACGAATGCGTACCAAGCTGAATGGGAAGCCGGTATCAACTCGGATGACCGGTCATCACAGCCGCAGAAGACCATCCTTGCCGCTCGCGTGATACCCTACAGCACATTCCACAGCATGTTCATGGTCGCTGATGGATTGCCCTTGAACACGCGCGGGTGGACAATGCAAGAGAAGATACTATCGAGAAGAGTCATAACCTACACCACGCACGAGCTTCAATGGACATGCCAGTCACTGAGCACCTGCGAGTGCGGCTACTTGTTGGACTCCAGTGAGCGCGGCGATACTATCACAGTCAACCCAACTTTAAATCGCCGTGAAGCTTCTTACGAATGGGCCAAGATCGTCAAAAAATACAGCAGCCGGTCTTTAACCTACCTCCAAGACAAGCTCCCCGCCATCTCCGGAGTAGCGCATTCATTTCAGAGTATACTCCAGTCACCCTACCTCGGCGGTCACTGGGTGAACAATCTCCCCGAAGAGCTAGCATGGAAAGCCTACCCGCCGCATGTGCATTCATCTGACACCGTCTTAGACGACGACAGTGACACTGCATCGCAACCGCAATACATAGCCCCTACATTCTGTTGGCCGTCGATAAGAAAGGGGTCTGTGGAGTGTGTTTATCTCCAGCAGCAATCCCGCACATGGAGACCATGCAGCACCGTTCAAGGTTTTCACTCTGAGGTCCTAGGTGAAAATCCTCTAGGTCGGATTAACAACGGCGCGTGGATTTCTCTTCGCGGTCATCTCGTAAAGGCACAGTTAACCATCAAGCGCTTCCCCGGTTTCTATACCGTGGAGCAGGTAGTCTTGCCCAATGGGGGGAAAGCACACATGTTCGCGGACACGTTCTTGGAAGAGTTTGATGCAACAGTTTTGAGCGAGAGCGAGAGCAAAAACGGGGAAATGACGACGACGACGACGGATCGATCGATCCGTCGCTCACACATATCACTACCCGGGCCCAAGTCCGAAAAGGGTCTCGATTGCCCTGTCTACCTTTTTCTTTTGGGGTATTGGACTGAGCAGGCCAAGGGCAGTAGTAATAACGCTGACGGCGCGGAAGTTCAAGAGCCTGAGCCGGAGAGAAAGCCAGAGCCGAATTTTGCGTTTCTTGTGTTGGGGCATTCTCCTAACCAGCTGGGGAAATATGAAAGAATAGGGTTTGGAATGTCTTTTGCGCAAATTGAGGGGGCCTCGAAGCTTGAAGATGGAGAATTGGATAGAGGGGAGACGTTGAAGGGGTTATTTGGGGGGGATCGGAGGATTGTTACTATAGTGTGATTTCCTATGTATCTGCGTCGAGGGGACACATGGTAGTAGATGTTCTTTAAAGAGCCGGAAGATATCTCCGAGACTCTCCGAAATATGTAAAGAAACTACCCTCGGAGGTCGCTCTCCTCCATGCCTTTCTTTGAAGGGCTTCTCTCAGCTCATCATCTCCATTAGGCCAGAATCGAAAAGAGGATAGGAAAACTGACGAAAGAAAGAAAAGAATGAAATCTCGGAGCATCACTACCAAACGTAGTTAGATGTCTGTCTTCCTTCGGATATGATTGGTCCACTAATCCACTTACACACCCCGAGCCGAACGAGACCCCCTACCCTCGGTCCCTCGCAAAACCTCGGGCCCCCACGATTCTACTGCGCGAATCCACCGGGGCCCGGGGCCCGCCCTGGGTTTCGGTCGACACTCAGTGCAGTCCCCAATCCCATTATTTTTTGCGATCGTTCGTTTGTGTAAATAAGTAAGTCGGGAAGTTCCATCTCCATCTCCATTTCACGGCAGGGACTAGGCGAGCTAGGGTCGAACGGAGTTTTGTCGCTCAAGGCTGCTCCTCCTTTTATCAACCTGTCCCCCTGTGTCATGGGCCTTGTTCACCGTAGCTCATCGAACGTCAAACGCGCGGTCATCTTGCAAAACTTACGATTTTTGAGAAGGTTATTTACTTCTCTACCCATCCCATTTTGTATTCAGTCAGGTCGTTTTCTAGAACATGGGGAAGCGAAGTGGTGCTGTGCACCTCGGCTCGGCTCGGCACTTCGCTGAATGTGGGCTGAATGCACAGTTTCGCCGATAGCCCAATATGTACGGTACCGAACAGGGTCAGATACCGATCCGATGGACTGGGACCGGCATTGGGACGGACTACTGCATGTAAATGCCGAAGGGGACGCAGTGAAGAAGAGACGGTGCAGTGGTTTCTATTTCTGCTTCTGTTGTATTCTTATCGTAGCCTTTTCTCTCTTGCTTTTTTCTTGGTTTCTTGGTTTCTTCATGGTGATGACTTTGCTGGCAACAACTGCTTCCGATGGTGTGGTTGGTTGGTTGTTTCGTGTTGGTTGGCAGTTGGTCTACGTTCTTTCCGTTTTAGTATGTGTGTTGAGGTACGAAAGGAATGGGAAGAACACTGCTCTACTTCTATATCAACGTCGTCGATAAATACTCTGATTTACGCAACATCCGACGATATAGCCGTCTATATGGTCTCCAATACCACTCTAACAAACACCCGTCGATCACCTGCAACTTTGGGAATGACACCCACACGAGAGCAGATCTTCAAATCTTCAAAGCGTGCAAGGTCAACCGAAATCGAAATCGAAATCTGTTGATCGAATCTGCAAACTCCGAGAAAATCTGGGGGATTGTCATTGCCTGTAGTGTACCTGTCAGCTCTCCCGCAGCCCGCAGCACGCTGCACTTTGTTGATCCTTCGTGATCCTATCTCGCATGTCTCACTCTCGCGGGTCTGCTTATACAGTACACAGTACCTGGTCGTGCTCGGTTACGCGAGTGTTCCCCGTCCTTTTTTTTCTTCTGTTTTTTCTTTTCTGTTTTTTTTTTTCTTCCTCTTACGTCCCTCCCTCTACGCGTGTGTACTGTAAGTAACCTTGGTGGAGAGAGGAAGGAAGGAAGGAAGGAAGGAAGGAAGCAGACAAGGCATTATAAAAGCTCGTCAGGATGACATCTAGGAGGGAAACGCAACTCCCTCATCAAACAACGTACGTTTGTACAGACGGAAGGTTTACTAACGATTCCTTCCAGATACGCTCCAAGAATTCATCAAAAATTCGACCTGCAACAATGTGCTATCTGGATGGTTTTCTCTACACCGGTTTGATTGTTTGGTGTTATTCAGCGTTCAGCTTCGTCTTCATCTTCAACAAAACTACCTAGAGCTGCTAGAGGTACCTGCCGAGTCGGTGCATCACCTCCGGAATTACCTACCCACTTCACCCACTTCACCACCACTGAGGCCCCGTGTAATTGTCATGTCCCGTTCGGTTCGGTTCGGTTCGGTTTCCTCTTTGCACACATAACCGGAAACGGCCAGTGACAGTGGACAGTTTTACTGGCGGAATGCCCCCATTCTGATTCACAGACTGGATCCACCGTAACAAACGACAGAACAGCCTCGCCGTAAGCCCGCCGCGGGGCCGTGCACGAGCGGGACCCGCCCCGTACACTACACTTGCAGGCTGCAGCAAGGAAATCCACCCAGCTGAGGATTTGGCGAGTTCGACGAATGAGTCTAGACAAAATTACGGTGTTGCATTGCTAATGGAGTGACTGAAGGTGTGGGGAATGGGAATTACTTCCGCAGTAAAACGGTAAAAGACGTCTCGAGGAACTGAAGTTCTCGTCATCTGAATGGATTGAAAAAGGACTGGGAAAAGGGATTGAGCCAAATCTAGGTGAAAAGAAATTTCGTTGATGACGGCGGGAGATGATCCATGATTAATGCCCGAAAGAGGATGGGTTATGGGCTATGGGCTATGGGTGTTGGGTGTTGGAGGATGATATCGATGAGTGGTGGGACGATCGATAATCGATGATGAGTGTTGTTCATGGGTAAGGGGACTACCACATATCTCTCTCTTCTCGAACGGCCTCTCCGCAGCAATTCGAATCTTACGCATTGGCGTACATGGGGCTTAATGATCCTTCATTACGAAAAAGCGATATGCTTCCCATTGCTCCTGTTGGTTGTACAGTATTGAACTTCTTTTGTTGGTTGACTGCTTGTTGTCGTACATAGCTGGAATAGGTTTAGACATTCGAAGCTTGGCAAGGGGTGATTGACACAAAAATCGTACGTTTGGACATTGGACATTTGAACATGGCACTTGAGGGTCTGTTTAGAAGGTTTTTTTGGAAACTTCCAAGGCTACCCTCGGGAGAAAATGAGATTTCAGGTACCGTCCCTAGCGTACATTGCTTGTTATTTTGTCGGTGAGCTACACCGTAAATGTAAGTGCCATCATGGGTATGGCATCCGCTGTTATTGAGACCTCGTTTGATCCCAAAAATATCGTACGGTTCGAACATTCGATCACGGCAATTTGAGATTGGAAAGGAACGCTTTTAGAACCCCTTCCAATCCTACGCTGGAAAAAAAAGCCGAGGTTTCCAAGTACCATGGCGTGGCGTGGTATTGTCGGTGAGCCAAGTAAGGGCCATCGATCATGGGTATCGTATCCGTTGTTCAGAAGAGGTTGACGCAAAAATCGTACGTTCAAAAGCCGTTGAAACGGCAGTTGACTTGCTGGGGAAGATTCTTAGGGGATTCCAATCCCAAATGAGAAAAAGGCCGAGGTTTCAAGGACCGCCCGTGGCGTAGTGTTCTCGTCTTGTCCCCGTGAGCTTAGTGTCACCATGGGTATCGTATCCGAGTGTTGTTCAGACAATGAAGGGGCGTTGATGGGGCTTGGGATGGTGATCGGAAAGAGACCTTGAAGATGTCAATAGTTAAATAGAAAACGGATCTAAAGGGGTAAAACTTGGCTTTGGGGTAGATGGATATTCATTATTGACAATGTTGACAAGAAGGAAAAGAGGTATCACTGGTTCTGGTCTAATGTACACTTCTCTAATCGTCGCAAAGCGTTCATGCTCATTGATTCCCCCCGGGCATCGCTCGTTCGGTTATCCAGAAAAACCCCCCAAAATATGTTGTAAACGTTCCGGAGACATTGTAACGTCTAGAATCGTCCTCGTATCGTTCTTGCTTCTTCGAAAATTTGTAGCTTTCTGTTGTTGTATTCGCTTGTTGTTGTTGAACCACCAAAAGAAAAATAACCCATGTCCTATTCTCGCGTAATTACCACTTCGGTCTTCTTCGTGATACCGCTCTCCAGAATAAACTCGGTGCTGTTGTTGGCGCCCTTGCTCGCATGGCCTTCGATGCTTCCGCCGTCCATGTCGTTCATGCTCTCCAACTTCTCGCATCCCTTGCTCTTGCCCGTCCTCCACGTCTGCAGGGCGTAGCGGGACCCGATCTCGGTCGGATATCCTGTTCCACGGGTTCGGCTTCCGGTGCCGCCTGCTCTCGATCGCTCGTTGAAGTACTTGATTAAGGGCGCAAGAGTCGGGACGTTCGTGACGATAATACCGAGATTGTTCTCGACGGTCGACCAAAGGATTAAAGGAGCAGAGTCGATTGGATTCGCGAGGCGCTTGACGGTCTGGATGCGGATAATCTGGATGATGGTGATGAAGAGGCCGAGTCCGAACATTCCAAGTAGGACGACCTTTTTCCGCGTCTGGATTTGGGATTGGAGAAGAACTGGGAATGGGAGAAGCATACTGTACAAGGGCCCATGGGTCAGCGCGTGATGAGAGATCGAGAATTCGGACATGCAACTTACGAGATGACATCGAAAATGATAGTTAGCGACGCCATGCTAGTATAGAACGGCACTCCTTTAAGACATGTGCCCGGGATGCTTGAGTCCCATTGTCGTGCCACGGGTTGGCAAAGGTTAAGCTGAACCAGCAAGAACGATAGATGAAACAGGAGGCAGGAGATAATGACGCCGACGGTAGTGTACCGGTACATGCCCTTGGGGATAAAACGAAGGTATGAGGTGAGCAAGGCGAGCTTGAAGCCGAAAATACTCGAGATGTAACTGTGTCCAAGGTCAGTGTCTCTGAGACGTCAGATATAGGCCGGAAGCAAGGGGTTGAACTAACAAAGGGGCGCCGATATATTGAAGCTGCGAGCCGGAGTGTTAGTTACCCAGTTTTCCGTCCAATGTTAACAACCGCAGGCACTTACAATATTGAAATTGTACAGATTTTGCTCTGGAAAATTATCCATATGTACCAATCCTAAGCCCCATTTCGTTTCTGTATTCACCCGTTAGAACGAAACACGAGAAATCTTGGTGGTTTTTGAATTTCACTTACGAACGATTGACACGACCGCGAAACCAGCCGCCGCGATCCATGTCAGGATGATAACCCAGTCATCGAACCCGATGGCCTTGAGCATAATTGCTCGCACATAGGTTCGCAGACACACAGTGATTAAGGAAAGAATGGTAAGGGCGATGGCAACGCTCGTGATTTGATGGCCTATCGTAGGCGCATCGGGATCTGTGGTGTTGTATGTCCAACCCATCTTGGCAGGACGACGGGGGTTCACGACAACGCCGCACCGGAAACCGGGAGCGAGATGTGGACCAGAAAGCGAGGAGAGCAGGATTATATATCGAATGCTGCTCTGTGCGCGCGTGGCCGAATGCACGTAACCAGGCTTTTTAGTGAGGGTGGAGAAGGTGTCGCTCCCGTCTAGCGAGATCTGATGGCGATCACCGTGGTTTTGCTCCTCCGAACTGAGACTGATGACCGGAAGGGTGGGCGAGGATCAACCACCTCAAAGGTCCTGCCGTGAATATACAATTCTGGATTTCTTTTCGGAATGTAAACACGGTGATCATGTAAGTGGGCAGTGTCACTACATAAGAGATTTGGCCTTCATCACCAATCCACCACCAAAATCTCTTGAAGCTCAGTGTTCCCAGTCTGAGCTCCCTATTCTACCTAGGGCAGGCCAGGGGTCGGTCCGTCGAACAGGTCCAGTAGAGGCAGGTCTTAGTTGCTGACAAGATGAGCGAGTGAGGGAAGGGTACTCTGGGCCGACTTGAGATCGGAGAGGGTCTACATGTAACATCACATGCAGAAACTCCAGGTTGAAGCGAAGGAACAGCGCGGGGGCGGAACAGCCTTGTACCAGCATGTCGCTTGTCTTGCAGGGGATGATAATGGCTAACGTTAAGGACCCGTACGGGAGGTCCGTTTTCAGGCTGCTGTGCAGGAGCTGGCGTCAGCTTGGCTGCAGCGGAGATGGACAGGAGAGTCCAGCAGAAGAAGATTGACCTTCCGTATGGCGTAATACCGTAGCCTGCACGTGGTGTAGTGTACGAGACGGGCTTGGTGGTGGGTTTGGTATATGAGAAACCCGCTTGGATGATAACTTGGGTGCTTGCGCTCCGGTTCCTGATGATCTGTAGGGTAAGACAAGACAGTAGCGAAAATGAAGGACGAACTCGTTCCGGCACGTAGGTAGCCCGGATGGTTCCAAAGCTATGGCCTAGAATAGCGGGGTAGGTGAACAGTCAAACTGCCTTTGGTCAAGGTAGCTGTCCTATTATGTAGCGCATGTGATGCCACGGGGCCTTCGGGATCCATTATAGTAGCCAAGCACGGGTTCTTTTGGCTAGAAACTCCGGCGAGGGATGAACTGCAACGCCTCTTGCCATTTGTGCTATTTGACCTGGATCTTCCTTGTTGGAGTGCAGACTGCTATCTGCTCAGCCAAGTCAGATCCGACCAAGTTGAAACGAACCTTCAAGGTCCTTTGCAATGCATGAACCGTTTACGAACTGGATCACCTGAGTCATTTGTCTGTTTCCGTCCCACTCTCGGCCCTGTTGAGCTGATTATAAGATGTGAAGGGCCATGTTTTCAAGACCTAATAACCACATGAATGATGTAGATGCAGAAGCTAAAGCGAGAAACACACAGGTTGTGCGAAAAGAAATACGCTGTAGTGCAAAATGAGAGAAAATAAGGAGGAGTCTCGACGCCACAGTTATCGTAGTGTAGATCGCAAATGTCATGGCCCATGGCCTTCTTCGGGGTTCTCACAGACACTTCATGATTGTTGATGAATCCAAAGAATGAGGAATTGAAATCGAGGGACGGGTCAGAAAGCGGCCGAGGCTATTCCATGAAGAGCTAGTAGCTTATCTACGCCCATGATGGGATGCCGGAGCGATTTTCCTACCCAAGACTTAAGACCATGCCGTGACCCACACCATGGGATATTAAGTGCCGCAGGCCAATGCAAGGTAAAGAGGACGGGAGGACCTGCGATGGAGGAACACTTGGAAAAAGTCTTCACTGAAAGTCTCCCACTCGGGGTCCACGTCATGAGCTAGACCTTTTTCAAGAAGTCGACCCGAGGATGAAGAGGAGGTGAAGGAGAGTAGAAGAAAAAACAGGAAGAGGACACGGCGTAGTAATGTATGTCTCAGTCGGCGACCATGAACGGAATGGAAGCCGCCAGCAGATTGACCAAGTTATGGCGTAGAAGGATCGAAAGAAAAGGCCGAAGAAGGAATCTGCCGTGAGACACTTGTAGGCAATTTCAGCTATCGCTTAGGGTAATGCAATCATCCAGGTCACCGTGACACTGCAATGCGACGCTGCTCAGGGGCAGTTTCACAAAGGGTAACAGCACTAACAGTCTGGCAGTGTGGTAGCCGTAGAGGTCCTCAGTCTTCAAGTGCCGATGGGTAGCTGGTTAGGGGACCCGGGGATTTGTCCGGCAAGACAGGAAGGCCGCCGGTGCCAAGGGGATCGTTGGGTTGTGTGTCGGATCGTCTGTGCTCCGGGGAGCAAGTTCGGCCAAGTTGCGCTCCCCTTTCTTGATGCTTGTTTTCCCCATGTGTTGTATCGGTTGGGCAGCAGATGAGACCTGAATCTGCTGGAGATTGGAGGGTAGTGTAGTTCGAATGTCGCCAACGTTGTGTCCTCAATACGCCAACCTATCGGCAGCTACCGAAGGGCAGAATGTTCATTCGCCGTCCACCACGCACCAACATGGGACACGATATGCTTTATAATTCTTTGGTGCGCTGGTGACTTTTGTCGTTTGTCCCGTTGTGGTCGAGATCGTCGGCGTTGACTTGGGCTGCTGGTGGTCTCTCTCCTTTCTCGTCGAGCGATGTGCAAGATGCCTTCTGTGTTCGGCAACCTCGGTCTTTGGTCCTCCTCAGGCCTTGCCTCAAACAGCTAGCAGTGAAAAACACGATGTTGGGGGGACGGAAATCCGAAATGATGGGAGTTCTGAAGCGATGGGCAATCTCCCTATCAGCGGTGAGAAAGCCCTGGACCTGTGGACCGGTATCTTTCGCAAGGGGGCTTTTGTGGAGGTTGTTCCGGGGCTACTGGTAGGTAGTACCCGGCAGGGAAGACGGTGGGGGACGGGGTGAAGCCGGGGCTCCACCTCGGTGTTGCTTGGGGATTTCCTGCGGACATTTGCGGACGCAGCCCCTGACGGCGACAGCTCTACTTGTACGGCCTCACAGCAGTGGCGGCGGAGGCGGCGGCAATGGCCGGTTCGTGAAGAAGAAAAAAAATGTATTAGTGTTGGTCTGCGCCCAATGGTGGAATGGGGAGTTTTCATCGTGTTCTTCTTCTCTTTTACTACCTTGTCTTGGTTATATTTTTGTCGACATGTCGTTGCAATCGGGGAGTTGAGGCTCAACGGCAGTTGTTCATCGGCACCGTGGTATGTGCTGGTTCGGGTTGCACCGAAACGCCATCCCAAGCATTTGGTGGTTTTTTGCGCTTTGACGGTGCAGTGCTGGAAAAGCAATGATGGCGCACGCCCCGCGTCACCCTATCGCTTGCCGCGGCCAGGAATGGCTGGCCATTGGCTCAGCATCGCAAAGTGATTTGGCTTTCGCTTGAATTCGGCTGAAATAAATGGGAAAGCCGAGGAGAGAACGCAAGCGCTCAGCTGGTAAAAACGCGGAGCAGAGCGCGGGGTCAACAGGGTTTTGCGCTGAAGGAAAACCACCGTTTCTTTGTCAACAACACTGTGTCAGCTGCGAACAATCAACAAGGTAACGAGCAGTTGTCGATCGCCTATCGATCGGATGAAAAATAAATGCGATGAAAGAGTGCAAGGGCAGTATTATGGCCTCAGGGTCAGATGAAGAGAAGACATGTTTTCGGATCGAACAGAGAAAGCATAGATGAATCTTTCAGTCTTTTCTTGCAGGGCATGCATGAGCCCGTTTTAAAATGTGGGGCACCTAAAAGGCGCGATACTGCAGGTAACATCGTGCTGCAGGTACATGAATTTCCCGACAGGAGCAACTGCACCACACTGCACTGTTCATCCCCTCCTCGGGTTTTTCTCGCTTTCCACAACTTGAACACTGTTGTGGGTGAGACAGTTTGGCAAGAACACTCAGCCAAACACCGACGCCGGTGCCAACGCCTGAAAGTCAAAGCCGAGGTGAAGATGCCCCGCTAGTCTCGACATGTCATCGACTGCATCCCAATCAACCACACTGCTTCCGTCTACGCTTCAGATTCCTTCAGTCCTCCCCGGGAGGCTAAGATGCTTCCAAGTAACGCCATAGAATACAGTATCATGGAGTATCATGGTTCACAGTCTGAGACTGGAGTGTCAGCCAAGGCTTCCATTCCTACCTCTTCCCGACCAAGCGGCCGACTCGCAGCCGACATTGCCCCATTCATTGCCCACAGCTTCGGAGAGTCTCTAGCCCAATGTCAAGTGGAAGCTGTCCGCAAACTGCCGTCAGGCCCACCTCCGCTGTAGTGTAGTTTACTATGTATGTACGTACGCTACCCAGATACCCCCATCCTTGGTCATCCACTTCATCATCTCGACTACTGAAGGCCTCATTTTCAACAATGACTTTAAGACCGCTGTCCTAGACACTACTCAGGCCATATGATGTTGGATATGGATATCGGCACGGATACCACCGCTCGACGTATGCACACCATCCTAGCAACCGAATATCAACGGCTGGTCGCCACTGACCGCCGTCCCTGTAGATGAGGATGAGCATCGTCCCGAGAGACGGATGCTGGCAACCCTCTTCAAACGATCCGATCCCCAGGTTTTGCCATGCTCAACCTGCCAGCCTGGGAAAATTCTGATTTGCAGAGACAGACACCTTGATGAGCATCTTGATTCTTGATAACAAAACGTCCACGGAAAAAGGATCATCAGACTGAGTGCTCCAGCAGCCGGTCTGCATCTATTCTCCGCCGTGTCCGCAACTGAGAGCCACTTCTCACGAGGTTAACCATGTCGCGCGTGGCTGGCACGATAACCTAAAAACCGACCCCAACATGAATTTGTAAGGCACTCTGCACCGAAGAAGAAAGCACTTCGTCTTGGCCTTGGGTATGGTGGGACCGTGGAATAATGGTGCCATGCCCCCATCTTGGGCCCAGCCAGAGGGGTCACCTTGGGCCCTCTAGCTGCATAAGCAGGGGACCCTACGAGTCCCTGAAGGGTCTCGCCTGCGTTTCTCTCCTCCAGGGTGGGTTCGGGAGAGCAGTCTTCGCGTGGCAGACCACGCCAGCGCCGGGGCATGGAATCATACTTGAACAAAGCATGTCGGCTGCCACCATGAATACATCATCGCCAAGGTAGTCGTTCTTGGAGATCTTCAACCTCCTCTCCCCACGCTCCCTCGACCTCGTCAGAACTTCAGCAGAAGCGTTCAGGTCGCCGCTCACTTTCGAGCCTCGCTTCTCAGTCCAGCCAATACCTCCTAGACGTCTCCAGAGAAACCATCACCATGAAGGTTTCGACTCTTCTCTCTTCCGGCCTTTTCTCCGTCGGTGCCCTGGCCACCGCCATTGGCTCGACTTGCAAATGCTTCCCCGGCGATGCTTGCTGGCCTTCGACACAGGAATGGAACAAGCTCAACGAGACCGTCTTTGGCAGACTGATCGCTACCGTGCCCCTCGCTGAGGCATGCCATGGCGACAAGTACGACAGCGCAAAGTGCTCCAGCCTCCAGTCTTCGTGGCAGACTCCCGATACTCAGTGAGTTCTTTTTCTCTTACTCTTCGTGTCTTATCTTTCCCTCTGCGTGTAAGCTGTCATGATCTTTTGGCGGTGATCATCATGTTATCCCTTGCGTGGTTTACATGCGAGACCCCTGGGCCCTTGCTCCTTCCTGTTTGGCAATTTTTGCATTGTCACATACCCAATTCGCAGGCATGTAATGTCGATCACTAACTAACCATGTCCCCCACACAAGCATGGTTGACTCGGCTTCTATCATGGCCCCATTCTTTGCCAACCAGAGCTGCGACCCCTTCACTTCTAAGGACAAGCCCTGCACCCTGGGCAACTACGTGAGGTACGCCGTCGATGTCCGGACGGCTGCCGATGTGGCCGCCGCCGTCAACTTTGCCCACAATCACAACATCCGCTTCGTCATCCGCAACACCGGCCATGACTACCTTGGCCGTTCCACCGGTGCCGGTGCCCTCTCTGTCTGGACCCATAACTTGAAGGAGATTGACTTCAAGACCTGGAATGACAAGTACTACTCTGGTCCTGCCGTCAAGCTTGGTGCCGGTATCCAGGGTTATGAGGTTCTCGCTGCGGGCAAGCCCAAGGGTCAGGTCGTCGTTGGCGGCGAGTGCCCTACTGTCGGTATCTCTGGTGGCTATACTCAGGGTGGTGGTCACTCGGCTCTCAGCACCAGCTTCGGTCTGTCTGCTGACAACACCCTTGAATGGGAGGTCGTCACTGCTGATGGCCGTTTCGTCAAGGCTTCTCGCACCCAGAACACTGACCTCTACTGGGCTCTCTCCGGTGGTGGCGCCGGTAACTATGGTGTCGTTATCAGCATGACCATCAAGACCTTCCCCGATGCTAAGGTTGGTGGCGCTACCCTCTCCTTCTTCTCTGCTGAGAACCCTACCGAGAAGTTCTATGCTGCCATCGATGCTTTCCACTCTGCCCTCCCCGATATGGTTGCCGCCGGTACCATGGTTGTCTACTATTTCACCAGCACCTTCTTTATGATCTCCCCCATGACTGCCTACGGCAAATCCGAGGAGGAGGTTAAGGACATCATGGCTCCCTACCTCAAGACTCTTGATACCATGGGCATCAAGTACACTGCCGGCTACACCGAGACGGAGACCTACTATGACCACTACGACAAGTACTTCGGCCCTCTCCCCACCGGCAACATCCAGGTCGGCATTGCCCAGTACGGCGGCCGTCTCATCCCCGTCGACACCGTCAAGAACAACGCCACTGCCTTCGCCAAGACCGCCCGCTTCATCGCCGAGTCCGGCGTCACCTTCATCGGTGTCGGTACCGATGTCTCCAAGTTTGGCCAGAACGATCAGAACGCCGTCCTTCCAGCCTGGCGCAAGGCCCTCGTGCACGCCACCCTTACCACTCCTTGGTCGTTCGAGCCCCAAGACTGGGACAAGATGCTGGAGAACCAGCACCTCATGACCGATGTCATCATGCCCGCCATTGAGGAGGCCACCCCGGGCTCCGGCGCCTACATGAACGAGGCAAACTTCCAGCAGCCCGACTTCCAGCACCAGTTCTTCGGCAGCAAGTACAGCAACCTTACGTGCATCAAGGAGAAGTACGACCCCAAGAACTTCTTCTACGCCACTGCCGCTGTCGGTAGCGAGGCCTGGACCATTGCCAACGATGGTCGCATGTGCAAGTCTGCTTAAATCATCAAATTAAGCAGTGTCGTTTGTTGAGCGGTTTGGAAACCTGATGTTATTAGCCTTGGTTATGTTTATTAGAACCTAATTCCTTAGTCTTTATTTTTTCTTCCCACCTCCCTTTTTGCTTACCTACTACTACCCATGTGTTAATGGCCTGTTTTGTCACCGCCATGTCGTTTGGGTAAACGAAAGGGGGTGTTGAGGAGGGGGGAGAAACAATGTTGTGATGTTTTGTAAGGGTTAATGGTTGATGAGAAGAGAAGAAGCTACTAGGCTTCGTTACCTACCTACACTATGGTGCGCACGCTCGCTACGACGAACACATCATGTCCGTATGTCATTTTCTTGTATATAATTTTCTTGAGAGGAAGCGAATATCGAGTACGTGCCCTGGTTCAACAATTGGTCTTCCGTCTTAAGCCCCATGTTCTGCGGGCCAGCGAGATTTGTGTTGCTCGCAATTCAAGTGTAACCATTCGAAAATCTAGTGAGGAAAGCACATGATGCCCATCGTGGTTGCATGTTTGGTACGATTGTTAAGGAAAGAAGCTTCCAAAAGAACTGAAGGGAACACAGCTTGGCTGATGCCGTCATCCAAGTCGATGATGCGATATACCGATACCCCACACGTCTCATGCTATCGTACCCCGCACTAGTCACATATTGGAGAAACCTGCACCTTCCCTCCTCGGCTGTTACTGCATTAACAGTATCACTTCCACAATTGCCGAAGCTTCGGTGTCCACCAATCACCGACACGGCGATATCAACAACTGCAAGTGTAGTTGTATTTCTAAGCACACTTTAGACCGAGCTCCCCTCATCGGCTTTTGAAAAAGACATATGAACCCCACGGAGCGGCTTCATATCTCAAATTCATACTAAACCGTCCGAATACCCAGTCAAGCAACAAAGACAGAAAACATCAGACACAATGGCGTCCCAGAACTCAGACATCCACCTCTACACTGCCCAGACTCCCAATGGCATCAAGATCTCTATTCTTCTTGAGGAGCTTGGTGTTCCTTATAAGGTACTTACTATATGAACTTGCAAAGTGTTGCCGATGAACCAATTCATACATCTCACTACGCTCTTCACCTCTCTTTTCAGATCCTCTTCACCTCCTCACCCTTTCTTCACTCTCTCTTTATTCTCTCTTTACTCTCTCTTCATCTCTCTTTTCAAACCTCACTAACACTCCTCCCAGGTAACCGCAATCGACATCTCCAAAGACGTCCAGAAAGAGCCCTGGTTCCTTGAAATCAACCCCAACGGCCGCATTCCCGCTCTGACCGACAAGCTCGAGGACGGCACGCCCATCTCCCTGTTCGAGTCGGGAGCCATCATGCAGTACTTGGTCGAACGCTACGACAAGGATCAAAAGGTCTCGTACCCGCAGGGCAGCAAGGAGTACTACCAGACCCAGAGCTGGCTGTTCTGGCAGATGGGCGGTTTGGGTCCCATGCAGGGGCAGGCTAACCACTTCACTCGGTACGCGCCGGAGAAGATCCAGTATGGCATCGATCGGTACCAGAACGAGACGAGGAGGCTGTACAGGGTTATGGATGGGCAGTTGAAGAAGAACGGGACGGGCTATCTTGTGGGCGATAGGCCGACTATTGCGGATTTCTCGTGCTGGGGGTGGGTTGCTGCTCATGGTAAGTCTTATTCTCTTCTCTGCCTTGTTGCTTGGGTGTATCACATGTTACGGGTGTCACGATTGCTAAAAACTATGGTATCTTGCAGGCTGGTGCGGCATCAAGGACTTCGAGGCCCAGTTCCCCAACCTCAACGCCTGGCTCAACAGACTCCTCGAACGCCCCGGCGTCGAAAAGGGCAGACATGTGCCCAGCAAGCACTCGGCGCTGGAGAACAACAAGTTGAGCGAGGAGGAGCTCGAGGCCAAGTCGGCGGCTTCTAGGGCGTGGGTCCAGAAGGGCATGGCTGAGGATGCGAAGAAGTAAGTTTGGGGAAAGCAGAAAGCAAATGATGGGAAACGAGCTATGAGTTGTGCATCAGATAGCGAGACAGGCAATGAATGTCGAAACTGACGAGTTCTTTTCTGTGAGAAAGGTTTCGGTCCAAGGTTTAGGTTTGACATGGCGAGTTAGGTGGCTCGAGGTGGTAAGTGGTTACTGGTGAGCTGGTGGGCGATTGCTAGTAGCACCTGGGCCTCCTCCATGATGGTGTTTGGTGATTTGGACTACACTGAGATGTGACTGCCACGATTAATGCCCTGCGCGCTTGCGGCCTCATATCTCGAGTTAGCGGAATATCAGTCAGTAAATTGAATGAGCATTAAATGATCGAAATTCTGTTATAAGATGAAGACAGTTGAAAGTTGAGACGGAAGATGTTCAATTATAGCAGTCACGTGTAGCCAATAACAGCGAACATGGCAATGGTGAAGGCCTGGAACGTCTAAAGGCCAGCGCGCCTGTGCGTTCCGTGCTTGCACCTACCCTGCTCGCTTACCTAAGGCAAATGCGGGATCTGGCCCCACTTGCCTTTTGCTTTGCCTCCCGTCTGCGCGTCGGTCGCAACCAGCCAACCAGTCTTTTGCACCCAACCAAAACCACATCACATCGCCAAACCGCTTTGTGTGGTCTTTCTGTCATTGTATTCCTCGACACAGAACGACCTCATTACCGTCAAAATGTCGTGGAGAAACCAAGGAATCACGGGTTCCAATAACATCCCGCTGGGAAGCAGGCGTCGCTTCCCTGGCGATGAAGGGGAAGAGATGGATGGCGCTCGCAGCGTAACACCAACGGCCCCATCATCTGTCACCAACGGCGACAGAGACAGAGAGAGAGACAACGGCCCCGTTTACAGCAATGATCGCGACGTCAAGCGCGGCCGCAGCCCCGAACGGTCCGAGGATGGTCCCAAGCGCCGCAAGAAGCGCAACCGTTGGGGTGAAGCGACTGAGAACAAGGCCGCCGGATTGATGGGCCTTCCTACCGCCATCGTCGCCAACATGACAAGCGAACAATTGGAGGCCTACACCTTGCATCTTCGCATCGAGGAAATCACCCAGAAGCTCAAGATTGACGACGTTGTTCCCGCTGATGGAGACAGGTATGTTGGGCATATTCATCCTTGTTTGTCTCTGTAACTCTCGACTAACCTCTTGTGTTCTTCTGTCCAGATCGCCCTCTCCTGCTCCCCAGTACGACAACCATGGTCGTCGTGTCAACACCCGCGAATACCGTTACCGCAAGAAGCTCGAGGATGAGCGCCACAAGCTCATCGAGAAGGCGATGAAGACGATCCCTAACTATCACCCGCCCTCGGACTATCGTAGACCTACAAAGACCCAGGAGAAGGTCTACGTCCCGGTTAACGACTACCCAGAGATTAACTTCAGTATGATAACTAACCCTCCAAACTCCCTTCTAACTCCTAACCTTCCCCCTCCCCCATTGGTATTTTGCCAGGCATGAAGCCGCGCTTTTAGACAGTTGCCTTCGTGCCTTGCAAGTTGCTTATGTTGAAAACTTCTAACCCGAACAACAAATGCTTCCATGATAACAATACTAACACTTAGCTCTTCCTTGTTCAAGTTGGCTTGCTTATCGGTCCTCGTGGCAATACACTCAAGAAGATGGAAACAGAATCTGGCGCCAAGATTGCCATTCGTGGAAAGGGCTCCGTGAAGGAGGGCAAGGGCCGTTCTGACGCTGCCCACTCCAGCAACCAGGAAGAGGACCTGCACTGTCTCATCATGGCAGATACCGAAGAGAAGGTTAACAAAGCCAAAAAGCTGATTCACAATATTATTGAGACAGTACGTTGTCCCCCCATCCCGTTTCCGCCTTTGGCGTTCATGCAACCGCTAACTCTTGCTATAGGCTGCTTCGATCCCTGAAGGCCAGAACGAGCTCAAGCGTAACCAGCTCCGTGAGCTTGCTGCCCTCAACGGTACCCTGCGTGATGATGAGAACCAAGCCTGCCAGAACTGCGGCCAAATCGGTCATCGTAAATATGATTGCCCCGAGAAGCAGAACTACACTGCCAACATTATCTGCCGTGTCTGCGGTAACGCCGGCCATATGGCTAGGGATTGTCCTGACAGGCAGAGGGGTGCAAGCTGGAGAAACGATGGTCCCGGTGCTCCCCGTACCGCTGGTCGTATTGGTAGCAGTGGTGGCGGCGATGCCGTGGACCGCGAGTACGAGGTATGCTTTCTCCCTTTTCGACTTTCTCTTAAGAGCAGCTTACTGACATGTACCAGCAACTCATGCAAGAACTCGGCGGTACCGGTGCTGCTCCTGCTCGTATCGAAGCTGGCCCTGGCTCTTTCAGCAATGGTGGTGCTGGCGGTGGCGGCGGCGGCAGCGGCGATGCCAAGCCCTGGCAACGCGGACCTACTGGCGGCCCTGCTCCCTGGCGTACTCGCAACTCGGATCGGGATCACGAAGGTGGCCCCGGTGGCCCTGGTGGCCCTCCCAGCGGACCCTCTGGTGGCCCCGCTCCTTGGGCTCGTGACCGTGGCGAGCGCAGACATGATGATCGCGATCGCGATAGAGGAGATAGCTACTACGGCGGTGATCGCAGGCATGACGACTACGGCAGAGGCCCCTCGGGTGGTGGTGGCGGCGGCGGCCCTGCCCCTTGGCATCAACCTCCCCCTGGAGCCCCGTCTGCCCCAGCGATTCCCGCAGCTCCGGCCTATCCTGGTGCTTATGGTGGTTATCCCGGCTATGGTGCTCCTCCCGGTATGGGCGCTGCCCCGCCTCCCGGATTGCCTCCTCCGCCTCCTGGAGCTCCTCCCGGCCTGTCTGGACCGCTTAACGCCCTCATCCAGCAATATGCCAACGCGGCTCCTCCCCCGCCCCCTCCGGCAGCTGAGGCACCCCCTCCGCCTCCCATGGACCTCCCTCCTCCCCCTCCCGGCGCTTGAAGGGCACTGAGTAAAAACTAATTAGATGCATGCTTGCTGGGCCGGAGAAAAGTCGAAAAATGGAATGGTGTACTGACTGACAGGGTATTCACTTGATTAACAAGGTTTCACTCACACGATGTCAGCACTGCCACTAGCATGAATTAACTTACCCCGACATGGTTGAGCAGAGTTTGCCAGGCTTTCAATTTCAGTTGCTGTTGGAGACAGCAAGAACTAACTGTACACGAACAAAGTAGTAGATTGAGGTCCAGGTTTCTTTAGATATATCGCAGAGGAAAAAAAAACATGATTTTCAGTTTAGACATGAGGCACATGAAAGCTTTGGATAGTAACAGCCGTACGACATAGTCACTTGAAATGATATTTTCGAAAGCAATTTACTGATGAAGTTGCGATTCTTACCATTCTGTCAAGTAAAGGTAGTGAATCCTGTAGCTACCCACTCTGTCTCAGGAGTCGGGATTCCCCTGATTCCAGCCATACTGCTTTGCTTCTCTTTCCTCCTGTCCTCTTCCTTTCTCTGGAGAATGGTTTTTCTGCATTTATTAACCTCTCCAATCTCCATCCGCCAGTCACGACACTGCGCTAACGAACGGCACATTATGGTATCGATCCATTTCGTTATTTAAACTTAGGTAGTCGGTTATTGATCTTCCTACTGTATTCCATATCATTGACCACCTCATCCTCCGATGCTTACCTAGACCAAGCCCTATCATATCCTACCGCTAAATTATATTTTTGGTCTTCCGTAAGTGATCCTTCCCAAACGACCAACCCGGCCGGCTTTGTAACGATAACAAGGTACCATCCCCGTACTCATGCATGATCTAATTCCAAAAGGTATGTAGGTATGTGCGTAGAACGCACTCAAGGTTAGGTTAGGTTAACACAACTGTCGATGAAGTATGCACTATCCACGGGGGGTTGGGTCCCTCCTTGCTGTTCTCAGTCCTTGTGGTATGGTATGATCCAGTCCGGCTTTGCATACCTTCGATATCAATGAACCATCGATCGCTGTACCTTGAGCCAAAGAGCCTCTCTCTATAGCAAGTGGTGTCGGCTCATGCCGCGCCTGTTCCTGTTTCTGAAGCCGCTGCTGCATCGCGGGCCGCGGGTTTTCGAAGATGTTCTGGGCGTAAGTAAAGGGGGTTGGCTTGGCTGAGCTGAGCTGGTGAAATAATTGTTGGGGCTCGAAGGCGACGGGCGGCGGGCGGGTTACGGACTTCGAGATGATTCGACCTGAAGGGCGATCTGATCTGTCTCATCCCCCTCATCCATGCATGGCTTTCAGTTTGTATTTCTTTCCTTCTTTCCAACTCATATATTTCCGTCGTTCGTAAGTCTTCCTTAGTTTAATCCTGCATAGGCCTAACCGGATGTCCACCATCGACAATCATGACCTGCTCAATCCTCTTGCTGACGTCCTCACCGTACTCGACCCGCTTCCACGTGTTGATGCGGCCCTCGTTCATATCGAAGTCGAAGACGCGGATCTTGCGGTGGAAGCCTCCGTAGCCGGCATAGCCGCCGAAACCGGCCGCGCCGGCGTAGCACATCCACAGGGCGGGCTTGCCGTCTTCTTTGAAGTCTACGGCGCAGTATTCGTTTACGTGGTCGCTAGGAGACAATGCACGTTAGTAACCTAATGGTGAATTGTATATAGTTTGACTGGGATGGATGGATGGAAAGCTTACTGTCCACAAGAAACCATCACAACGCCCTCCTCCACCAAAGCATCGTGAAAGCCCGAGTTAAAAGCCGGCGCCGTGGTCGGCTCCTTCCACGGGCTCACCAGCGTCAGGTTGCGTCCATTCTGGTACTCCGGCAGCGGGATATGAATGAAGGCAACATCCATGTGCACGTGCGTGTACTCGCGGTGCTTTTTCTTGAGCCCCTGCGCCGTGCTCCGGAACCACTCGATCTGGTTGGGCTTGATCCAGTCGTAGCCCGGATACTTGCGCTCGTTGGGCGAGTACGCGTGCGTGTCGAGCAGGTACACTGTCAGGGCCGAGTGGCTGGACGAGCCGCGCCCCAGCACCTCGATGAAGTAATTACCAACACCGTCGATGCTCTCGGGCCCGGCATGGGACAGAGAATAGGGCAGGGTCTCGATCAGGTCCATCTGCGCGGCCCGCGACATGGACCCTTCGTCGTCGTGGTTGCCGAAGATGGAGACATAGGGGATCTTGTGCTTGATGAGGATTTGGGCGTATTTGAAGATGGCCTAGAGACATGTATGTTAGCCGCAATTTTCCTCCCAAGTATTATGACGTTCACTTCATATCCTTACCGTCTGCGTATCAGGCGCCGTCTCGCCATTCACCTGATCACCGCTCAACACCACCAAATCCGGCTTCTCCTCCTCCAAAATCTTGGTCACAAAGTCCAGCGTCCTGGGATCCGCCTCGCACTTCTGGCCCTCCGGCAACGCATCACGACACGCTCCCACGCCAGTACTCAAATGCAAATCCGCCAGCTGCACAATCTTGAACTTGCCATTATCCCGTATCCTCAACACCGGCTTCACAGGCGGGGGTTGCTCCGCGCCCCTCCGCACCGTCAGATGGGCCGAGGGCACGCTACGCCCGACCTCCAGCAGCATCGGGGTGCCCGTCATGCTCCACCCCTCCCTAGCCTCCACGGCATCATCGCCAAACAGCACGTCGATCCCCGTCACCGCATTCTTGGAGTCGCTCGCCCCCTTCTTGGACGACCGCTTCACCCACAGGCCAGCCGGCCTGGACTCCCACTTCTCGTTCTTGTTATCCACGCCCTTGGCAGCCGCCTTCTCCGCATCGGCCACGCTAGGGTCCAGGCGGCCGACGGTCACGTCCACAACCACTTTATCGCCCTCCTTCAGCTCCTCCTCGCGCTTGCGGCTGATGTGGAGGTAGGCATGGGAGAATAAGGTTTTTCCCAGGTGAAGGTCCTTGTCGATGCGGTGCCAGACGGCAGTGTCGAGGTCGCAGCTCGAAAAGGGATTGTAAGATGTGCATGTAGTGACGGTGATGTCGGTGATGACGAGCCCCGCGTGATGGGTGGGCAGATATTCATGGATGGCGTTGGGGAGAACCCGGAAGTTGCGGTCGAGGAAGAAGATGAGGAGGAAGGTGATGACGGCGGCGGTGGATATTTGGATGATGTTGCGGACCTATGTAACAGAAGGGTTAGTCTTGGTTGGTTTTGGTTGGTGATCTTTTAGACAGCTTCAAGTTTCGTAGCTACCACACAGCATTTGTAGGGCAAGATAAACGAGTAGAGAGAGAGATAGAGACGACCTACAATTCGTCGCGTCATCTTGAACTGGACTTTTGTACTCTGTATTTCTGGCCTCTCTGGACCTGCTAGAATATCTCTCTTTCTAACCAACAATCGTCTTACTACCTCGTCCGTTGTCGAGTATAATAGAGAGCTTCGGCGGCACCCCTGTGGCTACTACCACTACTACTGCTGCTGAACGAAAGGAGGAGTCTGCCCTGCTGCTTCGGCTCTATGCCCATCTTATAGCATGCCGCAACTCGGTCGGTATGTCGGACACCACTCGAAGACGGAAGTTCGAACTAACTCCTTGCCAAGGTTTTGGGTGTGAAGTCGAGAAGCTAGCTATCCCAGTATGGTAATCTCGATTCGCGAAGGGTTGTGGTGCGTACGTGACCGTGGTAGGCTCGTCAGTGTCCGTCTGCGTGGGGTCGGGTTGTCGTCGAGTGTCCGGTACGGCAGACTAGGCAGGTCTCGATTTTCGATGTTTGGTGATGGGTCGGGTGGTTGCCGACGGGATCAACGGGAGTCGTTCGGTGGGTTTTGTGGTATTCGGGTGCGGCACGGGGAACTCTCGTCTGATTTGTGTATCTATCCAAGAACAAGTATGTTCGCCAAGGAGTCGAGTCGCCACTGACACTGCAACTGAACGAAACTGATGAAGCAGCAAAAAATGTCCGGGGGAAAGTCAGCTTCGGGCGCCCCGAATGAACATTTGGGGGAGATGCCTGCCCGCGGCCGCTGTAAGAAAGTGGAATCCGGGGAAATTTACCCAACAAGGTCACCCACGTCGGCAGGGTCGGCCGAGCCCCGCCAAGAACAAGCACGGGGCCCCTGAGATCAACCTCAATGGCTATTGTTAGGGAGCCCGATATCTGCGGGTGCAATCACTAACAGCCATGTAAAGAATTGTTCTCGAATCTTGAAATGAAATATTCCCCTATCACGGAGCTTAGTTGCCGACTCTGTGATGCCCTGCCTTTCACTTAACTGTTCAGTATTTCACCTTTCACTCGAAAACTTCATTACCAAGGGCAAGGTAAATGCATCCAAATGCACATGCACGAGCCTGCGTGCTTCAAGTATCGCATTGCATACGATACCAGCTCTGTAAGTTACAGTGCAAGCCCCCTTTGCAACCGGATCTCGAAAAGGGGCTCGGTGACTTGGCGCAGGTCCAGAACCAAAAAGCCAAAAGCATCAACAGCTTCCCTTTACTTCCTTGACAAATTTGAAATTTGACATTCAACTCATAGTCATTGACATCATATGAAAGGGCAATCCAAATGTTTTGTTATACGGTGTATTCCAATATCCATTCTCAACATCCCATGATGCCTATGCCTGTCTCCTTCGCTATGTAAACATATGCCCCTTTCCTCCTCTCATCTTCACGGATCAGACTGCGGGTATAATTCCTCCTCATCATCACCATACTCCATTCTGTCTCCTCCCCCCTCTCATACAACAGGTATCATGCCTCAAACTTGACGAAAAAGTAACGAAAACCCAAAAGCCAAAGCTCCCTTTTAACGCCAGTTTCTGCCTGCCAGTGATGACAGATCCCAGAATCTTTCCGAGTCTCTCTCTTGCCTTTTTTCTTGTCCGTCGTCATGAAACCCGCACATTACGTCGTTACAAGAGAAAAAAAAGTGAAACAAACAAAAAGAGAAAAAGAAAAAGAGAAAAAAGAACGACGTGCCTGCGCCATATCATCAAGTACCAGTCAATGGTTTTCATCTTCCCCCTTTCATCACCATTATATTCCGAGCGCCCAAACAACCTCAAAACCCCAAAACCACCATTAAGCCAATCCTTCTGAAATGAAGAAAGAGTCCCACCCATTGGTGCCAGTCGAATGAGGAAACGACGAGAAAAAAAGAAGGAAAACGGTGATGTCTCCCAGGTTGTTGTCCCGTGAGCCAACATCTTTGCAGACCCCCTCAAAAAGTAAATGCAATGTGCGTCGTGATATGTCGAGTGAACGACTTCTTTCGTGGTGTATGATGCAGTGTTGTTACACAGCTGGGCTCGCGCCCTCTTTCATCTTTTCTGTCTTCTCCAAACTTCTCCTTCTAAACACGAGTTTGGTGTGAAAGTCCAAGCATTGACGGAAATGCTGGGAAAGAACATAAGTGAGGTGGGAAATCAACGAAGAAAATTTAGATGCTTGCAAGGCGAGGTCTCCCATCAGGAACTCGGGCGTGGCACACCATGAGCTTGAGACTCGTGCCCCATTCCTCACACTCGGCAAGGAGGGCTTTGTCTCTCCACATGCTCCCTAGAGTTCCTGGCCCAATGCCGGTACCAGCAGCGCTCTCATAGCATCGGCTGTACCACCATCGTCCCACCTTTGCCACCATCTTGGTGATGCTTTCATCTGCTACCGGGCTTCCGTCGCCGATCATCTCGGGAAGACTGCGCTCATCCTTAATGGTCTTGCCCTTGCCAGCGGCCTTGCTGCTTTTACTGTTCTCGCTTCCAGACGATCGTGGAATGACACTAGCGACTGGAACGCCAACACGGCAAGTCTTCAGATCGACAAACCCCTTTCTGCCAAGTAGTCGGAGGATGAGATCCGACGTCGACCCAAGACTGACATCGGGGGATTTGGCGTTGACACGCTCCTTCAGGCGGCGGACAGCCTTACGTCCGCGGTTGCCCATGTTGTTCAAGTCAACATCCAGGATCGAGAGCTCAATGTAGCCACCAGGCTTGAGGACACGCCGAGCCTCAGAGATGATGTTTCGATAGTGTGCCTCGGGAGCCGCAGCTGGGAAGCGGAAAACCACAGCCGTAAAACTCTCCGCGCCGAAAGGGAATTTGCCCGTGTGTGACATGTATTGCGTCTGGTAATGATTCGGAGGACTAAGAGGGAGACCAGTTGAGCCATTGCGAGCAGCTGGACGAGGGGGGCGAGGCGAAAGGTTGAAGAACGTGGCTGCTGGATATGTCTCGGCCGCATAAAACGACCAGTCGTCGTTGCCAAGACCGTCAATGACGAGAATGGAAGGACGCTTCAGCGAGCCCACATCGTTGAGCAGCTCATCTCGGACCGGACTGAAGAGCACATGCCCGAAGGTAAGCCACTTGCTCACAGTCATGGACCCGACGCGCAAGTTGACTAATGCAAGTGGCGAGCCATCTTCTGAGCTTTGACTGCAGCCACTCGAGTCGGACCGCCGTGGATCATTCACAGGAAGGCTACTGGTTTGATTTTCAACCTCAAGCTCTTGCTCCTGTTCAAGTTGCTTGTTCACGATCTCATTCTGCGGCTGCATCACAGGCTCTTCGGGCATCTGAGGTTCCAATGAGCACCTCGGACTGGGATGATCAGCCAAGAGTTGCTTCACCTTCTCAGCCATGTCCGAACTGTAGACGCTGGAACTGACAGGTATTCTTTCCGAGTGCATAATATGTGTAAGACTTTGCACCTGTTGTTCTTGGAACTGAGAGCGAAGAGTTGGGGACTCCAGGGGTGGCTCGATGCGTCTTGTTGGGGTCGCCGTGTACTTCTCCAAGTGAAACTGGTTCCCGAAAGAGGATCGTATGGATTGTGTGGATTGACGCTGCTTCAACGTTTCTGCCCCAAACAAGTCATCATATTCATCCCAAACCTCATCCTCAGCCAGTGGTGCATCAGGATCAGGAATGACTGCAGTAGCCTCAGCAAAGTTGAATCCTCCAGAGCTGCTGGAAGTCGTGGTATTGGTGGTACATTGAGAGCCCTTCCTTGGTGAGAAAGTGAGAAACTCCTGTCCAATCTGGCTGTAATAAGCTGGCAGCATCGATCCCGGACTTTGAGTCAGCACCAGGGCTTCCATTCCAACCGGCGTCGATGGCCTGGGTGGACTCGGCCCCTTAGCAATGGAGTATGCATCCCGAAGATCCATCTTGGATGGCGTGGCTTGAACACTAAGTCTATGGAACGGCCGGGAGAAACTCTTGGGTGAGATCTGTTCAGCACGAGCACTGATGACTTTTGGAATCCTGCCGACCTGAGGGAGTCGGCTTGGACGGCCTTGTGCAGGACTGGTGGTGTTCCCAGCTTGCGTTGGAACTGGTGGAAGCATTGACGGTGGGGGCGGAAGCTTAGGGAACCTGACCGGGGACATGTCCTCAGGCTCAGCGACTGTCGGAGCCTGGATAGTGGCCTTCGAAGTAAGGACGCTGTCTTGCGTGTTCTCTTGCGTTACGGAGGGTCTGCGCTCTTCCGACTGTTTGTGCTGAGGGTTGGGAATCTGCTTGCGAGTTGGAGAGTCCGGGCTCTTAGCATCGCGAAGAACTTCCTCCAAATCCGGAATATCGGTATCTTCCTGTTCAGACGAGTCCATCATGGTGTAGAATGCCAGCGGCTTGCTTTGAACGACCTTGACTGTCGCCGCCACAGCAGCCATTGGAGCGATGTTCTCGGGAACATCCACCTTCTTTGGCTCTGGAGCAGATTGGCTGTGGTTCCTTCCAAAGAAGTTCCATTTTCGCGGAGAACGAGCTCGCTTCATCAGGCGCTTGGGTCCAGAAAGGTTCTTGGGTCCCTCTGGTGCCTTAATACCCTGAGCGGCGTCAATTGACGGAGCCAGCATGGAGTCGTCCGTCATCAGGACACTGACATCAATGCTAGTGATCGAGGGAGACGTAACATGGGGTTGAGTGACGATAGGAGCCGGAATCCTTGGGGGTTCCTTCTCTCCAGACTTCAACCGTTGTATGGATCTCCGCAAAGCCAACGTCGACTTGATAATCGGAGCCTCTGACTCACTGCTCTCAGAGGGTCTGCGGCTGCTAACAGACGCGCTCAGTGCATGTTGACCAGCGCGAGGGAATGCAGACGGCCACAAAGTGTTCCGAGGGGTGGAGTTAAGAGAGACTTGCGAGCCGTTCTGGGATTCCACGCTGGGTCGCTCGCGCGTGACACTTTGACTGCTTTCAGTCCGGCTCATTTCCGAACCGACATTCCTGTTCTCGATGATTTCACCGCCTGCAATAACGACAGGTGCCATCCTTTCCAACAAGAAGGAATCACTGGTGCCAATGCTTTCTTGCGAACTCATCGTCCCAGGGATCGCTCGGCTAGTGTTTGCAAGGCTGTTGCTCCTACGGCGTGTTGGCCCGACGCACCCATAGCCTTCGTGGCCAGTTCCCGCTGCAGGGCCTTTCCTCGCTGTCTTTGTCCGTCGGCCGAAAAGGGGGAAACGTCGAAACGTCGAGACACCAGGGCTTGGCGTACGGATGGTCCTTCCTGGTTCGGCCTTGATGGTACTCGCATCTTCCCCCATCCTGGACATCTTTGGCGCTGGCGTTGCCTCTCTGGTGATGGCTGGCCTGAGTAAATGAACATGTGTGTCGGAAGTTGAAGATAGCAAGCCAGGCCTGGCAACGGTTGCCGGTGCCATAAGTTTGCTTGATCTCTTCTCTGATGGTGCAGATGTCAAGTTACTCTGGATTACGGGCACGGGTAGACCTATTTGAGAGTAAAGATCCGGGGTTCCATCTCGGCTCGGGCGGCGAGGAGGCTGTCCTCTCGGAGGTGGAACCTGTTGGGCAGTTTGGGCGGGACGAGGTCGAGAGAACGAGCCTGGCTTTGGCAACAGTTGTGCCGCTGGTGCCGTTGGCTGCGTCGGTGGCGCACGCCAGGGCCTCGGCGGGGACAAGCTTCCATCGTGGCTCTTGGTAAATTTGTGTGACGATATGCGTGGTGGTGGGCTAGGCGCAAGCCGTGATAGCTGCTTTCTCTTCTTGGAATCCTTCCTTTCAAGCTCGCGGACTGTCGAGTTGGAAGACGACGAGGTCAAGGATTCCCTGACTGATGGCAAACCCTGAGGGTCGGCGCTGACCAGATCCAACTCATTTGATATGCTTCCTCCTCTTCTCCTGCTGACTGGTGGTCTTGTTTGAATCGCGTCAACCTGTCTCATCCTGACACCTGCTCCGGGGAATCGTAAAGGCGTCACCATGCCGGGGGACTGAGAGGACATGGACGTAGGCGTGGTGTCTCGGCTATACGGACCAGGTCCTGGTGACTCGGAGAATCTTGTACACGGGCTGCTGCTGAAGCCACTCATCTGACTGCTAGATCCGGAGAACAAGGGCGTAGGGGGAGGAAGATCGTGAGTGGTGAGAGGGTACGGCACCTCGATGCCGAAACTTCCATTGTAGACTGGCACTTTGACATCGCGATATCTATCCAGCTCTGGGTATAATGTTGATGGTTGCGGTGCGCCTACCGCAACTTCGACTTGGTGAGCTACTCGGATTTCCATCGAGTTTGATGCCGGGTTGCGGTCGGAGCGTGAACTGGCTGAGGAGTCGATTGAGATCTGGGATCGAGGGTTGGAAGCCGATGAGGACGAGCTTGTTTTTGAGTGGTTTCCGGTCTCGTCTCGGGAGCCTTTGCGGATGCTGTTCACTACCTCTTGTGATATCCCTGAGTTCTTCCTCCTAAGCACATTTCGGGGTTTCGAGGTCGGCGCAGGTAGTCGGCTGGATGACGCTGATATAATCGATGTGGTGTTGCCCAATATCTTTGAATTTCTGTTTCCTGCTGTAACCCGAGGCTGAAGGGGTTCCGGTTGGGTATCGGAGGGCCGCCGTTGCGGCAAAGATTGCGGTAGCCTACTAGGCATTTTGGGCTGTGGTAGTGTCCTTGAACGTTCGGTGCTTGACTCTCCTCCTCTCTTCTTCAAAAGTAATGAACCGGGTGGCGCTATCGTTCCGGGACTTTTGAGCCTGCTATCGGCTGAAAAGCCTGAAGGACCGAGTCCTGGCCTTTGGGAAGCCATTGTGATCCTATATCCCACGGAGGAAGGCCGGCTAACAGAACCATACTAAGACTCTTGCTCCGTGGTCCACGACATGCATGCTGTGCAAGAGTAACACAACCAAAGTCTACCGCGCTGGTAGTATGTGTCCAGGGGCGGGAGGCTGTGACGGGCACAACGGGAGTAGCCTAGTCGTATCGCGGGACACCGGTGCTCGATCCTGCCCGTGGCAATTAAGTGCTGATCCCGTATTAGTATTCCACCGGGGGCTGAAGTACACGACAGGTTCTTGAAGAGCAGTGAGTAGATTAAGCAAGGTCCATAATGACCGAGAGAACAAGAGAACGGAAATTTTAGAAGAAAGAGGCTGAGAAAAAGGATGGATGATTCAGTAGTCCCTGGGTGGATGGTCTACTAGTTACCTAGTTTAACTCAATTCCTGGGAACCATGGACCCCGCATGAGGTGTGGTGTATAAGTGACCCGAGAATGGGTGAAATGTGATGGAGGACTGCTACTAGCCAGGGGGTTAGGTGGGTTTTTGCTCGTGTATGTGTACAGTGGCAGTAGATTGGGAAGCAGATTGTGTGTGTAAGCTCGCTCTGTCATGCAGGAGGAGATGGAGGGTGTGTGGGTGGCGTGGTGGGGGTTAGGTTAAGTTGAAGAGGTGGAAGGTATCACAGCACATAGTGATATGTAGTAATGTGGAAGTAGTAAAGGGGAATACGGATACGTATCAGGGAAGGCGTCGTCGGATGTAGCATCCATAAAACTGAAAAGAAAAGAGAAGAAAACCACAACGAACTGAAGTGAGCCCAGACAGACGGAACAGATACAACACTTACTTAGGTTAGACTGCTGGTTGAGCTGCTCGGAACTGGACAGCCTCAGTTCAGTTACAACGTGGAAGCCCCGGCAAGGTAGAGCGTTCCGAGGCTTTGGTAACTTGAGAGTCAAGTTTGTTTGAAGTGGTAATGAGGGAGTGATGGCAGCCAAGCGGGAGGAGAGGTACTACCTCGAGAAGAAAAAAGGGAAGAGAGAGTGAGTGAGATACTCGAGATGACAAGGTAGGAAGAGTTAGCCGGATAGTGAAGGCAAGAGCTCATGAGGTAGGTAGAGTGGCAGTAGAGTAGCAGTCTCGACGAGATATCAATAGCGCGGCAAAAAGACCCCATGTTCCTGACTTGCCGCGTAGAGTAAGGATCTGCCGCCAATGAGATGGTCCAGGTCGGCGACAATATGCTTGGGAAATGTCGACAATGTCAATCCAAGTACACCATGCGGACATGTATGGGTGGAAGGTACAAGGGCCAGGGTTGGTATGATAGCCAGTCCATCGGTGGGAACAAGGTAGACATGGGAACCTCAATGGCCCGTCCATAAGACCGGACGGCCGCCCTCACTCGACGTGTAATTCCACTCGCTCATACAGGGCAGTGGTCCTCCCATCATGGCAGAATCCAATGCTAGTGCCGATATAGGCAACCCCGTGTTGCTATCTTTTGACTCTCGGGGTGGCGTAGACAGCTTCGAGCCCCAAATGGATGAAGTGTTGTCAACTCAACAACACCTGACTTTTGACCATCTTCAGCATGAGTGAGCGACGACGGACGAGACAGTGAAAGACTTGGCAGGAATATTGGGCAGTGGAAAATGCAAACATGATGCGTTGTGCACTGGCAATTGACGCTTTTCTGGAAGATGCCCGAAAGAGGGGGAGGGAACCTGATTCAGTCGGTTGTGAAGAGTCACCGTTGAGAGTTGGAAAAGAGAAGAGGGGAGAAGAACAGCGCAGTGGAGAAGTGTCCAATCTGCATTCAACAAAGTTGGCGACCTCTTGTGGTTCAATTTGAGAAGAGGAAAGAAGAAACTGTCAAAAGGGCAAATGCGTCGTTGCTGTTGGTTGGGCTGCATGGTGTCAATAGCATCAAGTCCAGTGCAAGGGTGCACCTGCAGCGGGAAGAGTGGAGAGATGAACTCCAGGAAGGGGGTGCCCGTCAAATCTGTCGCTGTGCCGTCGTCCCTTCCCATCCCGGGGGTCCCACTGTACCGCCCTGTTCTCGGTGGATCGCATCGCCCTGCACCTACCTGTACCTGCCTGTACCTGCTGTCTTGTACCTGACGCTACAGAAAAGCTGGGTGCCAAATCGTGGAGTAAACACCGACCTCGGCTGCATCGCGAAGAAGACAATGAACCAAAAAAACAGCTTCAATGTCGAGGATCCCAAGTTCCAATCCAAAGAGTACGTGTCCCTAGCCGCTGTGCCGCCTCATGCTCAGAACCGCAACCAAAGACAGGAAAAGACAGCCCTGGATATGCATGCGGAGATGCCCTATGAGCACCCAGAAGGCAATGCGAAGTGTGCCATTGGGCGCGAGTTTAGGGACGGGGTTTGGCTCAATGCTACCCCCCTCTCCTTTCAATCTCTGGTCGCATTCGATCCTCTTTTCTTCCACTGACTCTTCCTGGGCATCCCGAGAGCCTCCATTCGAGGCCCAGAGATCGCTGCTCACCTCGTCAGAAGCAATTTGCGTGTTGGTGATGAGCCCCCGAGCTCCCCCTTGGCCGACCATCTAGGCCGACTGAGGATATGAAGAGCAGTGCCCCCGGCCCATTGTCTGGCCGTCTACACACTATCTGCACTATACAGCTCGGGCATGTCGCGATTATCATGTCCAGATATCATATAGCCATGGATGTCCCTGGCTTTTGGGTCAGAAAAGAGAAAGTCAATCGGCTCAAGACGGCACGGGAATTTGATGGACGGCAAGGTTCCATGGATGGTTGAACGCGGGGTTCTTTCGCCCTCATCTTCTCAGGGTCACTTACAAAAATCTACAACTTCTCAGGGGATCGTGCAAATACCAAGGTTTGGTGTGATATCTCCGTCATATACCCACCCTGAGCTAAGGAAAAAGTTGGAAGCTCTGACGTGCTCAACCCCATCAAATTCTCTCACATGCCGGGCCAGGCATCGGGAATGAGGAAGAGTTTATGTCACCGTGATGGGCTCTAATTTCTGTTGCCTATCCGACCCTTCATCCGATCACAGAACCCCTGATGCCATCAAGGATTGTGGGCAAAACGTCAAAAACACCCTGAAATCATTCAAAATGACAGGATCCATGTCGTTGATCCCCCGGAGGCGCTAATGGACTCCCCGGCAAAAGAAAGAAAAACGAGGGAGAACGGGTCCTGTTCGAGGGAATAATCTCAGGTATAATGGCGGCACCATCACCATCCATCAACCCAATACCAAGACCATGGCACAGACAATACAAAATCTCCCATCCCACGGTCCATCGTCCAGCGCCCACATCTCATCATCATCATCATCATCATCATCATCATCATCCATCCATCCCGTCCCCAGCTCCAGGTGTCCCAGTCTGCGCACATACCACAACACCCGTAGCGAGACTTGTGCCGTGTGGTGTCAATCAAGTGTCAATCGCGTCCATGGGAGACGGGATAGAGAGATTGAAGGGCATCAAGCGAGAAGCGATCCGATTTTCCCCTCGCACCGAGCGCGTCCTTGTACGCAAAAGGTAACGAACTCACGGAGTGTCCCAGATCTAACCTCCGGCATTCGCTCCCGTGGAACCGACTTGTCGAGGTTCGTCTAGTGTATTCGTCATGGCAACAGGTAATTGTCGTGACGAGCGAAGCACGACGGAGGACGGACGGGTTGCTGATTGATCAGTTCATTACAAGCAAGCGTCCGTCCGTAAGCCATCGGCGGGCCATGTCACCCACGTTGTTCTGGGGAAGCACGGCATTCTTTGGTCAGGGGTTGGCAAGGTTGGATGGATACCACGGATGGGGGGCCACTGGGCATTCAACCATTGAAGACATCGTGTGGTTGCCCTGCTGTGTCTCACTGGAACAGATATGCTCACTCTCTTCTTCACAAAGGAATGATAGCTCACCAAAAGAGTGCGCCGCAATACTGCGATACAAATGAACCCCAACGTCTCGGAAGCCAATGGATTCGCAAATCGGGGTTTTGTTCGCCTGCCTCGCCTGCCGTAAACCGCCCAGTGGGCATCGTCAAAAAAGCCATCGTTTCGACAGCCGCCCAAATCCACGCTACCATTCGTCGATCCGTCCCCTTGCTTCAATCCTGCAGTGTCTTGATTCGGCCCCAAGCACCGATCTGATTGGCCTGAAAATGAGGAGGAATTGTAACCAATCACTTTGGCTTGTTGCCCAGTGGGTGTCGTCGTTGCGTGGGTTTTGCTTGGTCTGGAGGAGTTGGAGCACTTTGGAGGACTCTTTCATTTTCCAATCACAGTGACTAAACACCCTTCTGGACTTCAAGCCTACTGAAAAGGGTAGGTCAAGCCGGATGTTTCTGTGATTTTGCAGAGTCAAAATCTTACGACGGGAGAACGGAGAGGTTTTGCTATGGAGCTTGATGAAAAAACTTCAGGGCGGATATTGAAGAGGAGTACACTTAGTCAAAGTTTTTCCTTCAATCATCACAGCACATCGGAAAGGATGACAACGCGGAATGTGGGTTCACGATTATACATGCGCTACCTTACCTGAGGCCAACGGTTGTGCATCAACACCCATAAGGGGGTATCATCAGGAACCTCAAGACTGCCTGGTCAGTCATCCACGCTCCTAGGTAAGATGGTGGGCCAAGCAAACTGAATTCTGCATAACAGCGACCTCCACCGTTCAAGAAACAAATTGGGCGTCCAATCCGTCATTGACAAGTTGTCGATGATCGAGAGTTCGATTTGACTGCTACGATGAACCTCCATCGCCCAGGGGCCATCGGTTGACTTCGCCGAAAAGACTCCACCAGAAACCAACGCCACCAACCTGACCTACCTAACGCCAGTCATCCAGATCGCATCGCAGGGCTTTCTTCCTTCGTCCCAAATCCCAATGCGACTGCGTCTGCGGAAGTTCAAGACAAGCATGAATTAAGCCTGGCTCACAATCCACCTGGTCGGATTCTGGGCCACTGAGCCTCGTTCCCAAATACGCTTCATTCCGAATCCTTCTCAAAAGTCTCAGAAACCGAACCCGAACTGCTGGAGACACTGTGGCCGCCGTCATGGGCCGTGGTCGTAACCGGCCGGTCAGCTCCATGGGTGTGGCGAGTGCACCCAAAAAAGCGAAGATATCGGCAACAAATCCAACCAACCAAATCGCCGGCAGCCGCTCCGCCACACTCGAAATACCATTGCAGTGGAAACTGAGATGGGAAAGTGAGGCTGGTGACGTGGCACGTTGACGAGACCGCTACAGACCGAACTACACTACAGAACCTCAACCGCTGCCTCATGGAAACGGCTGCCTCCCTTCAGTTCTGTATCAAATTTTTCCCTGAATTCTGTACAACGCATCAATCTTCAGCTTTGCTTGCCCAGCAACATCACGGAGTCCTCCGCCATGCGTTTGCAATTCAATATCTACCTCTTCGTTCGGAAATTCACTTGAGAGCTGGAAAGATCGAAAACTACTGCAACGAACATGCCATCATCCGCTCCATCTGTCAAATTCCCCTGAAGAGACAGAAAAGTTGTGAGGCGCAAAATGGAAGTCAACAAGGCCCCTGTCCTATTCCCGGTGGTGCCAGGGTGCCAAGCCAGAAGCATCCCAAAACTGCCAAAAGCTTGCCGCAACAGGGGTCGTCTACAGATCTTATTGGCCATTGGCAATGTCTTAGTGTCGAACTGTCGAACACCAAGCGGGCGGCTTCGACATGGTCTCGGGATCTCTCTTTGTTGCTGCTGTTCTCCTGTTTTCGGAGTCCTCTTCTGCAGTTTTTTTGATTGCGTCTCTCCAGTTTCTGGATGGTTCAGCAGGCAGCTGGTAACGTGATCGTGAAGCGGTGTGAACTTTCTGGAGTTGTTGGTTCTTGCGGCTCTGAGTAGGCACTTGGCCAACATTCACACACCTCATACAGTAGCAAAAGTACTATGTAGTGTAGACATCTTTGTTGAGGGTTGTTGCCATGTCGGTTTTCTGTTTTCACATTTCGGTATGATGTCCGCTCACTTGAGCGGCTGTGCATACCTCTAGAGCTTCGGTCTACGAGATTGTCTCGTTTCTTGATAAGCTTTCTTCGGACTGACTACGTCATTAAACTACTGGAAGAAGAACCCAAGGCTTCTCTTCTGCTGGGACCTGGGAAGCCTTCGGAGATCCTAAACCGAAAACTTCCAGGTAACGCCTTGCCTAGGTAGTAAGTATGCCTAGGTCGGTGAGTTGTCCGACAAGAGTCACCATCAATCCGCAAGCCTTGGACGACTGGATATTACCTACCAGAACTGTCACTCCCCGTTCCCTTATTCCATCAGCTCTTCGCAAAGCTAGCTGAGCATCCAACACGCTTAGTCTACCTCCTCAACATTCCAAGTTGAACTCCCCCTAAGCCGTCTCCGGTAACATCATTTTTGTTTTTCAGCTGCCTTCTGTTGATGACTTGTCGACCTCTATCTCCAATCCTTCATCCGATACTATCCATGTCATGCCTTCCCATCCATGTCTAATCTAGTCCAGTTTAATAGGATGGAGATGAGATGATTCATTCGATGGATCGGTCCGCTTTCCCTCAACCCGATTTATCGTTATCATAACCACCATCACCGAACAGGGTCATCTATCTACCTAACCCACCCACCTGACCTGACCTGGTCATATCTGGAAAGAAGAAGAAAAAAAATACCATGTCCATGTTTCCCGTATCCCGTCCCGTCGTCATCTGTCTTGGACGTAGGGCGCTTCCCTGCTACAAGCTAACCGCTTGTACACTCGCTCAAAACCTCCGCCAAAGCCGGCAAAACATAATACCAATACCAAGACGAAGACTAGGAAGCTGGGGTAAGCGGATGTGGCTGCCTGATATGAGAGCCTTTGTCTCTCTTCTGGAGACATGCCACCGTCCAACATCGCCTTTACCCAGGCAGCCAGTAGTGGAAGACGTCTGAGCATATACACTATTGGATGCCATCTTACAAGCTCGAGAAATACCGATTCACTGTTGGTTTTTGTTTGCTTAAGCCGTGAATTCCCTCTTGGTCCCAAGGGTTTCCTTGGGTTTGATCTCTCTGGGAACAAAATGGCTGCCTTCTGGTGGTTCTATTGACGAGTGCCCCTTCTTCCTTCGTTCCTTCCTTCGAGATAGCGTTCTTTTTTGAAACCCCAACAACAAATCGTAGTACCTAGGTAACTGTACCTAAGTATCAGTCCACTCACGCTCCTGGAACTACCTAGTAAAGCTGCCCCAATCCTGAGTTATCTTGCTCCTGCTCTCCCATCCAGTACCGCGCGTCTCCCCAGCCTATAAGATAGTCGCTCTCAAATCCCCAGGCTCAGCAGCTACGTAGTCCGCGTCAAGGTGACGTCTGGGGCTGGCTGGCTGGCTGGCTGGCTGGCTGGTTGTGGGCTGCGAGCAAAGTGGGCTGAGTCAACAATTCCTTCACCCACATACACAGTAAGCAAGGCGCTTAGCTATCTATCTATCTGGTTGGTGTCTTTGGGGAATGGAGGCATCACTTCGTTGCCTTTTACTGGTCTATCTATCACTTGGTCATTTCAAGCGGGGTCATTTCAAGCGGGCGAGGAGTGAGTAGGTATCCGAAACGGCTAGTGAACGAGATTACTCACTACACTAGGAGTAGGCCATGAGAACATCGAATCCGTCATAAAATGCTCCATTTCATTGTGTTAGTATTGGAGGATAGAGGGATGGAAGGATGAGGGGGTTTGAGGCAGAAGAAATAAAGGGGGTGCAGAGGGTTTGCGGCAGTTAAAAAGAGGAGGAATGGAAAATGAGGAAGCGAGTGGGGAAGGGGAGTGGGGTGGAAATGGCACTAGATGTTCCTGCCACGAGTGATCAGGAGAATGAATGGCTTTGAGAAGGAAATAAGGGGCATGACATGGTCCTCCGCGTACAGTTCGCGAATGTCCTGGTTAATGAACGGGAACAAGGGGATGGATGGATGCTGTACGTCGATGGTTAGATGACATGATGAGCTTGAGCTACCAAGTTGACCGGATATCGGATACTGAGTTGAGGAATGGCCGAGTGGTGATGAAGCCTTGCCATGACCTAACATGATATGATCTTGGTGGTGACGGATATGGCTGTCTGCTATGAATATCTTCTTGATTGATAGATGTCATGCTAAATTGTTGAAACAGAAAGAAAAATGAGATATGTAAACAAATTTCAAGTATGTACATTTCGTGCAAAGGGTCTGCTTGTTTCAGACCTTTGCATAACTGCTCTACTGTGCCTCATCGCGGAAGATCGTGCGCTCGCTCTCTTGCGCTTATCATGTCCTGTGCACCATGATCTTGCGGACTCTGTGTCCTCTATCGTCTATAGATGCCTCTCGTAGTTGGAGATATATATGACACGACCAATGAATTTATACAAAACGTGGCCCCACATAGACAGTCGGAGGACAAATTATGAAGTAGATGTTGGCTAATTCGGTCGGTACTGTGTATCCCGCAGCAGCTCGGCTGCTTCTGACTGTTTCTTACTTGAGGAAACGATCGAATCCCTCAAAGTCCTGGAAGAAGTCGTCTTCAGTCTTGACCTTTGAGCCTTCCCTGTCGTTTGAGCCTTGCGAGGCTGGATCGTGACCGGGCTCTGCTTCCTCTTGTTCCTGTCGATTTAGATGTTTTAGTTTTGTGGCGAACGGTGGCCTTCCACCTGGGCCATACTTCACCCACAGCATGCTCCCCACCGCATACTCGCGGTTGTGAGGTATGAAGAGCTCTGGCTGGGTCTGTCTGAACTTAAGCTTCCACTCCTTCATTGAGTGGTGAATCAACTCGGGCAGACGTTCTATGACGTAGGAGCCATAGGCAAGATTGCATAACCTGATGGCTTCTTTGAGCGAAAGCGTCTCCCTCACTTTTGGGGGGACGTAGTGATGACTGTCTTTTTGAGGCCGGTGGAAGCGCTTGATCTCGCCAGAAAGCAAGAGCACAGTGAGAGCCGGGACGATTACCGAGCGCACAAAAGAGTCATCAGCTCTCACACCCCTCTCCTTGAGCATTGCGACGAGTTTGATGCCTCGGGCAAAGAAGAAATCTGCTGGCTTCGAGAACTCTGTCCCATTCCAAGGCAATCCCCTGGAGCTGCGAAACCCCCAGCGGATGATTGATCCCAAGAGCTCGCTACTAAACACCATGTGCAGTGGATGGTGGGGGCTCGTTGTGCTCAGTTTGGATGGAAGCTGCATAAAGGTTTCTGACTTCGGCAGTTGCTGAGCGACTGCGTCGGGCAGATCGAGCTTATGAACCCGGAAAGAGCCTTTCTCTGGTCCCAGAGTACCCTCATAGAAGTCCACAATGTCAAATGCGAGATCATCGCGCTCGTCATGCAGTCCTTCACGTCCGAGCCTGAACAGAATGATCTGAGTAGCTTTGACTGTCAGAGGATATCCGAGTCGTAAAAGCTGTCTATGCATGTTGGCATAGGAGGAAATGTTGACGCGATCTTTCCCAGGCTGATTTTTCTCAGGCTGATTTTTCTCAGGCTGATTTTTCCCAGGCCGATTTTTCCCAGGCCGATCTTTCCCAGGCCGATCTTTCCCAGGCCATGGTGCTATCTCTTCGGATATATGTTTTGAGATAGCATCGGCTGTAGAGTGCAACACTTTGATATTTGCATCGGCCATAATTTTGAAGAAGCCGGTCATAGCTGAAGCCTTGTTGGCTTTCAAACAGACCAACAACGCCTCGTTCGTCAACTCTTCTAGAAGTTGTGTTGTTTTGAGATGACTGGCTTCCAAAAGAAGTCGACAGAGCATGAAGTCTCCCTCCGCAGCGGCACAACGCAGAAATGAGGGGTGCTTGGGAAAGTTGTCGAACTCTTGCGGATGCATGGTTGTATAAACAAGACCCTCGAACAGTTCCTCGTCGCCAACTGTAGCAAGGTGTTGTAGTGTCTCCGAATAGGTTGAGTTACCAGTTCCAATTCCAGACTTTTGCAGGTGTGCAACGTGGTGGAGGAGTCGGTCAGGAGATGGTTCGCGCCGGGCAATGGCCTGTAACGAGAGTGGCCCAATTTCAGAGAAACCGAGAGTCGAGACTGTGCCAATGATGGTTTCGACGGAGAAGTCGATGGTCGCAAACCATCTAGCGCCCAAGCTGTCGTTATCCGTTTGTTCCCTGATGCCGAACACATTGCCCAAACTTTTAGAGATTTGGTAGTCGAAGCTGACATCAACTTCCGAGTTGTCCCCCACAAGGTCGTTCAGCTCTGCAGTTGCACTGCTCGGAAGTACAGGTTTACTTGGTGTAAGGAAGGACTGTTCTTTGTCGGTCAACTGGATCTTCGGATGAAAGCCGGCCAAAAATTGTAAGAACGGCCGAGAGCTTTCGGTTGTTGGGAAGTCGTGGTGAGAAAGAAATAGCCGACGCCAATCACGGGCAATACCCTCCTCCCCTTGAGCAAAGAGGTAAGGAATGATCTCGTCGTAGAGGTTTTGGCGAACACTCGTCATGTAGAGTGCTTGTAGTATGTCTCGAACCTTTGCGTCTGAATTAGTGAGGAACTGCTTCAGCACTTGGACAAGGGGCTCGGAGTAGTGACAAAATGACGGGCTTAGGCGCAAGTGCCATAGCAGAGTAGATTGTATATCCTGTTCCACAACGAAGAAAGATACAACACCTGCATAGAGGTTTGGCCAAAGGACTCCGTGGTCGCTGTAGAGCCACTCAGCGTAAGACCAAGCACTGTGTAGCATTTCTCGATCCCGAACGGCCACATCTAGTATTGTTCGCCAGAATTGCTCAGCAATTGGGCCTTCCACTGCCGTCAAGGTTCGCCGTTTTTGCAGGCCCTCGAGAACTGCAGCGACCCCGACATCTCCTTCGGTACGTTGGCGGTGCTCAAGTATGCAGGACCAAAGAGTGATGTCGTTCGCATACTGTGGCCAGTCAACCAGTCGCGGCTGCCCATCCTTTGGTGTATCTGCGAGGACATCACACTGAAAGTGCAAGTCTTCCTCAGTAGCCGCCAAGATACACCAATCATCACGGTTGAGAGGGTGGTTGCGGGATGTTCGAAAGCCCGGCCATCTGGACAGATCGTATGTGTTAGACGCTTGGCCGGGTAGCGCCTGTACTGCCGAGGCCTCGGCCGTCTTTGTATTTCGAACACCGTGGTCTTCTTCCGCCGCCAGACTCTCACCAAGTGCACATGCCGTCAACGACCTCGACCAGCGCACGCTTGTTGAGAAGTTGACGCATCCTGGTCGCCCAGATGCTTGTAATTGTACAGCGTCCGTGTATAAGTGCGATATGGTGGAGCGGCCTGAGCGAGCTACATGTCGCAGCACAGGAGGCACGGCTCGCATAATGGTATCGTGGCCGCTTGACACAAGGAATCGGCCATATAAACAGCGGAAACTCTTCTTATGGGATGTAGGATGCGCTCATGTTGATTCTTTCTTCGTTTCGAGGTCGCTACTGGCTTATTCGGCGTCGTGGTTTGTATCGATCGTATGTATCGCGAGGTACCTGGCGGTTTGGTGACTGACTCGAGTTCTGGGGTATCGCGGTCCCACGGATGGGGTTGTGAGGGGATGTGGAAACTTTGGTTGAAGCTTTGACATTCTGGAGTGGAGGAGACACAAAGTGGAGGAACTTGCATGGAGAGCAGCTTCGGAATCTTGCTTAGTCATTCGGTACGTACTGCACAGCTAGTCTCCGGCAGGCATCGAGTCCGCTGAGCTTTCGAAGGTCAAGTCGAGGCATTCAGCCAGCATCAGCTGAGAGCTGTGAGCACTGGCCAATACTTTTACACCTGGCAGGCAGGCAGAGCTTCCGCCGTCGGGTCTGCGGTCTCCATCCACAACAGTCCGTGCACCAACAGGAAGCCCCGAGCCGAGAAACCTGGAGCATTGAGAGGTTCAAAGCTAACTCTCCGTCCTTTCCACGCATTCGACATCATCACAACAACCCCTCGCATCACCCCCCGGAATCTTCCACCCAACGACCACCGACAGCAATTCAAGATGGCGTAAGCTTCTCCCCTCCGACTCCGAGCTTCTCGACGACCCTCCGACCCTCGAGCGACTGCGCGCATTGCGGACGCCGCCCCAAAGTCCAATTGCCTGTCGTCATGACGCACTATTATTCGTCGTACGATTTCGGAATCCCAGGCTAACAGCTCTCTTTCTTGCCCGACTGCAGCGGCCTCGTCAACGCCAAGAACCGTGTCCCTGAGAAGCAGCGCTTCTACCAGCAGGCCTACAAGAACCACACCCGCCTCTGGAAGATTGTGAGTTGAATTCGACACTCGACGATGGAGGCAGATTGGATGAAAGGAAAATAAGAGAGGGGGGTATATGGGAGAGAAGGAGACAGGGAGATATGATCGGGACAAGGGCTGATGATGAAATCGCAAACAGGGCCCTCGCAGCGGCATCATCATGACCTCCTTCAACATTGCCATGTGGGGTACTTTCGGCGGTGCGTATACCTTCATTTTAGCTTACCGCCTCGTCCTTGGTCCTTCCGCTAACTATACATCAGCCTCCATGTACGCCATGTCCCGCAAGGTTCTCGGCTACAACACCTGGTTCTCCGAGGATTAAATTAGCCGTCCTACTGCGATAGCCAACGAAGGATGTGTTGCTGGATCATAAGAGAAGCAAGTGATTCCCTTTGAATATGTGTATAGTCACGAAAGAGCAACATAGACGGCGGCAGAGGGAAGGCCGCTTTGGGTGACTCCTCCAAGAAGTAGGCCACCATGCCAACATTCCCTATTTGCATCCTGGATCCCATCGACCACCTTTTTGGAGCTACTGTAACCGTGGAAATCGTGATCCATTGGGGTCTCGGCGTTTCGACTGCCAAGCTCCAAATACTGATGGCTGCAGCTGGCAAGCCTTTTCTATCATTACAAAATTATGGCGTTCTTGGCCATGCGGTAGTAGTAGTGGCCATGGATGGGTAACGTTGATCTGTGAATAATGGCCTCCAGTTGTCCCCTTTCTCGCGCGGGCAGGTAAAGCAAGCGCTTTTAGATTCCTGAGGCACCGGGGGCCTTCTCGTCCTTCTTTAGGCTTATCAGGAGCTCGCGGAAACGCTCCTTGCCGGAACCAGCAGCACCGCCCTTAGCTCCCTTGCCGCTAACGTCAACCAGCTTGGCAATGCGCTCCCAGCTCGTGCCTCCCGATGTGGTATCCTCGCGGTTGGCAAGAAACTCCTCGGCCTCCTTGCGGGTCTGCGCAATCGCCTTCTCCTTCTTAGTGTTGTAGTTATCGTAGAAATCGTCAATGTTCTTCTGGGCCTCCGCGATGGTCTCGGCTCTCTGGGCGGCGAACTGCTCCGCGCGCTTGGCAAGCTGCGCATCACGCTTCTCGCGCCACTCCTTGATCACCTCGGGCTCTTGCTCCTCCTCGGCGTATGGCGCATATCCGGAGTTGTAGGACACGGAAGGACCGGTGCCGGTGATGGTGCCGCCTGGCGCAACAGACTAAAGTAGAGATACCCCTGTTAGAACCCAAGACCATAAATGCGTGCTGTATCGACAACTTCTAGGCGCGCATTGCTTATCCGTACCTCGTTGCCTGCGGAAAGGTCGGGGAACTGGCTCTCGAAAGCGGCGTCAGTCTCGATACCGGCGCCGGCGCCAGCCGAGGAGTCGAGGCCACCCCCTAGGAGGTCGTTGTCATCGTCGAAATCGGCATCCTCAACTGTCGCAAACTGGTTGGCATCGTCGCCGAGAAGCGCCTTCTCACGCTCGAGGAAGTTGGTGGCTGAGGGGCTTCCAGAGCCTTCCTTGATCTCTGTCTGGGCTTTCGGGGGGTTAAATGTTAGCAGGCAGTGACAGCAAGGTAAGGGGATCTCCAAACAATGCCAAGCTTACCGCCGGAGTCGAACTCCTCCAGCGAGGGGAATCTGTCAGCCATGGTGTGTTGGAGGCGTAGTTGACTTGTGGTTGATCGGGTCGCGGAAGGGTAAGAATTGAGACTGGAGACGTGGACTGCAAATTGAAGGATTAGGTAGGTCGATCAAAGAAAGTTGCGAATTGAGAAGGTTTGTTTGATGGAAAGTGTCTTGGTGTTGGTGTTGCACTGCGGGAGTCCGAGTTGCAGCCCCAGCGCTCCTGATCGCGCCAGGTTGCGACGGGACGCCACTCACAGCGGCCACTTTGGCACTTTGGCACTGTCCACAGCGGGCGGCCAGGTCGGGACGGGACCCTCTTTGGCCAGGGGAAGCCGGAGGGGACGACAGCTGCAGTGACAGATTCGACGGCAGCAGCAAGCGGCAGGCAAGTCTGCGGCAGACGTTGGTCCCTCTTCAGGTTGCCCGCCCTCGCATTGGTGGATGGGGAAGCTCCAACGTCTGTTTCGTTCCCACCTCCCCGTCGTCAACTTCTTTCTTCCTCGATTTTCTTCCTTTCCATTAACAACATTCACCACTTACGGTTTCAGTTGTTTGTCACAGAGCATCCAGATCACGCTCATTTGCTCTTCGCATTGCAAACTCTTCCTGGTGACAGCATTGGTAATAGCAGGAAAACGACTCCGGTGTAGTTGGACCACACAGCCTGACTGCGTAGTTCACTCTGAGCACTGCCGTCGTTCCAGTGTTGTGTGTTGATAGTCCACGCTTCTGCCACATTTTGAGGTTGTTCCCAAGGGTTTTCGATCCATATTCTAGATCATCACTCGCTCGGCTGCGTCTGGAGTCACTACTACAAACATCACGGATACCTCCTCGTACTGCTGCTGTAGATGAGTTCTGAATAAACCCGACACCGCATATCTAAACATCTGCCCGTCCACCATCGCCAACCAACCATCAACAACCCCAACCCAGCCCTTTCAGCCAGCGTGGGTGAAAGTACCAGCCATCAACCATCAGCAACCACCTTCTCAACAAATTCCAACAAGCTTCACCTAACCCTTCATCATGGCGTATAACGAGGATGCTGTGCTTTCTAAGCTCTCTGCACTCACTGAGACGCATGAGAGTATTGCTACCACCGCCCAATGGATCATGTTCCATCGGTAAGCTCCTGCTGCCTACAACAACTGCGTTTACCTCCTGTTTGGTTTCTTGACCGACGAACTGACTATTAATGTACCTTAGGCGGCATGCTGCCCAGACTGTCCATCTCTGGTTGACCAAGCTCAAAGACCTCCCCAGTCCCAAGAGGCTCAACATGATTTATCTTGCAAACGGTGAGTGCATCTTCTAGGCTACACCATAAACGTCACATATCATGTGCCCCCGGCGTTCGCTTTGGGACAAAACTGTCCAGTCCTTTTCGGTTGAGATCGAATGCTGACCATTTTCGCCTTTATCCACAGAGGTAACCCAACAATCAAAGGCTCGCAACAAGGAGGACTTCCTTCAGGCTTTCTCACCCTTCATCGCCGATGCAACCGCGTTGTCTTATAAGGGCGCCACGTCAGACATCCAGAACAAGCTCCGAAGGGTTGTCGATGTTTGGAGAGAACGCAAGATATTCCCCTTGGAAGTCCAAGACGCTATTGATTCTCGACTAAAAGGTAAGTCCTGACGATTTATGTCCCGACCACTCCCAGGATAGATAACTAACTTGTTCAATACAGAGCTTGACTCAGCCCGCTCCGGTGGCCCAATGTTCGGTTCCACATCACTATCGTCGCCAGCTGCAACTGTGCCTCCAGAGTTGGCGCCCTTGGTTACCTCACAGCAGGCGATTGCCAAGAGTGCCCAGACGCTCAAGACAAGCCTCACCACCGCCAACTCGGACTACAGCAAGCTTATGGATCCTGCTCATGCCCCTTCTCAGGCGCCAGTGTATGCTGCGCGACTCAATGGGCTGCTTAAGAACCTCGCCACTGCTGAGGGGGCTGTGACGGAATGCATCAAGACCCGCGAAGAGCTTATCAATGCCTTGGAGAAGATGTTGAACTCCAACCGACAGGCCTTGGAAGCTGAGCAGTCACAGCTGAGGGATCTAGGCACCCGCAAAACGGCAGTTGAGGAGAAGAAGCAAGCAATTGAGCTTAGCATCATTGGCGGTTTGCCTCACAATGCTCAAGAGCCGGCTGTCGGTGAGGGGCGCGCCCCAAGCAGCTCGGAAGGTCACGACATCGCCCGTCCCCAGGTCGAAGCCCTCACACCGCCTCATGTCCAGGATCACGACGATTTCTATGACAACCAGTCCATTGAGCAACAACAGCCGCAGAACGGTCATGCTCACCCAACCGGGTCCGCCCCCGGCATTGAGATGCTGTCCGCCCTCGCTTCGCAATATGAGTCTGTCCCGACTCGCGAGGCCAAGAAGCGCAAGATCAACGAGACAGAAGACTTTCCTGATGTGGGCATAGATGCTGAAGTCGCCGACATGATTCGGAAGGAAAGCACAGCCTAGAAGGCGAAGTCTTCGTCCGGATCTCCGCCTGGGAGATAAGGCTCTGTAGGCCAGGAAATCTATTGCACTTACTCTCTCTTTGTGTCCTTGTGTCTGTACCTGGTGCGTACAGTCTAACCTCCTGAAATTGGCACCATTTTTGCTTGTTTATGAGGACTATGATGGGTGGATGGGAAGAAGCACGATTTAACATGGCATTTTGGCGCGGGTCTGAAACGTTCTCTAGAGAGAGTGGAGGTACAGAAAGACGGGATTATGGGCAAATTTCATATGGCAAATCAACTAGCTGTTCGAATAGCTGTAGAGATATCGCAATTGGAATGAGACGACTTGAATGCATCAGTTCTTCAAACAAATCGTTTATCCCTTTTGTCTATTTCTTTCCCGTGGCTGTGTGATGACGTCCACAAGCTCCCAGAGCTCCAATACCCCTGAGAGGTGGCGGCATGGGCCAAGCTTGAGCACGGGCCCCTTATGGAAGCTGCCCGACATCGTGAACGTGATTGTCGGGATCCGGAATTCAGAACGGATGCCGCCGGCAATATTGACTCTGTTCTCTTGGCCGAATGACGACAGCTCCCGCCGATTAAAAGACGCGCGCTTTGCCCTGGTGGGGAACTTCTATTGGGGGAGAGGGACAATTGATGAAGAACAATCGAATCCGCCACCATTGTGCCCCCCGAACTTAACTTGAGCGCCAAATCGCAGTTGCTGCAGCGCAAAACCGGCGATTGACCACTGCAGTTCAGATCCCGTCCGCCGGGACAAGCAAGGGTTTTACACCGACGACCGAGCCGACCGAACTGCCCGCCTGTCATCTCAGCTTCCCATCTTCCATCATCCATCATCGAGGTAACGTTCCCGTCTCCCGTCCCCGTCGTCCTTCTTCCTCGGCAACAACCTTTCCACTTCTTTCCTTTCATCTCCTCCAGTCCCTCAACCGCCTACATCCACCAACCCACCCATTCGCACGCAGTGCATGGACTGCTGCTGCGGCAAGGGAACCGGATACTGACAGGAGCAGATAAGTACACGCGCGCATGCGTGTTGGCGGTTGCGCATCAGGCATCTAATAATATAGCCCACTACAACACCGACATGATATGATAGAAACTCGACACCGAAATCTCTCGACATAGCGAGACTAGTTACCTACACCCGATCCAACAAATACACAAATACTTCACACCATGGCTACGGGGGCAGCGGTGCGCCGCGCCGTGCTGCTCCCCCAATGGGGCGGTAGCGGCGCCGGGCTCGCGGCCTTGTTCCAACAATCCCCCACTATAACTTCCTCGATCCTGTCTGCGAAATCCTGCCGTCCATTCTCCTCTCTACCCCGGTCTTCGACGACAGCCTTCGCGACCGCTTCAGTCCCATTCTCGTCCATCTATTCCGGTTCACGACCATGCGTACAGTCCCAGCGCTGGACTTCCCCCTTCGGCATTCTCCGCCAGCTATCGACATCGCAAGCCCGCCTACGGGAACAGTCAGCCAAGGAGGCTGTGGCAGAGACAGTGGAAGAGGCGGCGAAAGATCTCAACAAGGTCAAGCAGGATGCATCTGAAGAACATCTCAAGGTACACGGTTTTGCGAAAAGCGAGAGGGCGAACAAGGCTGCCCACATCAACATGAGCGCTCGCCTCTCCAAGGATGGCAAGAGTCAGTCAGGCACCAAGCCCGGGTTCGCCGAGGTCTGGCGTCTGATCAAGATTGCGCGCCCCGAGGTCAAGGCTCTGAGCGTTGCATTCGTCCTGCTTCTTATCTCGTCCGCGGTTACCATGTCCATCCCCTTCTCTGTCGGCAGGATTCTGGATCTTTCCACCCAGGGTTCCGCCGACGAGGTTCGGCTTTTCGGTTTTACCCTCTATCAGTTCTTCGGTGGTCTCGCTGGTCTGCTCACTCTTGGTGCGACGGCCAACTTTGGCAGAATCATCATCCTCCGCATCGTCGGCGAGCGTGTCGTGGCTCGGTTGCGCACGCAGCTCTACCGCCGCACCTACGTCCAGGATGCCGAGTTCTTCGATGCCAACAGGGTTGGTGATCTGATTTCGCGCCTGAACTCCGATACCGTTGTCGTGGGCAAGAGCATTACCCAAAACGTGTCTGATGGTCTTCGCTCTCTGGTTAGTGGTGCGGCGGGCTTTGCGGCCATGTTTTGGCTCAGTCCTAAGTTGACGTCCATCATTCTCGTCATGGTTCCCCCTATCGGTCTTGGAGCGGTGATCTATGGTCGCACGATTCGCAACTTGAGCAGACAGATTCAGAAGAACGTTGGTTCGCTCATGAAGATTGCTGAGGAACGGTTGGGCAACATCAAGACTAGCCAGGCCTTTGCCGGTGAAGTGCAGGAAATCGGTCGCTACAACAAGCAGGTCAGAAAGATCTTCGCGCTGGGTCGGAGAGATGCCATTGTCTCTGGTGTCTTCTTCTCCTCGACGAGCTGGGCTGGTAACATGACGATCCTGGCCATGCTGATTGTCGGTGGAAACCTCGTTCGCACAGGCGCCATGTCTCTCGGCGATTTGACCTCGTTCATGATGTATACTGTCTTTGCTGGATCGAGTCTCTTCGGTGTCAGCGGCTTCTACTCGGAACTGATGAAGGGTGTTGGTGCGGCGAGCCGCTTGTTCGAGCTCGAGGATCGCAAACCGACCATTCCACAGACTGTCGGTGTGAAGGTTACCTCTGCGCAAGGCCCCATCAAGTTCTCCAACGTGACCTTTGCCTACCCTACCAGACCCGCAGTCAAGATTTTCGACGGCCTCGACTTTGAAATCCCCTCGGGCACCAATGTGTGCATCGTCGGTCCGTCAGGTGGCGGCAAGTCGACTGTGGCCTCCATGCTCCTGCGCTTCTACAACCCCACAGCCGGTACTATCAGCATCAACGGCGTGGACATTTCCAAGATGAACGCCAAGTCTCTCCGCCGCCGCATCGGCATGGTTGCCCAGGAGCCCGTCCTCTTTTCGGGTACCATTGCCGAGAACATTGCTTACGGCAGGCCCTGGGCTTCGCGCACGGAGATCATCGCGGCTGCCCAGAAGGCCAACTGCGGTTTCATCAGCGACTTCCCGGATGGCCTTGAGACTCAGGTCGGCGCCCGTGGCGCCCAGCTCTCCGGTGGCCAGAAGCAGCGTATCGCCATTGCTCGCGCGCTCCTCAAGGATCCCGATATTCTCATTCTCGATGAGGCCACCTCCGCCCTGGACGCCGAATCCGAGACCTTGGTCAACTCTGCCCTTGCCGAGCTCCTCAAGGGCCGCAGTACCACCATCTCCATTGCTCACAGATTGTCGACCATTAAGCGGTCCGACAAGATCATTGTGCTCTCTAGCGAGGGTACCGTGGCCGAGATTGGCAGCTACACAGAGCTGAGCGCCAACAAGGATAGCCACTTCAGTAAGTTGATGGAGTGGCAGATGAGCGGTGGTGACGTCCCCGCGGACCACCGCCCGCCCTCTGGCGATCCTCATATCAGAGAGGTTGAGGAAATTGAGGAGGAACTTGCGGAGGCGGAGGATGACATTGATGACGCTGTGGAGGAGGCTGTGAAGTTGCGCAAGCAGCCGGTGAGGGAGTAAAGTGATGGCGCGGGAATGCTTTTTTTGTTTCCCAGCAATAACTACACACTCGCACACCACAACACACAACATGTGGTAATGAACTTGGGAGTATGTCAGCCATTTACCACGTGGGACGAGCTTTCTCTCTGGTCGGGCCGCTGACACCGAGAGAAATGTTGTACCTCTCAGGCCCGAACCTCGGAAACGGCCACATCTTACACCATACCCGCCGAGCAAGTGGCCGAACATCAAGGCCCATGCTATACATTGATGCTCTCCTCAGAAAGAGAGCACGACCTCAACTTCTCACTGTGTACATATCACATATTTACTTGCTATGATTGTTATTATTATCTTTAGGATTTCTTTCTCTAGGGCGCTGTCTTGTTCTCCACTCTAGACCCGATCACGGATGACCGGTTAGGATAAGCGAGCTATATGTATGATGTATGATAGATCGGATGCAGGAGCGTGAGCGAAGGGGGAGGAAGGCTGGCACTACTGGGGAGGTTAGGAGAGGGCCGATTTGGAGTAGTAGGAAGGATGGAATAGATAAAACACAAATAAGGGAGTTGTATGTTCACAGGATCTTTACTTGTTGAGGGTGGTAAATCCGGCAACTGTTATCTCTTGTGGTTGTTGTAAGGCGTGTACGAATGTAATGGGACTAAAACACAGCATACTGTACCGTATCAATCAACATAATCCAAGGCGATAACGACATTTCCTATAATGGTGGCGTTCCTAAAACTTCCGTTGCCAGGTCCTCAAATCTCTATTCCAATTTCCGCAGTTTCCGTAAACTCAAAAGCTCAGCAGAGGTGGTCGTATTTACACTCAGAAACCTCAAACCCCTGAGTCGGGTTGTCGTCTCCTTTTCACTAGCGTAGCGTACTCCCGAACGACGGAGCCTCTTCAGTCCCATGTCGTCACAGTGTCTTGCCGTGCCCCGGTGGCGGCGACAATGTTCGACTCCACTGTTTGTCACCGCGATACAACGCTGCAACTTTGCAAGCCAAGGAACAGTTTGCTGCATCTTCCCGTCAACACAAAAAGCATTTTGTTCGAACGCTATGTACGAAAGAATCCCTCGTAGCCCTGTTTCTGAGAGTATGTACATAGGAGTGCAGGGGGGTCTCTCTTTGGCTTCAGGAATTATGAGACGAGAACTGCCGTTAACGATTGCGTTATGGTTCTTTTCTTAGAGCTTCGCACACCGTAATAGTCGGGCAGGCTATCGATGCTAGACTTAAGTACAAGGAGGAGGCTAGGGTTTGTCCCAGTGATGGCTCTTCTGCTTCCGCTTGTTCGTTTTCGTAAACTCATGGATGGATGATGCAGGTTGCAGAACAATTGATATCGATGTTTATGGTAGTGCTGGGATGCCGGGCCGGGATGCGTACACGTACAGACAATCTGTAAAGAGCTTGCGTGTTTCATGTGAAGCCCGGACCTGCGATTTCACATTTCCATCCCGTCCTGCATTTTCTCAAGTCGATGAATATTTGGCCTCGCTATCATTTCGCTGCTCGAACTGCTTATACTCGGATTGATTACTGTGATCGTATCTCGGACTGCTTTGATCCAGGAAGTCATCGGTTAGACAAATCTTACGAATCCGTCACCAAGTCCAGGCATCGTTTCCCATGATCTATCCGTTGTCGTTTAAGGTTGTACTGAATGAATCTTTATACACCCGGAGAACAAAAACATAAGTCTGGACCCCACCCCCGCAATCCCCGACTCAGCTCCGGACAGGGGTTGACAGGGAACGAGAACAATAACTCTTTCTTCATCTTGGCTTCCAAGACATTTCAGTTTTCTTTTCTTCTCAAACCAGTTTTTTCTCATACAGCCTCGCCTCCCGTCAGTTTCTTCAGTCAATCTTTTTGATACCCTTCGCTTCACCTCACTTCAGCGGCAGCTATACCCTGCAGTGACACACCAATTGGCGCTGCAATTCCACCCTTCGGGCCGCTAAATTTAAGGTTTTTAGAACGATCCTGTACTGCGACCTTTCCATTGGAACAAGGGGCGGACAAGGCATCATTGGCGGCAGAGCGCCGACTTCGCAACGACCAGGGACGACCGACATTCTGCGTTGGCTGAGTCACTTACTCAAGCACCACAGTGCCCGGGCAAGGAGGTCTCAACACCAACAAATAATCTTTTTTTAACACATCGGAGTCCGATATACTCACTCTCACTCACTCGCTCATCCCTGAGATACCCCATACCTTCTCGCGGAAGTTCATACATAAGATTCCACATACACATACACACCCACAAACATGACCAGGTCCCTACTACTACAGAACGACAGCCCCAATGGCTGGATCGTACAGAAATTCGGTGGCACAAGCGTGGGCAAGTTCCCCGACAGAATCGCAGAGGATATCATCAGGTATGAAATATGATGGATCTGGGTGTGGTGTGTCTGATATGTGTACACCCACCCTTCCGCTCGCCCGACTCTCATGGATGAATGAATAAACAAGGACTCTGTGACTGACCTCACATTTTGAATGCAGACCGTATGTGAAGGACCATAGGCTAGTAGTCGTCTGCTCAGCAAGGAGCACAGGAAAGAAGGTTACTGGAACCACAAGTCGGTGAGTATCTGCATCTCACCATGATCTCTCATCACTCATACTCAACCCCCGTCAACATAAGTGGTCATGACCAGTAGCGGCTAATCCAGTTAATAGGTTATTAGAGGTATTCAAGAATCTCAAGGCGATTGCTGCAGACGCAAGTGACGAGGGGAAACAAGATGTTCTCCTCAAGGACGCCAAGAGAATTATCGGTGACATCTGCAGCGACCACGCCGCTGCGGCCGACCAGTTCATCCAGAACGCCGAGCTGGCGGCCATCGTGAAGGAGGAGACGGTAAAGGAGTGCCAGCTACTGACCGAGTATCTGGAAGCCGCCAAGCGGTTCCACCTCGAAGTAAACTCGCGGGCAAAGGACCGAGTCATCAGCTTCGGCGAGAAGCTCAGCTGTCGCTTCATGGCCTACCTTCTCAAAGACCGGGGAGTCGACGCCGAATACGTCGACCTGGCCGACATCCTTCACTTCGACGCCAACATCGAGCGGCTCGACGCCACCTTCTACCGGGACGCGGCCGAGATCATCGCCAAGAAGATCCTCGCCTGTGAGAACCGCGTACCAGTCATCACCGGCTTCTTCGGCAACGTACCGGGCGGCCTGCTCGACGGCGACGTCGGCCGTGGCTACACGGACCTGTGCGCCTCTCTGGCGGCCGTAGGCCTGAAAGCCGACGAGCTGCAGATCTGGAAGGAAGTCGACGGCATCTTCACCGCCGACCCATCCAAGGTGCCCACGGCGCGCCTCGTCCCGTCCATCACGCCCTCCGAGGCCGCCGAGCTGACCTTCTACGGCTCCGAAGTTATCCACCACCTGACCATGGACCAGGTGATCAAGGCCACGCCTCCGATCCCCATCCGTATCAAGAACGTCAAGAACCCGCGCGGCGAGGGCACCATCGTCAAGCCCGACCCCCTTTTGGCGCCCGACCAGACCCTCCAGCGCCACAAGCAAAACGGCACCAACGGCACCAGCACCCCCAACGGCACGCCCTGCCCCAGGAGCACCAAACCCAAGCGTCCCACGGCCGTGACCATCAAGGACAAGATCTCCATCATCAACATCCACTCTAACAAGCGGTCGATCGCGCACACTTTCCTGGCGAGGCTCTTCGCCATCCTCAACAAGCACAAGGTCTCGGTGGATCTGATCTCCACGTCCGAGGTGCACGTCTCGGTCGCCGTGCACATGAGCAACGCCGAGATGACCAATTTTGACGCGGCGGTCAAGGACCTGGGCGACTGCGGCGACGTGAGCGTTCTGCACGGTCTTGCGATCCTCAGTCTGGTGGGCGCTGAGATGAAGAACATGATTGGTATTTCGGGCAAGATGTTTTCGACGCTTGGTGATCATCGGATCAATATTGAGATGATTTCTCAGGGTGAGTTTTGGTTCCTTTCCAATTTATTGAGGTGGGTGGATATTGGATGAATAGGTAGCTAATTCATGTGACATAAAATAGGTGCCAGCGAGATCAACATCTCCTGTGTTATCGACGCTAGGGACGCCGAGCGGGCTATGAACATCTTGCACACCAACTTATTCACCTTCCTTGAGTAAAAAAAGGAAGAGGATAGATACGGTGGTAGGGGCAGGGTGTGGTAGAGAACAACAGTGGAAGAACTGTGTTTGGTTTGGACATCTCTTTGTCCTTAATCTTACGGTGAGTTAGACGTGAGTGAAACCTACAGGGTCCGGAAGCAAGAGAAGCAAGAGAAGACAACATAAGAGGTGGGGGGGAAATAAATAGACGGGCGGTTGCCGGGTGGAGATCTTTATACTATCTGGACAACACACAGCAGCGAAGATTCTTTTGCGGTTTTCTCATTTACATGGCTTTTTATATAGAGCACGGAAGGTAACGAAAAGGAAGGGTTTTATACAGCGCAATAGACAAAAATCACACAGATATCGAACTTGAGACGCACCGGGGAGTCAGGTGAGTGTTAGAAGAGGGAACTGATGAAGCGTGGGACTGTACACGTTGCATCATTTCGAAGCAGACTGCAGGCCTACTTACAGCGCAATTTGAAGCAGCCATAAGAGATCTATTCGAGATAAAAGGGCCCTTCGTCTTCCTGCCTCTTCTCCTCATAGCCCACCATATTGAGATTGTTACAATCGTCATACAAACAGGCTCCAAGGTCTCTCTTCTGGACCCTTTCACCTGGTTTCATTACATTACTTTCCTAGTTTTCCTCTCTCTCCTCGGCTCACTCGCCCCTTTATTTGTACCGTATAGTGGTCCTGGTTACCCGTCCGCCCATCTGTACTCGATCATCCCACATATAGCATCCTGAAATTCGTCTCTTTTAATACCCCTCCCTTCTTCAACCCCCATGTTTCTTCGGCTTGATAACCAGCAAAATGATCATGCCCGCTATTAGAATCAACAACAGCAGTATGATCTTCCTCTTAGTGGTCTTCTTTTGGTACCCTTGTGCAACAGTCAACTCCTTAGCCGCCTCTTTCACATCCGTCGCCATCCGCTCCACGTTATAATCGATCCGGTCCAGCATCGTGCCCTGGTCGATGACCATGGTCTGCAAGTCCCTGAACAGGTCGGACAGGTCGATGATTCCCTGCGCAATTTCGTCGATTTCGCGCTCGCGCTGCGAGATCGCCTGGTCATTGCTGTTAAGCAGCTTCTGGTGGGTTGACGCTTGTAGAGTGGACTGGGAGAAGACCCGGTCGGCGTCGGATTCGAGGATAGAGGCACTGTTGGAGCTGTTACCGGGTGGGAGGCCGCTGGGACCAAAGGAAGAGAGGGGGGTTGAGACTCGGTCGAGGGTTGGGCTGGCAAGGCCGCTCATGCCTCTTAGTTCTTGAAAAGGGTAGTGTTAGCATTACTGTTTGGGATCGGAGTTCTGTATGGGGAGACTCACTCTTCAGATATGCGCTCTGCTTCTTTCGGAAGTTGGCGCTGGCCTCCTGGACTCTCGTGGCAAGGTTGATTTGTATGTTCTTGGCCATGACCTCGTCGGCGCGGCTCATCTGGCCATTATGTTTACCCTCGCGCACCATCTGCTCGATACGCTGGATGACGCGGTGGCATTCGTGGAACCCCTTGGTGATGGACTGCGTGAGCTGCTCTATCTCCCGTTCCTCATCCTTCTTGGCCTCCTCATCGTCGAACCCCGGCAGTACGTGCTTCTGGTGCAACCGCTCCAGCTTCTGGCTCTTGCGCGCGATGTCGGCCAGCACCTCCGACACTTCGTCCGATGAATCCGCCCACCGAGGCGGAAGCAGATCCATCTCGATCACTGCATCGCCGTCGTCAACATCGTAGGCCCCCGCCGACAAAAGGCCGCGCCGGTCATCGTCGGCCGAGAAGAGAACCCCCGTGCTGCTGCCAGCCCCGCCGGAAGTCCCGCCGAAGCGGTCGCCTGCGCTCTGAGGGGTATATCGGTTGCGCTGGGTCGGGTGGTGGGCGTAGGACTGCCGGTACGAGATATAGCTGTGGTAATCACACAGTTGTTAACGAAAGGGATCTCAACTCTGGGGGGTCAAGTTGAGAAAGTTGGCCGTACAGATTAGTGCGGTCGCGCCACATGGCGGACGCCGGAAGGGCGAAAGGCTCCCTTCACCTCGGTTGCACGTCGAAGGCTAGTCGTCGTCCCGGTCGGAGTTGGGAATCAATTGATGGTAGTTGGTGGTAATGGCGGTCCAAAGGCGGATTGGAATTGGTATGGCATCACATCGCATCGCATGGACACGGCTGTGTGGTTCGAGGTTGAGTACCAGTGTCTCCTTCCGTCCCAGGTCGATCTTCGGGGGGATGTTTCTCGGCCTCCCGTCCAGGTCCCTCTCTCACTAACAGCAACAGGGCCAGTAGCACTGGGCAGTTACTAACATACCACTGACAATGACGCGGCGGCTCAGACACCACAATGCCGGCCAGTTCCAGGGATGGGGGCATGATGACATGGGATGCATGTCACCTGCCGGACACTTGGGGGCCGCCGATAAGGGGTACCATTTGCCTGTGTCTCAAAGAGTCGGTCAGCTGGCAGCCTAGGAGCTCTTTCCGCCTGTCGGTCGACCTTGCCCATGATCCATCTCCTGCCTGCCCTCTGCCTGGCCGCTCTCTGGCCCGTCTTGGTGAGAACACCCATGGTGATGCATCCCATGCAGTTGCAGCACCTGTGAGACGCCATGGGCTCCAGGGCGTCTTTTAGTCTCATTTTAGCGAGCGTGTTAGGGAGGGACCCCGCCCCGCTTCCCTCCACTGCTTCGCAATCGGCGGCCCCAGCTGCTCATTTAAGGAACGATTCGATTCCACCCAAGGACGAACTAGGAGAACGGGGACTTGGACCTAACCAACCGGTTTCGTTTCTACTGCGACCTATCTGCCACTTCTAAACCAGAACACCTTCGAATCCTCTTTCGAAACATCTTATCCAACTATCCCACACGCTCGCTCCCTCCCGACTTCATATCCACCCCTTAATACTATCAAGATGGTATGCTCATTCCTTATCTCGGCGCCTCCGGTCGAAGCTGTTTGAGCGCAATGAGAACCCCGCGGTTCAGCTCGAGGGGGCATCGAGCGGGCCCCAAAAACATACGACGATGGCTGGAAAGGAGACGGGCAGATGTATGCTGACCAGGCTATCAACAACAACAGGCGGACTCCCTTACTGAAGAGCAGGTCTCTGAGTTCAAGGAGGCCTTCTCCCTCTTTGTAAGTTGCCTTCCTTGCGCCGAGCTTCCTTGTCCCTTATGCTCCACCCCCCGTGTCGCCGTTTGGCGCAAATCATGCGAGCCTGATGACTGACCCAATACAACGTCATACAGGACAAGGACGGCGATGGTTAGTCTTGAGAAATCCTACCCCCAGATACCCGAACCTTTACATCACGGAGTCAGCGGCAAGCGCATCGGATCGTTATACCTGCGACGCGCCGAACACTTCTCACCGCCCGCCCCTGAATCGAGATGCGATGTGAATACGCGCCTTCCCACCATGCATGCATGCTGAACAGTACTTAGGCCAAATCACCACCAAGGAGCTCGGTACCGTCATGCGCTCGTTGGGCCAGAACCCCTCCGAGTCTGAGCTTCAAGACATGATCAACGAGGTCGACGCCGACAACAACGGCACCATCGACTTCCCTGGTATGAACATCACGGACTTTCGATTTTGCCAGTTCGACGCTGACAATAGCCTACAGAGTTCCTTACCATGATGGCCAGAAAGATGAAGGATACCGACTCCGAGGAGGAGATCCGTGAGGCCTTCAAGGTGTTCGATCGCGACAACAACGGCTTCATTTCCGCTGCCGAGCTCCGTCACGTCATGACCTCGATCGGCGAGAAGCTTACCGATGACGAGGTTGATGAGATGATCCGTGAGGCCGACCAGGACGGCGATGGGCGTATCGATTGTACGTATCGGATTCTTGTTACTCCGTCTGGCTATTTTAGCTTGCTAACACTTTCGTCCAACAGATAACGAGTTCGTTCAGCTCATGATGCAGAAGTAAACAGCTTTCTCCTATATCACGAAGACAGGTTTTAGCGTTCTCTTTGAATACCACTATTAGTTGATGCCTCCATTCGGAAGTGAAGGGATAGCATTGCTTCCCACGCTTGGTATGTTATGCAAGGGTTGCCTGTGTTTTCATCGTCGTACATTATGATTGAGAGCTGTCTCTCCACCTGTTTCAAACCGCCGAGCTCGGTAAGCGACGGGGTTGGAGTTGACAAGAGATGGACACTAGCAACCTGAAGTTGTTCTCTGTTTGACTTCAAGTTTGTGGGTAGGCCGTTTACCTCAACAGTTATTCATCTGATTTGACTAAGCCCTTGCTAGTCAAACCATCATCTACGACGTTGTCTTGCCCGATTGAAGCCGCATGTTACAAGCAAAGTGACAGTCATGCCCGAAATTCTAGCCGGAATTCCGGTGTTTGCTACAGAACGCTTGTCAAATGCACAGCTGCGGGATTCGCGTCATCAGGGACTCCGGACCAGCGAGACCCCCAAAACCTGTCAACCGGTACTTGGGATGACGTGCAGGATGATTGTGGCAGTGCTAGCTAGTGACATCTGTGGATATCAGCCCTATAGGGATTTCATGTTGTGGTCTGGTACGGCACAGCATCTAGAAAGTAAACTCACGATCGGCTCACCAGTACTCTTTGGAGGATCATGTAACTTTCGGTCGATGAAGGGTATGGGTTGCGGTGAGTCTGCTCGCTGCTTGTGATGCCCTCTTCTCCTGCTTGATATACCGAGGTTTGGTCTAATAAAAGGGGTTGATGGCGGAGGTAAATGGCTTACCAACTTCTCTTCAGGGCCTAAACAAGCTTCACATCCTTCATCCGATCTATAAATTGACCGTTTTCCCCGCAAATATTAACGAACGGCAAGCTGTTGCTCGTCTTCGTTGGCATTTGACAACTAAACAAAATACAGATGTCATCCCAATCTCAGTTCCCCACGTCACCTTTCCCGCAGGTTCAGCTGTGACATGAGATTGAAAAGAGCCAGTGTCCGATGAAATGGCCGGTTTGCAAGTAGAGAATCAGATGGACAGAGACTCGGTTGATATCTGACCCTAACCCTGGTTACCCCTTTTCCGGTGAGGACGTCAGGGTGCCTGACAAGACGGTCTAGGCCCCACCTTCCGTACCGAGCTGCAGCGCCCAGCTGAGGAACACCGTCCAGGCCTCCAGGGTCCCTGTGGTCCATGCTTTCCAGTGAGTCTGGCGCCTGCCTGAGGCCACGATATGCCCCGTGCTGACCGTCACCGTCAGGGAGCGGACTGGGAGAGCTAGAGGTCGAGAGGGGGGTGGACACGGCACGGTCAAGGAGCTCCAATCAAGCGCATCCGGTGGCCACATCGCCGCCAGCCCGCCCATTGTGTGCTGTGCTTCCACTTGTCGTGTTTCGGCCGGGTTCCCAAAAGGTTGATCCTCTCTCTCATGAATGTTTACGTACCTTTGCTTTACCGTATCGTAACTTTGTCCACTGCGTGCCTCGACTTCCTTCAGATACCCCTTGCTTGAAGTTGCGAAGAACCACCGCCATCCGCTCTCCGTTCCGCAACTCCCCCGCCATCTCGAAAGCTCGAGCATTCGCTTCTACTTCCACTCTGGTCCAGATCCCCTAGACAGGCCCCCTTGCGGGCCCCTAATGATTGCATCGCCATGAGTTCTCGTAAGTGCGCCCAGCGGCATCGCTATGATCCCAAGACTCGAGCGATCAAGACGAGACCCCGGACTGACTTATGTGATCCCTAAATAGTCAAGCAGTTTATTCGCAATGTCCGAGCCGCCAAGACGATCGCCGACGAGAGAGCCGTAATTCAGAAAGAGAGCGCCGCCATCAGAGCCAGCTTCAGGGAGGAGAGCCACGATCACGGCGTCAGGTGCATTTGAGCTGCCAACATACCAAAACCTTCCCCGGGACTCGGTTTGCTGATCAACTGTGTCATTGCAGGCGCAACAATGTGGCCAAGCTATTATACCTCTTCACCCTCGGTGAGCGCACTCACTTCGGTCAAATCGAGTGTTTGAAGCTCCTGGCCTCTCCGCGCTTCGCCGACAAGCGTTTAGGCCATCTCGCGACAAGTTTGCTTCTCGACGAGAACCAGGAAGTGCTTACTCTGGTCACCAACTCCCTTCAAAAGTACGTTGCTCGGCTAGACAACGAGTAGGGATGCGCAACGTAATGCTGACGCTTGGTTACAAACAGTGACCTTAACCATTCGAATCAGTACGTCGTGGGCCTCGCCCTCTGCACCCTCGGAAACATTGCATCGGTCGAAATGTCCAGAGATCTGTTCCCCCAAATCGAAACACTCATATCGACGACGAACCCCTACATCCGGCGGAAGGCAGCTCTTTGTGCAATGCGGATATGCAAGAAGGTTCCGGATCTCCAAGAACACTTTATCGAGAAGGCGGCGCAATTACTATCAGACCGAAACCACGGCGTGTTGCTTTGCGGCTTGACGTTGGTGACCAGCCTTTGCGAGGCCGACGAGGTTGAGGGTGGGGAGGAGGGCATCATTGAGAAGTTCAGACAGTTCGTGCCGGTACTCGTCAGGACTCTCAAGGGGCTGGCTTCGTCCGGTTATGCCCCGGAGCATGACGTTACGGGCATTACCGATCCGTTCTTGCAGGTCAAGGTTTTGCGCCTTCTCCGAGTCCTAGCCCGCGGCGATGCTCAGACGACGGAGCAGATCAACGATATTCTCGCTCAGGTTGCAACCAACACCGACGCTACCAAGAACGTCGGAAACTCGATCCTTTACGAGGCCGTACTTACGATTCTCGATATCGAAGCCGATGCCGGCTTGCGCGTGCTGGGTGTCAACATTCTGGGCAAGTTCTTGGCCAACAAGGACAACAATATCCGTTATGTTGCGCTAAACACGCTGGTCAAGGTGGTGGCCATCGACACCAACGCTGTACAAAGGCACCGGAACACCATTCTGGAATGCCTCAGGGACCCCGATATCAGTATCAGGAGGAGAGCTCTTGACCTCAGTTTCACCCTCATCAACGAGAGCAACGTCCGCGTCCTTATTCGGGAACTGCTGGCTTTCTTGGAAGTGGCGGACAATGAGTTTAAGCCTAATATGACTAGCCAGATCGGTATCGCCGCTGATAGGTACGCGCCGAACAAGAGATGGCATGTCGATACAATGCTGCGTGTTTTGACGTTGGCCGGTAATTACGTCAAGGAGCCGATCCTGTCTTCGTTCATCCGCCTTATCGCTACGACTCCCGAGCTACAAACATACGCCGTGCAGAAACTTTACACCAATCTAAAGAAGGATATCACCCAGGAAAGTTTGACGCAGGCCGGCGCTTGGTGTATTGGCGAATACAGCGACGCTCTTCTCAGGGGTGGTCAGTATGAGGAGGAGGAGCTCGTACAGGAGATCAAGGAGCATGAGATCATCGACTTGTTCACGACCATCCTGAACAGCAACTATGCTACCCAAGTCACCACCGAGTACATCATCACAGCACTCATTAAGCTCACCACTAGGCTGCAAGATCCAGCCCAGATCGAGAGAGTTCGCCGTCTGCTTCAATATCACCAGACAAGTTTGGATGTCGAAGTTCAGCAGCGTGCGGTGGAATATGGCAATCTCTTCTCTTTTGATCAGATCCGCCGTGGTGTGCTCGAGAAGATGCCTCCCCCTCAGATCAAGGAGTCTTCCCGAGTACTTGGTGAAGCTTCCAAGAAGACCACCAAGGCAGCGGGCAAGAAGACTAACAAGGCCGCCAAGCCCAAGGAAGAGGATCTCCTATTCGACCTCATGGGAGACACCAACCTTCCGTCTCCCTCCGTTCCTAACGGCGGCACGAACAACGCCGACCTTCTTGCCGATATCCTCGGCGGCGCTACCTCGCCTCCGACTTCGACATCTCCGGCTCCGGCCCAGTCGAACGTTGCCTCGATCATGGATCTCTTCTCGCAAGGACCTACCTCCACCTCCTCGGCCGCACCTGCGCCACCGGCTGCTCCATCAGCAGTTCTTGATCTTTTCAACACCTCTCCAGCCGCCGCTCCTGCTCCGGCCCCACAAGCGGCGCCCAGGCCCGCTGCTGCGGCGGGACATCCTTGCTACGACAACAACGGCTTGAACATCACTATCCAGATACAGCGAAACGCCGAGGGCATGATCCAGGCTACGGCTCGCTTCCACAACTCGTTCTCTGGTGCACTCTCAGCTGTCGGGTTGCAGGCGGCTGTGCCCAAGACTCAAAAGCTGCAGCTGCTCAACATTTCGTCGACGGATATTGCGCCGGGGGCGGAGGCTACGCAGATGATGAGAGTGGCGGGTTGCACTGGGGCAAGTTTTTTTTCTCTTCGATTCCTGTCCATTTTCGTCTGTTCTCGATAAAATTGCTAACGAGTCCTATTTGCAGCCCTTGCGTCTACGCCTCAAGATCGGATATACACATCCTACGGCAGGACAGGTATTGGATCTAGTCAACTGGACGGAGCCCCAATGAAAGGGGAGCGACAAGTTATGGTATGAGCATGGATGCGTGAGAGGAGAAGAGACAAGAAGAAGGAGTGATCGTAACGTACGTATTAGCTAGTGAGTGGCCAAGTCACAACACCCTTTAATTGCAGGGCAAACCAGAAAGTGCCAGCAAGAAGCAAGATATAGAGAGGAAGCCAAAACTAAGCAGCCGGGTTTTTCAAGGCGTTAATCATTTCATTAATTGTTGTCTGTATTTGCAGAAGATGTACCAACGGCTTGATGTGCGTACCAGTTTTGCGGCTGGTCTTCTTACCTTGTCATATCCTTCTCATACACAAGGTTGTCAGTTTTTCTTCAAGCACCAAGTCACATTACACTGATCACCTCCAGCAACAGTTATTCATGGATGCTTGGTGTATATTTTCATTCCACCAATTACCCAAGCCAGCAGTCAGTCACTCCCACCTTTCACACCTCGACTGACCATCCATCATAGTCGGTAGTACTAACGAGAGTTTTATATCAATGATTCATAGCTCATGCTATTCCATTCCATTTCCAAATTTCCATCATGTGCCTTTTTCGGCGCCGCCCATTAACGCCCGCCCTCTGTAGTGTAGGTATAATATGCAAGTGATTGCACACAAAATAATAAGAAAGAAGACAAAGGAGAGAAAAGAAAAAGGAGGAAGAGGATGAAAGGGTCTCTTCCTCTGTATGGTACAAGTTTTGCTGTTTTCCATTTTCCAGATCTGATGCCCAGTTCAGTCATGTCACTGACACCCGAACAGGATGTTTAGTTGCCATAGAACCAGTACCTGTTTCCAACCATGTTAGCCGCTATCCTATCATCACCGTCATCATCAGGGAAGCATAAAGAGAAAAGGGAAAAAAAAAACCTACTGAGCAGCATACTGCACCTCAAAAGCCGCCGGCATGCCCTTGCACGTCTCAGGGGCACTTCCACCGGCCGTCTCCACGCGATAAACCTCCTGCAAGCCACCCGTCGCTCCCGGTCTCGTAACGAGCTTCAGCCAAGGAACCCGCCTTCTCGCCTTGCTGGCCTTTGGCCGCCGCCTCGGGCGCAGGCGCGGAGTTGTTCTTGGCGCAGGGGGCCTCGCCGATCTTCCATTGCGATGCGTCCATGTTGAAAAAGGGAGTGGAGGCGTTGGTGAAGTAGTGAGCTCCGGAGACGGCCATGCCTGATGTCGGGGCCAGGGTTTGCTTGAGGAAGGAAGGGGGCAGGGAGGAGGCGATGGAGGCGAGGTTGGACAGGTTGAAGCTCATGGAGACTCCCGAGAGCATGGCGCCGATGTCGGGGTAGGCGGCGACGATGCAGGATGCGTTGAAAAGGGAGGCGACGGCGCCGTTGGCGACGGGGATGGCGGTGGCGTTGGTGGTGTCGCAGGTGTAGTTTTGGGTGCCGCGGCCGAGGGCGACGTGCTTGAGGGTTAGGCCGAAGGAGGGGGCTGGGAGTGGTGAGGGTGCTTTTTGAGAGTTAGTATGGAGATGAAAGAGATATGAAAGGGGGTGGTGGTGAGAAGAAGGCTTACCTTGGGGCATGGCCACTTTGGAGAGATCACATGTTGGTACGGCGCTCTCAAACTTGCTTTGTTGGATCTTGACGGCGAGGAGGTTGAAGTACTCTGATACCTTCTTGAGGGAGTCGGCATGGGCTGAGTTGGCGTTGATCTCGGGGAGGACTGGGGCGGCCATGACTGAGGAGACGCTGAGCGCCGAGAGGAATAGTGAGGCACGCATTGTGATGTGTTGTTGTCTTCGTTGTGTGAGTTGTGAGTTCGAGAAAGATGATGAAGTCGTTGCTTTTGTCGTTGCCCAAATTATGAAAGCCGCCTTTGCTTGTTGATGTTCTCGTTGTTGAGATTTGAGATAAACCAATAACCACCAGTGGTCCTTTTTGCTTGCTGAGATTGGGTATCGTGATGTTGATGATGATGAATAGGAAATCGTCAAAACCCGTAATAAGAGACTTAGAAAGAACCCAGGAAACCGTTGATATAGAAAACACAAAAATTAAACAACCGAAAAGAAGAACTCTCAAGGAAAACAATCCAACCCGTGAATATGATACGAGTTCAGATCAGATAAGAGTAGGTCTGGGAGGAGGATGGAGGTTCTGGGTGGCAGATATATGATATGAGATCCGGTATGGAAGGAGAGGTTGTCGATCTTGACCCTCCATCATGTTCCCAGAAGCGGCGGCTTTGGAGGGCTAAATAGATTAAGAAGCCGTTTGACTGGACCAGAGAGACGCAACGCTCTTACGGGACGGCGGCACAGAGTACACACACACTTCGCTTCCATGCTGAGTACGTACTCAAAGATAGAACATGGAGGCCGGGGGTGTGGTACCTACCTAGCGCTACGCCGTACTACTACCCTGACCTTGAAGACATCTTGGGTGAGGACACTCTGAGGAAACACTGCATGTTCAGTGGTTCGGTGGGCAGCCGCCGGTGCTCCCGTCGATAGAAAAGGACGAAGACAACCTTCAAGAGAGAGAGCAAGGTCCCTTGTCCCCCCAGAATTGGAAACGTTGGAGGTTGATTGGATGAGCCGAGCGGTTGTTCATCCGGAGAGGAACACAAGCCCCTGTCTGTCAGATCCCCGTCTGATCCACTGCAAGCGCCGGGACCGTGCGCTAGTAGGGGTTCGCTGTGTTAGCGTACCACTTTATTTTGTGGTCCCATTGGTTGTTTCTGTCCTCTTGTCGTCTGTGGTCTTGTCTTCCTCACAAAGTTCCATGTGGAAGCTGGAGTTGACAGTAAAGATTCCCAGCCTTCAGTTGTTTTTTGTTGATACTTACGATCAATTTGATTGGCAGTATGTCCGAGACAATATTGGAAGACGGCATCATTGATAACCGGTTCTGGAAATTTTGGGGTTCAAGAATCGAGAGAACGGAAGGAAGCTGGGGACAGCATGTGAATGAACGGATGTCGAGTTTGTCCAAGCCAGCGCACCTCACCACCATCCACCACTTGCTCCATCGTTTCGACCGCGCAGAATCTGGAACGTTTGAGCACCGAAGATCTTTCTCAATCCATCATTAGCACATCGACCCAGTGTCCCAGTGTTGGAACCATCGTAACCCGTCCACGCGGAAGTCAAGGCATCAACGGTCCGGGGACCGGCATCGTGGCAGCATGGTCCATCCGGTGATCGACCGAAAAGTTCCGATCAGTAGTGTAGGTAGTGTATCCTGTCAATGTCAGTATCGTCAGGCTATGTAGGTAAGACAGAGAATATGCCTCGAGGGTCTGGGTCTTTGAAAAAGGTCAGAGCGGATCGACCACCAGCTTTATTTGAATCATCATCCGTCTGATCTCCAACAAGCTTCAGAAACGACTCAGAATCTGCTGGGGCTGTGGATAATCTACTTGATTCGACATGTGTTTCTATCTGCTCCTTTACGAGCTTCCTTCCTCTCTACCAACTACATCATTCCTCCCACACAAAACAAATCCATCTAATCGCAACAGTACACGGTCTCTGACCTCCTGCTCCCACGAAAACAAACACAAGAATCAAGAAACATGGAATGTCTCGAAGCCGATCTCCCGTCTGCACGTCTTCTCCCTCGTCGTTGTCAATCCTCCCACAAGACACCGAACTGAGAACAGGGGGGGTTCAAGGACCCCTGATACACCATTGGACCACGGAGACCATGTTTTGAGAATGTGGGCTAATAACGTAGGGTGGGCGGCTAAAGCTTTTGCAAAGACACTAGTCCAAGTAGGACGAATTAGTCCGCCTTTGCTCTGACCTCTGTCGAGTGTTGACCTGTCATGTAAGCCCAACGGCCGACCAAGCCGTGCTGATGTAACGTCAGATCAGCTTGTGAGAGATCAGAAAGAAGACGAATGTGGGCAAAAATAGATTGCTTACCAGCCTTGAGGTTTTCTTTCCAGGAAGGTATGGTATGGTTACCCCCAAGATGTGATGTCTGGGCAAATATTGGGATCTGGACCAATATCTATCGAGACCAGGCATACTGTCAGATTCCAGAGTGGGATTCCAGCCATGTATGACCTAGTCTGTCACAGGTTGGCATTGGCTATACACGGTTGGCATTGGCTATATAGTGACATTGGCTATATAGTGTACATTGCTATATAGTGTGCATTCCGAGTTATCTTGCAAGCAGAACATCGTTCTATCTTTTATGGGTTTGGCCGTCTGGGCATGTGCATGTTTGGCCGTCTGGGCAATATGCACTCCAGCCTGTCATATAGTCTATAGGGTCAGTTAGCTGACTTGTGGGCTTGGCAAATATGGTATACCCCAGTGCTCTTAAAGCTATTGGAGAAATCGCTCTGGCTAGTTCTACTTGATAATCTATACATTAATATAATCATAATAAATCTGACAATTAATAGTTTAATAAGCGTCTTATCAATACAACGACTAGAATAATTAACTTATAATAATAATAAGGATACTATCGCAAAATCTTTCTCAAAGCTTATTAATGAAAACAATACTAAGGTTCTATTCCTACGCAATAATACTAATTAAATTTACTAAAGAAATATACTATAAACTAAGAAGAATATTAACCTAGTTAAGTAGTAACTCTTAAGCAATATTATTAAATTTATAAAACCTATTTACCTAAAGCTTAGTAATTTTCTTATTAACAAAATAACTAGAGCAAAAATTACTGAAATTGAACAGTAATTTTGTACTTTAAATAAAAAGATTATTTATTAAATGGTAATTAATTCGCAAAGTTTGACTACGCAAATCATTGTTAAGTATAAGAATAGAAACAAAATGAAAAAAAAATACTATAATCGCTGAAGAAAATTTGCTTAGTAAATAGCTCTATGAAAATACTTTTTCTTTTTGCTCTAATAAAAAGAAAAATTAGATAAAATTCGAAACGGGAAATGAAGTAGTACCTATTTGGATGAAATTAGTAGTCAACTATAGTTTTTAAAATTCGATTATGAAGAAGGAATAAAATATTTATATTTGGTATCATAATTTAAAGGCGGCTACAAAGTATAATGATATTGACGAATAAAACCAAATTAAATCAAAATATTTCAATGTTGTTACTCTATTAATGAAAAAGCTTAAGGATTTTTCAGCTTAGCTATTTACTTAATTTATAATAATAAATAATAGTATTACTTATAGTATTAGAGAATATACTCAAATTAGTTTGTAGTATACTAATTTTGCTAAAACTGTTAAGTTTGTTGCATTAAAAAGTTTAAGAAAAATATAAAAAATAATACCTTCAATTATATAAATATATATAAAAGTTTTGAAAAATATAAAGTTTTAAGTAGCTACGAGATAATTGTAGTAAGAAAAAAGAAATTTGATTGCGACACATTTAAGATAAATATTAAATATAATAACTAAAATCATTATAGTAACAGAAATAGCCAAAGCTAAAATAAATTTGGTAATAATAGGAAAATTCATTAATAAAGTAAAAAGTTTAAAAGCGAGAATAAAAGAAGATTTTAAATAAATAAATTCGAGAATTAGTTACGTAAGCGTGGTAATACGATTAATAAAGATAGAATAATATTCTACTTATGAAGCAGAACTCGGAATGCACACTATATAGCCAATGCTAACCTGTGACAATAGTATACCTACTGTCATAGAATGCACTCGGGTGTCTCTTCCGGGACAAACTATATAAGACCACTTGAGCGACCGAGCTGCCAGCTTCGGTTACTTGATTCTTTTAAAACATAACCTAGTAGTGTAGTAGTCCGCCAGCGCCGTGACACCTACCATTAAATTTAATACTTACGCAACAGTAAAACTTAAATAAGTTAGTAGAATCTTATATAATTATAACTATAGCTCAGGAAGGGAATTCACTATCAATTTTTTTAATTTTAAAAAGAGATTTATAAATATAAATACTTACTATTTGTCACAAGTTGGCATTAGCTATATAGTATGCATTTTGAGTTCTGTCATGCAAGCAGAACATATTCCTATCTTTTGTAGGTTTGGCCCTCTAAGCATATGCATCCTAGCTTAGCATACTGTTTATTATTTATTAGTAATTTAATGACGTATAGGATTATTATTCAATAAATGAATAAGCTGAAATTATTATTACGACTCTCTTTAACTATATAAGTATATTATAGTATTAATATAATATTGAAGCTAAGTTTTTCAAATGCAATAACGAATTTATAGCGAAGGATATCAAGTATTGAGTTGCTTAGCAAAGAATTACTTTTAAGCTCTTTATTCATAGTATCCAAATGTAAAATGTTAACGTGTGGCTAGTACTGTACCTTATAACTGCTTTGTATTATCTTGTTGTATAGAAGGCTGATTAAACTATTTCTTCTACAAAATCAGTCCACTCGGCCTTTATAAAACGTGCTAGAATACAGAGGTTTTACTATTGTATTCTGGGATTCTCTAACTTGTTCAGTATTTCTTCTACACTAATTTGTCATTGTGGAATGCACCAGAAGCTTATAGATTCAGTTCATTCCCTTCATGATATAGTGCTCCTACAAGCACTCCTATCAACTTACAGAAGCTTTTACACTCTGGAAGCTTCTAGATACTTAACGTTCGTGTATATAAAGACCTCTTCTCTCTTTTAGTTAGTTACTACTTAAGCAAGCAAGCACAATCAAGCAATATAATACAGTCTACTCCTATAGTATAGAGTCCACTATACTCTTCTGTCTTGAAAGCAGAGTTCTTTCTAAGACCTCTTTTACAACATCCTCCTCTTGTCTTTGTTACTACGCTGCTTTCTTCAGCACTGCTGTCGTACTTCCTACCGCTTCCGCTCCGCTCTGCTACAAGTGCATAGTTCGCTGTAGCATCTCTATACTGGTGCTATTATTATAAGCCAGTTAGGGCATTATAGCAAACAAACTCTATAAAGATTTGATCTATTAGGGTACTACTAAATAAACTACTATTACTACTTTAATTATAGAAGTAAAACTATATACTGTTAAAAAAGCAGTTAAAAGAATCCTCTTCATTACGTAACTAATTGAAGTTTTAAAAATAAATCTATTAGAAGATCTTATACCTACGTTATATTATAATAATTAATAAACCATTAAAACGTTTGCAAAGGAAACTTCTACGTTCAATGCTAATATAAAATATATAAATATCTACTATTATTAATTTAAATAAAAGATTCTTAAGAAGCGAACTCTAAATATCTAATATTTAAAAATGAAGCTAACACTAATTAATAAACTAACAAAAGCTTTAAGTATTATAGGACACAGAAAATTTAAGAGATTTCTAGGTATAGGAGAGAAACCACTACAAATAGCTAAAAATTACAACTTAGAAGGACTAGAATTCGAATATATAAATAAATATTTAAGTATTAAATTAAAGAAAAAGATTGTTAATCTATTAATACCTTCACTTATTGACTTAAAAAGAATAAACAGTTTGTAAGTGAGAGGGTATATTAGATTCTAAAGTGGAATTCCAGCTATATATAGCTTAATTTGTAAGATTAGTCAGCTAATTTGTAAGCTTGATAAATATAGGATACCACAATGCTCCCAAACCTACTGGAGAAACCACTCTGGCTAGCTCTACTCAATAATCCATACATCAATACAATTATAGTAAATCTAACACATACAACAGTAAATATTGGTCGCTTGGAAAGGAAGGGGGCCAATTAGGTTGCTCAAGACGGGAGGTGACATCGGACACACAGGGACGAAAAAAGAGGGGGAATTAGTCCAGGTTGTTGTTGTTGTTGTTGTTCATGTCTTCATCAAGGTTGAAAGGAGAGCTGTCATTGGACAATAGATCGATGTCGACTTGGCATTGAACCTCAACTTTTCGGATTGCCGTGATGCCCGCCTTTTTCGGCTGTTGTGGAAGGTTACCTACAGTAGTTGCAATTTTCAATCTTCGAGTTCGAGACACCGAGACACTGGAGTTAATGCTTGAGGGACGCACCTTCCTGATGGAGAGGGTCGGCAAGTTCTCTGACGGAAGCGTCGTCGTTCGCTCCTTCCTTCCATAACAGAAAAGAATTGAGGGCAAGAAGAACGAGTGTTGGTTACTTTAGCCCTCAGCTTCTACCAACCGCGGCGGACCAATGTCAAAAACCACATCACCAAACTTCTACACATTCCCCCCCAAGAAACAATCGAAACATCACAAGCCTTTTAAACGCTATAAAACACCTTGGCATCTCCCATTCCATCCACCCTCACCACGAGGGAAATAGATTGTCTATGTACCTTACCGACTTCAGCTTGCCATTGCATATTGAGATCTCGCTTCGCTTGCAATGGGAAATCTCGAAAGGATGGTGTCATTCTGGAAGCATTTCCCATTAGAACCTCGGAAATAACGGTGCCACGACAGGACAGGACAGGACAGGACAGGACATTAATATCGGTACTGTGGATGGAGGGCGGCCGGGGTAGACGGCCGGCGTCTATTTGTGTTGGATGGCCAACCAAATCGGTTCGCGCTGGAAAGGTTCCTTACGGTCATTGGATGGACGCGTGTGTGGTGCACTACAACGGGAGCGTACAGGTAGTGTAGTGTCGAGGTGTGCGTATGCCGTATGTAGGGATGGCGGCTGGAGAGGAGGGAATGGAAGTTGAAGAATGGTTGGAAGAAGATCGTGAATGGTTTCTTGGGAGATGCTCGGCTTCTTGGCTAAGGTAGGTTCCATGGGTGGGTTGAGCGGGCGGGAGTGACGAGATCTTGAATGTTTCTATGCAGTTGATATCACAAGCGGGATGACACTTTCACTTTCACTTTGTTTCGTTAATAGGTATGTTTGTCTTGATCAATGATCACGGCTGTTTGTTCGATATATATATTGTCTTATCACGCTAAACTATTTACATCGTCTACCCAGTGGGTATGCAGTGCTGCTTCCGTTCTTATTCGGTGGGAAAACCGTACCGTAGCCGGATGAAAACCCTCCGCTTCTCTATTGCAACGACGCCGTGTCGACGCTGTGCCTTCGATGTTTATCTTCCTCTCGGTATGGCCTCACCGTCATTCCCGAGGCCAGATCTTTGATTCCGCTGCGTGGTCCCCCAACCGTACTCCCGCTCTCCAGAATCAAACATCAATCTGAATTCCCTAGTAGCTCTTCTGCTTCCTTCGCTTGTTCGTCTTCACTGCCAGCTTGTACTCCTGCAGTCGTCCCAGTCGCAAACCCCAGCGAAGGATTCATTCCGCCCCCGCCACTGTCTCGAGTTCGTCGTGGAGTTGTTCAATGTTTGTCGGCCACGTTGGGTCTCCCCATAACCATGTGTCTTCCGTTTCTCTACATTCCAAGACAATATGTTCGAACGTCTCCTTCGCTAACCCGCACTGTTTGTTCGATAGCTCAGTTCTTCCAATACATCTTTAGGTATTATACAATACTACATGTTATACTAACCACGGCTCTATTCGCTCTGCAACTTCCTCTTTGAAGCTCTCACTGGCAACCAAAACTCAACCCAATGACAGAGCACTCTTCATGAACTGACAAGCTATCGAAATTCGATATGGATGATGGCCGCATATCTGAAGGAAGCGCATGAATATGGCTAACCAGACATGCCAGGCTCACTTCTCCGGCTTAGTATTCCCGCAGGCGCTCACGGCACGGCAGCCCAGATCTTGGCCTTCCCGTTCGATCCTCCAAGACTTTCTTCTAGCATATCGCCACATCCAACTTCCAACCACCTTCCATGGAGCTACCGCTCCAATCATCCATTTTTCGGTACATGGTGTACTTGATATTGATATGGTTGTTTCGAAACCGGCATGTGAGCGCAATATCTTTCATCGATCCAAGAAAAAAGTAGGACGCAACGCCGAATTATCCGTCCCAGGCGCCCACTGGTACGTCGCAATCTTCTTTACCGCTTTGATATGCAGTTCCTGCACATCATTCCCATCATTCTTCCTTCCACCAATCCTTCCCGAGCGGATGATGTTTCGATCGATCCTACCGATGACTAAACCCTTCCTCACTCCATTCACCACTCCCTGATGCTCCTCCTCTCGCTACAGAACCCACGGCACCCACTGCGGCAGTCACGACATGCTGGTCTGCATCAGCCGAGCCCATCCAGTACAGCGAGAGGAATACCATCACATGAAGCGCCACGCAGTACGCTGCAAACAGGTTCCTGCTCGTCCTTGTAGCCAACACCATCCTCGTGATCGAGTATACCACCCTCTCCGGCAGACTCATCCGCTTGTACGCCCTAGCGGACTCGCGGCCCCTAAACGCCGCAAAGGGTGAGATGTTGGACTCGTACGCCTTTCTGTATCGGTCCAGTGCTACGCCGCCGCCACCGCTATTCCCGTCGCTGCCGCTTGTTGCGCCGAAGGAGACGGCGGATGGGTTAGGGTTCGATGAGAAGGAGGCCGTGGAGGTGGCTGACGCCATGCCGCCTCCAGCGCGGTTATAGCTGGACACGTAGCGCGTCTTCTCGTAGAGGTTCAGGTTGTCCCGCTGCAGAGCGGCGATTTCCTGTCGTAGTTGGGAGACCGTCTTGTGGGTCTCAGACAGCTCTTGCTCGAGCTGGGCATTGCGCTTCTTGAATCGGTCGCGCTGAGCGGTGATCATGGGTAGAATGCCGCCAGCTCCGCCGCCAGCGAAATCGGGCGAGTCACGATCGAGACCGCGAGGGTTGAAGCCACTCACAATCGAAGAGGTAGGGGATATCCTACCACCGCCCAGCCTCCGAGTGGGTGCGATCGAAGGAGCATAACGAGCCACGGATGCTCCTGAAGGGAAAGCATTGGGCGCTTCGGCTTGGATGGTCGAGAGCTCGTTTTCAAGCTTCTCGTTGAGGTTTTGCGACTTCTCAAGCTCGGCATTAGTCCGAGACAGCTCTTCCTGCAAGTCTTGAAGGCGAGTTTGGAGGTCCTGGTGCGAAACACGCAGGATAGTCAACTCGTCATTGAGCTTCTTGTTTCGCGCGAGAAGAAGTTGCTCGAGCGTATCCCCCTTTCCTTCGCTATCTCCATCAGCGTTGTTGCCCGAGACTGCGCGTACGGCATCGTCGTCATCACCTGTCGCAAACTCGATGCTCTTGAGAACTTCCAGCTCCTGTTTCACATCGTCATAATCTGACCACTTTTGGACCTTGGCCTTGAGCGCGTCCCGTTCCTCCTTGAGCAAGCCAACCTCTCTCTCTAGACCACGGAGCTTGGTGTCCAAATCTCTCTTCAGCCCTTCCTTCTCCACCCGCGCTGCATCCAACTTGCGAATCAACGACGAGTTCTCTGATCTCACGCGCAGATACCCCGGGTCGTCCTCTAAGGAGCTAGCCGGATGTGCGGAAACCTGCGACTTCGACTGCGCAAGCTCAAGGCGCAGTTGTTCGTTGCGGGCTTCCACCTCGGCAAGCCTCGTGCTTGTGCGCTCCAAGTCAGACTGGACCATCTCCAACTCAGCGCTCGTAACCTGTCCGGTATGTTCCTCGGCATCGTCGGATTTGCCCAGTCTCTGGTTGACTTCGTAACTGGCCTTGAGTTCGCTGAGTAGACGGTCCTGGTTCTCAATCTTCTCCTCCAATGTCTTTTCCTTGGCCGTCCAGTTATCCTGCTTCTCGTCGAGTACGGCAGTCCACGAAGACTCGACCTCCTTGACCTTGGATTCTAGATTCTCCTCTAGTTGTTTTCTGGCGTCGGACTCTTTCTGTAGTCGAGATTCCGTCTCTTCAAGCTGCGATGTGAGCTTGGCTACGTTCTTCTGCAAATGCTTGTTCTCCTCGGTGAGTTTTGGTAGCGTGTCTTCCGAGACAAGCATGGAGTCGACCGAAGCCTCTAGCAGCGGATATGGGTCCGGCGCTTCAGATAGGGATGTGTAGGCGTGAAGGAAGGCCGAGTTTACCGACTTGGAGTGGTTTGTAAGGAGGTCGATAAAACCTTGGTAGGCTATAGTTATTGTGTCGTGTTAGTCCACGAGCTTAGAAGCCGTCGCTGTCCCTAGGCTATGGCATTGCGTACCTTTAAGCAACCCCTTGATCTCTCCCAGCTTGGTAGCATCGTCGAGCTTGCGGAAATCCTTGGTCTTTTGTGCAAGGTCCTTTCTCTGTACGGTAGAGTCCCGTTGGAATGTAACGATTTCCGACGCCGTGTTGTCCAGATTCGAGACTAAGGAGGTAAAGTCGAGACCTAGAAAAGGTAAAGTCAGAAACACCGCCTAGAACATGACACGTTCAAGACTGGGGAGTATAGACCGTCGTACTTCTCCATTGTGAGATGGCACTTTGGAACTTGTTTGTCGCATTCGGGGTGTCTCCTGCTGCTGCTGGTCCTACTGCTCCTGGAGCCTCGGGGCTGATGACGTCCGCCATGGTGTCGGGTATTGTGCCTGCTTGCGCAGTGCTCGAATATCTTATTAGAGACCTAGGCCGGCCTAGGATTGTAGTTGCATATGGTTAACAGTGTTGTCATCTGTCGGATATCAAGGGATGTGGTATCGATTGTGTGGGCGCGGGATGTCGGGAGAATGTCAGACGGGTGATGTGTGGCAGGGAGTGTTCAGTTTACATCAGACACCATTCAGCAGGAGCCGACCGTCACGGTTCCCGCACCGCTCCTGTTGGTCCGGGCTTCATGTGCCACTGGACCCGAGGCAAGATCGACTCCTAAAACGTGTCCCACAGCGGCACCAACAAGCCAACAGCCCACTGAGCTTACAGGGATCCTGGTAGCTATAGCTGCCTCACTACGTAACTGCATGCCTGAAGGTGTCCCGCATAGGTGCCCGCCATCCATCCGATCTTCCTCTTGACTTACAACTTGCGAATAGCTTCAAAAGACAACAACAGTCCACCCTCCCTCCCTCAGCACCTTTGCGCAGCTACGGGGTACAAGTCGCATTGCGCAAAACTGTGTTTTGGATCCGGCATGCCCAGGTAACAATGTTGTCGAAGCTGCACCGGAATGGCATCCGCATCCGCAGCATCTCCCAAGCCCATGGCAGCCGGTCCATATGTCTTGCGACCCTTGCTCCACGATGTTCCTCTGTCGGCTGAGGGTACCGACGAAGATATTAAGATTAACTGCGTCGACTACTTAGGTGAGTTGAGCTTCCCCATGACCTTGTAACTGCTGTTTATGCGCCAGCCATACTAACCCTGCTTTGCGCCCAACCCAGACGGTAACCTTTACGTGGGAACTTCTGCATCCGAACTGCTCCATTTCTTCCGCATACCGCCCGATCCCAACGATCCGAACAGTACCGATACGTTTATCCTCGCCTCGAGACTCCTTCCTGCCTACTCGGAAACCTCCGGCTCGCCCAATGGCCCGAAACCTGGTGTCCAACAGATCCTCTTGCTGCCCCGCGTAGGCAAAGCTTGTATTCTCTGCAACTGGACAGTCACATTTTATTCGCTACCCGAGCTGAGCCCGGTTTTTGGAACCACCCAGGTCAAGAACTGCAACTGGATCGGAGGTGTGGACTTGAACGACAGTTTCGATAAGCCAGGGACTGGCGTCACCATTCTCCTTTCGCTCAACCGGCGCATACAGGTCGTGAGGATCGGGGACGATGCTCGAGTTATCAGGAAGATTGACTTTGCCGGAAGCACTCTCTCGGTACGGAGAGGCTCATTCGCATGTGTTGCCGATTCCAGGACCTATGCTTTGTTGGATGTTGATCGGCAGCTCAAGATCCCCCTAATGAGCATATCGTCCTTGGATGACTCCGCCCCTGGAGGACAATATGGCCAAACACAGAACATCGCAGGGCCACCTGAGAACGGAGGTCACTCGAGGAGCGCCTCATCGGCGACAGCAAGACTCGCGCCTGCTGACGTCCACAGCCATTCAAGAAGCACAAGCTTGTCTGGGTTGATAGGAAATATGCGTGGGACCCAGAGAACACAAGGAGAGCAAGACGATCCGGTATTTCAACAACCTGGCACGCCGAGATCTTCAAACACTCCAGAACGAAAACCCAGCCCTACTCTAAACGATGGGGACAAGCCATTACCTCCACCCCCACGGGATTCGGTGGCATCTCTAGCGTCCCAGGCTTCTGGCACAGGGGGAATCTCTCCGGCACGCATAGCATCTCCTAAGCCACAGCCTGGATTAGTCTTCTTAAAGCCACACATTGTGTCTCCTACGCCAGAAGAGTTCCTGCTCGTAACTGGAACAGGACCCCTCGACCCCGGAATCGGCATGTTTGTGAATCTGGATGGTGATCCTACGAGACCCACCGTTGAGTTCGAGAGATATCCAAGGGAGATCGCTGTTGACGGGGGTGCGCCCGACGTGTCATCTCCGGGGGCATCGATTTTGGGTCGTGAGGCTGAGGGCTATGTCTTCGCTTCCATGGGAAAGGAGTTCGAAGATGGTGTACATCAGGGCTTGGAGATCCAAAGGTTCGATGTGAATGTCGGTGAAGGCGAGGCAGAGAAGTTTTGGTTGGAAGTTCCTAGCAAGGACGACCCAATTACCCCTGCTGTCCACACCCCTATAGGCATCAGATCACTCTTGGCTAGCGAAGAGATGCAGTTTGAGGAGGTGGTCAAACGACTTTGTCAGAGAAGATTTTCGCCGTTCAACGGAGGTTCTGCGACACCTGCTGTGTCCACAAAGGGTGCCGATTCACGTACGGCATTCCCGATAGAGCGACTAGCACGAGAGAAGGAACTATTCGATCGAGACCTAGGGTCAGAAGAGGAACTGCTACCAGAAAACTGGGAGACTGTGCGGAACAGGGAAAACGAGGAGTTCGTACGCGTGCTTGCCAAAGGCTCGTCGCGCCTGGCTGTCTGGACAGGGACGAACATATGGTGGGCTGTTCGAAACCCCCTGTTGCTTCAGTTGGAATCGAGCCTAGAGTTGGCAACTTCTAAAGAACAACAGGGCAGCTCAGACAGCTCAGAGCAGAAAACACAACTCCTCAATCTCATCCAAACCATCAATAACCGAGAGCCCAAAACAGAGCTTGAGTTCATGACTCTCGGATACGTCAAGCAACGGGCCAGCATGATGCTTGTTGCCCACTTTCTAAACTGTGCCGAGTCTCCTTTCAGCGACTCTGAGACGAGGCAAATGGAAGCAAGTCTACTCGACGGTGACTTAGATGCTCGAGTGGTCTTGTCACTGATTTCCGCTCTTCGAAACGAGATTGTCATGGGTCTAAAAGGTATTTGGGTCTATGGGGGAATCAAGTCTCTTGTCGAAGAGTACATCGCAGCGGAGAAGGACAAGGAAGTTACGCAGACGATCGACTCGCTACCTCGACATGTGCTTGACTTCCTACACCGGTTCCTCACTGCTTGGAGAAACAAAAAGGGCTTCGGCAGTATCTCCGCCGAGATCTTTCGGACAGTGGATGCATCTCTGCTACTAGTACTCCTAGAGCTGGACAAAAACACGCCTGTGGGCAAGTCTGGCGAACCTGGTTCACCTCGAAAGGAACTATACGAACTCGTGGACCACGGAGTCGACTGCTTTGATAGAGCAGTAAGCCTGCTAGAGGGATATCGCCGCCTTTACGTTCTCAGTCGACTCTATCAGCAACGCAAGCTATCGCCCTATGTTCTCAAAACATGGAAGCGTATTATTGAAGGGGAAGAGGATCGGGGCGGGGAGTTGGGAAGCGACGGCGAGCTGCAAGTCAGAAGGTATCTCGGCAACATCAGCAACCAGGAGCTGGTGAAGAAATACGGTGTTTGGCTTGCTAAGCGTAATCCCAAGTTGGGTGTCGAGGTCTTCGCCGACGACAAGATCAAAGCACCGAAGTTGGTGCCAACTGACGTAGTTACCCTTCTTAGAGAAGAGGCACCCGATGCGGTCAAGTACTATCTCGAGCATCTTGTGTTCAGGAAGGGCAGCACAGCCTACATCAACGAGCTGATCACGTACTACCTCGATATTGTCATCAACGATCTTCAGAACTCCCCAGAATCTCGAGCAACCGCCACGGCCTCCTACGAAGCCTACCGCGCATTACGCCCTCCCAAACCCACCTACCGCCAATTCCTAACCGACAACGCCCCTCCAGACGACGAGGCCTGGCAAAGCCGACTCCGACTCCTACAACTCTTAGGCGGTGCGCACGACTACGACGCCGCTGCCATCCGCCAACGCATCGACTCCTCCCTAGCAGAATTCTCTTCCGAGCACGGCGCCGTATCACAGTCCCAAAAGCAACAGCAACCACAACAAAAACAGCGTCTCCTCGTCCCCGAAGCCATCATCCTCAACGGCCGCCTTCACGACCATGAAGACTCCCTCCGCCTGCTCGTCTACCACCTAGGCGACTACGACTCCGCAGTCTCCTACTGCCTGCGCGGCGGGCTCTCCCTCTCATTTAACAACACCACCGCACCCACACAGCAAAAGCAGCCACCCCCTACCAAGGAAACGCAGTCCCACCTCTTCCACGTTTTGCTATCCGAGTTCCTTGCCATCGAAGATCTCAGCGACCGCGTCGAGCAGACGGGCGCACTACTCGAGCGGTTCGGCGGCTGGTTTGATGTCTTGGAGGTCCTGGGGATGATCCCAGATGGCTGGTCGGTGGATGTTGTCGCGCAGTTTCTGGTCATGGCGCTGAGGAAGCTGGTCGAAGAGAGGCATGAGAGTTTGGTGCAGAGGGCGTTGAGCGGGGCGGAGAATTTGAGGGTTGGGTATGAGAGTGTGGTGAAGATGGGGGAGATTGGACCGACGGTTGTTGGTGATGAGGAGAAAAGAGGTGGAGGGCAGGGAGGAGCGGGAGGAGAGGAGATGCAAGAGATGAATGAGATGCAGGAGATGGGGGATATGGGTGGGAGAGGTGTGGGTGCTGGAGGTGGTGATGATGACGATGATGAGTTTGCCTAAGGCCTTTTTTGTTCCCTTCTTGTTTATGTTAGCGAAAACTTGATAAACATTTCGAACGTCTTTCTTTGTGAGGACGCAACGGCTTTAACCTAGACACTTTTCATTTCCATCTAGAACAACAGTTCCAGCTCATGCATGCATTGATCGAAGAAAGATGGGAAGAGGTCAATGCGCGTTAGCCAGATGGAGGATGTGAATTGCCCCATATAGAGTCTACATCTGAGGACTCCATTCAACAATCATCACAGGTTGTATAGTGTAGCGGTTATCACTCCGGATTCTGAATTCCATCAGAACATTCCGGCAACCCCGGTTCGATTCCGGGTACGACCTTCACTTTTGTAATTTTTCTACTACTCTTTCACACCCAAGAGGTCTTCGCTTTTCATTTTGGCTTTCATCCTGTTTTTATAAAGGCTCTTTTTTGGTTTTGTCATCATTCTGCTCTTGATGTTGGGGCCAAGCGCTGCAATTATCTGCCCCGTATCTGCCTGCACAACCGGTCGCACTTGCTTAACTGTTCGATCCTGAAGGGAGGAAGTAGTTGAGCAACTGGCAGAAGGCACATCCCGGACCGTGGAAAGGAAGGAGCCCATCACATCTATTGCGGGCACAGAAGAAGCTGAGGGCTGTCAAGGAAGCACCGGAAGGTTGGCAAGACGAGCCAGTAGGTTGGTTGACAGTTGGGTAGATTCCGAGTAGTTTGTTTGCTCATCAAGAATCAAGTACATTACCATCTCTTTGGCTCCCTCATGTTATCCAACTTCTCAACCCCATCATGCAGGTGATTAGGTTTCCAGGCGAATGTGACATCCGTGTGCACTTTATACTCATCATTTTTGGCCCTCAGTTTCCTCTTTTATACATACCTCTTCTATTTAGATCAAGATTAACCTAGTACGAGCTCGACGGATTCTAGGGTCCCTGATTCTAGATAACTTACATGGCTGAACGCCTCTTCTCCCCTTCCTTTCCTCGGCAGAATACCTTCCGGCCCTGCAATATACGCCTTCGGCCACTTTTCGCAGGACCAAACCTGTGCCGTCCTCACGATCGACTTCCAAAAGAAACATCGTCTCATGGTGCCACTCTTCGTTCGACACAAATATGCTGGGCGCTTCCATTGTTACTACCCCTTCGATGGCATTACGCTCCTCCCAGCCCCACATCCCTTCATAAAACACGAGGTACCCGATAGAGCTAGAGCCCTCACGACCGATAATGGTCTCCTCAAGTATACCCCACAAGATCAGTTTGGTTTGGGAGACTCCGAGAACGGATATGTTCGTTTCTTTGACGTCTATGAAGTCAATAGCACCGGTGACAGAGGCCCAGGACCATGAAGGGGCTGCTCGCTCCGGCGACCTCGTCATGCTTTCAACGTCAACGGGATACCAGAAAAGGAGATGAGGAACATCCCCAAACCACAAGCCACCCGCGTATCTGTGCGTGGACAAGCCTTCCAGTCTTTGCGCAATCGCTGACAGGGCAGGCAACCTGTCCATTGGATCGCTCACAGCCCGGCGAGTGTAGTTCCTTATTAACCGTTTCCAGGTCTGTATGACACGTTCCTCCAACCGCCGATGTGTCTGCGTCGGAACCCTGGCACGGAACCTGTCGACTTCCTCTAGCTCGACTACCGGAGCCCAGTCGATGCTAACTGGACTTTGCTCGACCTTGTCGCGGGTCCAGCCGTCCACGAGATAATTGGGCTTCAAGGCGTGTGGTACGCCGTAACGGTGACAGTTGCAGTGCCACCGCGTTTGATGCGTGCCGAACTCGAGCATGCGAGAAGAAATGAGGGACTCTTGGAGAGTCCACCCTCGCCGGTCAATAGGCTCGTCCCATTGTTCGCTCCGGTCGTGCCAAAGCATGACTGTTCCCCTTTGACCATCTCGGCATCTGAACGGGATCACAAAGCTTCCCTCACCAGGCTCATTTCGTGGTTGGAGAAAGCCATCGTGGCAGGTAGATGCTCGGGAGGCTGATATCGTGACCTCGGCGTTCTCATAGATGCCCCCCATTTTCTGTATCTCTTCGTGTTTGTCACGGATATCGTTCTGGATGATGCATAAGGCATCTACCCATATGTAGTTGAAGGCCAACACTCGTGTGATGTAAATCGCATCCTTGATGGTCTGAGGAAGCTGGGCATGTGGGATGTCGGTGAGCCACTGAAACAAGTTTTCGTTCCGAAGGACCTTGGCCTGACTTTGTCCCCAGCAGTAGCTCAGCGCTACGTAATGAGGAATCGTACTTGCAGAGGGTAGGTCGGCTGAGACATCCACCAATTTCAAGCTTGGGCGGATTCGTCGCCTGATATTTGAAGCAGTCTTTTCGGATGCGACTGGCGAGAGAATGAATGTCGCCCAAAGCCCTGTGAAGTAGGATATCGTGGGCATTCGTTAAACCATTTCCATATCAGTTCGAGCGAAGACTCCGAAGACGGATGCATATTCGGAGGTCTGGTGAAGACCTCTCGCGCCGCGGGATCACTGTGATATTTTCAGCTTGGTGCCTCCCTCCAACAAGGCAACTTGCGAATGATACTTACTCTTGACTTGCACAAAGTACTACCTTTATGAAGTCGGTTCCTCCAACCACATCGCTGGAGCTTTCTCCCACCTCGTCCTGGAGTTCATCATCAAAGTCGTCTACCGGCACATCTGCAAGAAGATAGTGGCCTTTTTCTTCAGGTTCTTCCCGCCAATCTTTCTCCAGAACCCCGGCGACTTCTAGTTCATCCTCTATCCGGATCGGATGAAACCTTGTCAGACCTGACGACTTCTGTCGCACATTGTCCGTTCCCTTTCTCCTAGTCGGCTTTTTATTGTCAGCCTCCACAGATGGTCGATAAAGCCCATCGACAGAACGAAAGGACCATAACCAAGGAGTGTATCGTCCATCAACCCATTGAAGGTAGAGATGCGTCGTAACCGAGCTATGCTTGCCAACCACAGCCTGCAGTTGTCCCTGGCCGGGAGCGTCCCAGACCGGAGGCAGGTTGACAGTCAACCATTTCATGAACGCACATCCCTCGCCCTCACCTGGCAACGAGTCCTCCGCAAGCTTAACAGCTTCGTCGTAAAGCAAGTCAAACATGTACACCTCAGTATCCATTCCCGTACGGCCATTGGTGCTCCCGCTAAAGAAAAAGACGAGCTTTGGCGAGGAGCATCTTGCGCAGCTATGGGGCTCAGGCGAGATAAGCGATAGCATCGCTTGTTGATGTTATGGATCCAGAATGATGCATTGACCGCGGCGTCGGGCTAGGTACGAGAAGATGGCATGAAGCTAGGAGAACTACAAGTCCGTGGTCTGAGGACTCATAAGCGGTAGCTGTCTCGTTGAGAGGCCGCCGGTCTCATGAGGAGCATGGGGAAGTCCAATTGGGCATGATGCCGCCCACCCATCTCAATCACACCGTGAGATGGAGATGAAGCAGCCTATCTGTTTCGATCCGGCATTGTACCAGGCGCGTCGTAGAGGGAAGGATACAGAGAGCAAAGGCAAATTTGACCGCGACAGGAAAGAGAATCTTCAGCAAGATGTCCAGAAGCGTATGTCAGTCAATAGTTCTAAGAAAGAAGTGTCACAAACTACGGGGTACCTCCACGAGCTCCACTAACCCCAAAAAAGGGGGTAGAAGCCCGGGCTCCATACTTGGTATGATGGGTAAGTTCAATTAGGTGGGGTAGGTATAAAATCATAGGTGTCCGTGCTGAAAGGTACCTGACAGGGGTGGTTTTTACTTTTGCACGGAACCACAGTAAACAGTTGGAGTCTTCCTTCCCCGCCAAGACCAAGTTTCCTGCCCTCTCGCCCTATACAAACCACCTTCTGCAATGTGTCTTTTATCAAATGGCCCGCTGGCCAAATGGTAAGGCGTCAGATTTCGGTGTTTTCTTTAAAAAAAAGCTAGAAATATCTCTGAAGATTGGGCGTTCGAGCCGCCCGTGGGTCGTTTATTCTTTTGTCTCTTTTTTGTTTTGGATCGTTGGAGGTTGAGGAGATGGGGCTTGGAGTTGGGATTGTGTTTTAGGCGAGGGGTCTTGCGTTCATCGGCTGTTACCTCCGAGCTCTTACTACCTACGTCCATGCGTCCCGTCGCTTGCGTGAGACTCGGTTCACTTTCGCTTTTGGTTTATTTTCTTTCGGCAGCTTCCCGCTTATTGCATCTTTGGCCTTTGAGTTTACAGGAGAGTATCTGCACTGAACGCCGCTCTCCTCCTATTCCCCATGGGGTAGCTCTCTTTGCGTGAGTGTGGGTAAGGGGAAGATGTCTGGTTGCGAATGTGGCCCATGGGAGCGTTATGACTCTTATTTACTATCCCCGCCATTTTTTGAAAGACGACATGATTGATGAGATGTTGCAGAAGCGTCATTGTTCCCTGAGATATCCAAGGGCAAGATGACCATCACCAAGACTTTTGCATCACAATCCGTCACGCGGCAAGTCAAGTCCGAGAAACTGCCAAGCTCGGGAAAGGAGAATGATCAACTCCGTGTTGACGACATATTCAGTCTGAAGTCACATGGAAGGATCTCAGACACACAAGTCATAAGGCTCAAACCCAGGGATATCATGCCGTTGAAGAGGTTATCACCAAGTTGCCGACGGGAAGGTGGGTCATGGGAGATCGACGACGGTGAGCAAAAGAGGATAGAATAGGCACATCTTGGCATTGACTAACGTCTTGGAAAAAGACACTGTGTGTTGAAGCATTGGGACTGGTATCGTTACGAAACTCCGAAAGGATTGAGTTCCTGGTGTTTAAATGGTAGCCTAGGGAGTGGTGAGGCTGTGACGGCTTTGGCGGCTCGGCGACAAGCTAGACTTGAGGCTTTGAGGCTGAAGTGTCGATCACTTGTCATAGGAACCAAGTGGGACTACGGCTTGAATGACACCCTTGTGCAACTGTTTCACTTGGGGGCTTTCTTGTAGACGACAGGAACGACATACCAGACAGAAGCTGTGCTTTCAACCCTTCCGGAGGTGGTGAACGATCGGTGCTCCGTCATATTCGATGCGTACAGGTATGCCAGCAACAAGACTAGACGACTCGAAGAGAGCGGCTTCTAAGGTGAAACTCCTTTACCAGGTTGCGGACTTTGGCATCCAAACTCAGTGGCAGCAAAGAATAGAGTCTTCTATCTCAAGGGACAAAGGCGCCGCTAGTCGAGAAGCTTAGGCAGAAGGGAAAACCTCGCTCCAGATCTTCATGAACCAGGAGGTCGAAGGAATATGGATCCGCAACTGTTTCCGCCGATCGTCGTTCGACCACGAGAATAGACTCGAACTTCGACCCTACACTCAGCCCTTTCCATAAGGCAGTCGTGATAGTCACACATCGTTCCCCAAATGGTACAACTGTGAGGACCGAAGGAGCTTCTCGGCAGGCTAGAGCGGACGGGCTTACTGTCGATCTTTTCTTGACCTCCTTTTGGTTCTGAGTTTAGTGTTCCGAGCTCCTAGTAAGTGACGTGAGAAGATGGTGGGGTGCCGCAACATGAGGCTCGTCTTGACGATCATGTCGAACTGGAGAAAAAAGCCTTGGGTAGACTGGAAGTCTATATAACCCATGACGCCCTATGTTTGTTAACAGTTCATCCTTCATCATCATCAACAACATCAACAACAATCATTCAAATCACCATCAACACCTCCACTTCAAGCACAACTTCAAACCACATATCTCTCGGTTACAAGCAAACACCCCAGAAACAACAATGCAGTTCTCCATCGCCACTCTTCTCGCTCTCGCGGCTGCTGCCCCCTTCACCTCTGCCGCCGGTGTCCTCACCCGCCCCAAGGCCAACGAGTACAAGGATACCAACTGGTAAGATAACCCAACCCAACCAATTCTCCTGCCTGCAACCCCTAGAACAGCAAACCAGACAGGGACTAGAAGGCTAACATCGTCCGCTTTCCCAACCAAACAGCAAGGACTCGAGCTACGGCCACAACTCCTACTTCCTCTACGACGTCACCATGGATGACACCACCAACTCGGTATACCTAACCAACGGCTACTCGGTCGACGGCAAGCAGAAGGGCTGGTACGGATACTCGGAGAAGAGCAAGAACGGCGGTGTCTGCCAGGGCGTCAACCTCGGCCGTATGCCCGAGGGTTGCGTCAAGATCAACGAGGTGGCTAAGCTCGTGGGAAGGGTCAAGTGCGTTGAGTCGGTTTACCTCTAAATGAGGAAGGGATAATTTTGGTTATGAAGAGCTCATGAGTGGTACGTGAGGCATGGAGGTCATGAGGAGCATAGGTCGAAAGGGAAACGGCTGGGGACACCCTTGCTTCGATATCCATGGTCATAAGGATGTTTCGTTATTTAGCTTGAATTTTTGAATTACCGTACTCAACTCGCTCCTGTTTCTTTATCAGCCAAAGCTTTGCAATCACTAAATCGAACTGCTCGTTGCTTTCATTGACGAGGTGAACGGAGAAGCCAGACGAAGTTGCATCGCCATTGAGCAGTGTCGTTGTCGAGTACTAACCGAACCAGCGACAAGTACAGGCGAGCAATTGAAGAAGAAAGTCATTGTGGCACCGAAATAAATGTGAAGACCCGTGACAGGTCCTTGGTGAGTGTTGAATTGAAAACCTCAAGATGTGGTGCCTGCCGGGAGCCCCAGCATTTTGTGGGGAAAGGCACCAAGCCCGATCAGGAATGCAGCCCCCTTTACCGAAAACACGAGCCACCTCAGCTCTCGACCAGCAGCAGCCGAACGCCAATGGATTGAGGCGATGTGGCATTTGGTGAGGCGACTGGAAGGTGACAGCTTCCCCGATTTCCCAATTTACGAACGCGACTTCTTTCGACATTCTCGACATTCACCACTTTTTAACCCACCACCGCTTCGATCTTCTTCCCGTCCACGACGCATTTCTCTTCTGACCACGCGCGATTCGACTTCTTTCTTCCAATAACCAATACAATAATTCACAATGTCCGACCAAGTGCAAGAGATCCTCGACGTGCCCCGCGAGTTCCTCAAGGACGGCATCCAGTTCATCAACAAGTCCCAGAAGCGTATGCGATCCTCCACTCTGACCAGCCATTGCGCTACCCAACAACATCCATACTAACTGTGGTTCTCTCTACAGCTGATCGCCGTGAATTCATGAAGATCTCCCAGGCTGTTGGTGTTGGTTTCTTGAGTAAGTCCTCCCTGTTCCCCATTGCTGTCCCTGCTTTCGGACCACCAGCTAACATTGTCACAGTCATGGGTGCTGTCGGCTACCTCGTCAAGCTCAGTACGCTCCTCTCCTACTTTCCGAGCTCCCCAACCTAGCATAAGCTAACATCTTCAAAGTCCACATTCCCCTCAACCAGGTCCTCGTTGGCGGCGCGTAAAGCAATCCACGATTTTCGACGAAATAGAGCCGAAATGCGGACGAAATAGCTGCACCGAAAGAATTGAAGGGACAAGATACCCCATGAATGCCTTTTCACAACACATGGACGGACGACGGAGATCCAACCATCACAACTAGGGAGATCTCTCTTGAAGGGCTGGATCACAAAAAGGACAACGGCACCGGACCGGGCCGTCAAACGATGATAATCGGTGGTCTTGGAGACGGGAGAGACGAAGAAGGACGAAAAAGATATCCTATATGCAGGTGGTTTGTCACGGGGTCAACGGGACGTCTGCTTATAATTTTCACCACCACGCCTGGGACGGGACGTCGGGTACTCTTGAAGAGGCGATTGTATAACTCATTTGATGGCGAATTGGTGGGGGGTCATATGCGGAGACAAAGTTTTAATACTTATGGGAAATGAATGGCGCTTTGTTTGAAGAACAACTCAACTTGGAACAGAGGCGAATGCGTGACGAAGTATTGCTGTTTATCTTAACGGCAGGACCCTGCGGCGGTGAACAGGAGTGGTGATTGTCACAGACGATGTCATGGTCGTCACTTTGGATGGCTTGTCCAGCAGTCCAGTATCCAGGAGCTTTGCGAATAATTCAACGTTGAGCAGTCAGAGGGCGACACCAGCTTTTTGATCATACATTTTGGCTAACAAGCAGACAGCATTGGATTATGCAGTCCGTCCAGCAACCGCGCTTTTATAGAGTCCAAACAAAGCAAACCATGGCATACAAAGACCAGTGGTAGTTTTCATATGTCACTAACCCTACGGAGGCCGTTTTTGTAAGTCGATCTCCTGGCTTCCAACCCTTATGAGGTACCCATCTGGGAGCACTCTAGAAGTTCCACAAGCTCCCGATATACCTACTACCACCTTAGTAGGACCAAGGATATTTCCTTAGAAGTCCACCCTCTCCAACCACCTCAACGTCAGTCATGGACCTTCCACGGAACCAATACCCAGCTATCTACAACGCCTTGATTTTTTTTCCTATCTCTTTCCCGAAAACCGCCGACCTTGGATCCTCCAGCCATTGACAACTGGAACTGAGCCTCAAACAAGCTCGGGAATGTGATTTTTCAATCATCGATGACAATTACTTCCGAGCTCCAGGCTCCTCGACTGGACGGATGAGGGCACGTGGTATTCCAAGCCATGTCGTAAGCGTCCTCGGCGATGTTGTCCCAGACCACAGCCATTTTGCGTTTGGCCGCATTCCTAGCCAAAATCGAACAGTTGAGGACGAAGGCTTGGTGCTTAAACGGTGGCAATGCTGGTTTGTCTGCCAGAAAACCCTCTCCCACACATCGGCTAATTTCGCGGATATGCTTCTTGGTAAGCTGTCCCTTCTGAAGCTTCCATGTTGTCTGGGTGAACGGTATCATAATGTTAGCCATGTGTCTTGTTAAGGCAGAAAAGGACCCGGAAGTTGTAAGCTGCGGGAGCCATGGAAGGAGAAGAAAAAATGGATATCATGGTCAGGGCAGCAAGAACTTACCTGGCATGTTTCCGTGATCTCCTGGACTCCGTACTCGTCAATCCCGCCGCCATTTGGGCCAGACGGGTAGAGGAGGCGCCTCGTCAACTGGAAAACCCTCGCGTGCTCAGCGGGCTCGACGTGGGAACTAGTAGTCTGCCCACCAACTACCGCCGACGACGTCTCCGGCACTGAAACCTCCTCCTCAGCCCCTCGAACGGCGGCCGAAGTCTTGTCTCCTCCATCTTTCCCATTGCCAGTTGCCAGAAAAAGGGCACAAAAAGCAGCTATCCTCTGCTTCCACACTGCCCGCCTTCTCTTATGCTGGCTGTCTTGTAGCGCGTCCGGGTAGCCGGTGAACTCTGGGTAATAGGCCACCCAATCATTACCGCTTTGCGGAAGGCTTAGGAATGTCCATGACTTTCCTCCTCCCTCCTCGTCCGAGACCAAAGCAAACAGATTGCACCTCTCACTGCGGACTTTGGTGCAGATGAGGTGAGACGCCCACACGGTCGGACCCTCCTCCTTCTCGTCCTCTTCTTGTTGTTCATCATTGCTGCTGTCCAGGGTGCGTGGGTTCGACTTCGGAGCTCCGTTGCTGCTGTCCGGACAATAGAGCAGCTCACCTACGACAACGAAGAGATCGGCTTTGGGGACTTGGACGATGTCAAGTTGCTCGGCTGTCAGTGGGCTTGGGTGACGGTCCGCTGAATCTTTGGCTGACTGCCGTAATCTGGTCAAGTTCTCGGCGGCTCTTTTGGACGAGGTCTCAGGCTTCGCATATCGTGCGGCTTTGATTACTGCGCCTTGGGGGCGGTTGGGGGTTGAGACATGATGCTCGTAGAGATGGGAAGTGACGGCGATGTCCTTTTGCATGTTGAAGTCAGAGTTGTCTCAGATGGTCGTGATAGCCGGAGTGAAGATGAGGTTGTTGACGTGGGTTTGAGTGATCTGTTGGAGAAAAGGTTAGGTTGTTATAGGTTCGGAGAGAAGAAGCTGGCGAGAACTTCCTTATAGCGGAGTTTTGGGGAACTGGTCGCTTTATGGAGGGAGGGTATGTAGTTCTCGACGAAGACTTATGAGAGACTCCGAGGAGCCTGAGCAAGAATAGGACGAAAGAGACTTGGTGTTTGTTTCCAATGTTTGTGGACTTCCTACAAGTGTCCGAAGGTCGAGGAAACGGAAGGACATCAATCAGAATAGGATGAAAGAAATTTGTCGTTTGCTTTCGAGGTTTGTGGACTCTTGGACTCCCTACGAGCATCCGAAGGTTGAGAAAAACGCAAGACTTCAGTCAGAATGTTATGAGAGAGTCTTGGTGTTTGCTCCCAAGTCCTGAACACCACCCCGAGTGGATGATAGCTGAGGGACTCAGAGAAAATAAGAACCGAGTGAGGCGAGAGAAGCTTCTTTTGGCCAGGAGTGTAGTCCGCACAGGGAGATAGCACAGAGACCTGGCCATAGGTAATGAAGACTCTCAACAGTAGCTATTGGCTCGCCATGAATGGGCTTCATTGGAGGCTAGTAGATTCCTTCGTGCAAGATCTTTAGATGCTCAGTTACTCGGGAAATGGAGTTTGGAAAATACATCACTTGGAGTTCCATATCAATATGCCACTAACCTAAACTCCCTCTGCCACCTCAATTATGGGATCAAAGATTCTGGATTATACTCTCCAACTCGGAAAATAAACAGTCCGAGGTTTTGAGGATCGAAGCAGTCGAAGTAGGACGAGGGATCTTGTTCAAGAGTTCGGGAGGAGAGCAAGCATGCGGACATGAGTCTCGGGATAGCAAGTAGCTTCCTGTCGACAACGCGTTGCATATGTACTTGTTGCTGGATGTCGTGCAGGATTTGACAAAATAAGGACATCTCGATCAACATCCATGACTTCCAAGGTCCTCATATCCGAGTTTAGACGGGACTGAAATGATCGTTTCTCTTGAAGAATTCCCAGTGTCCATCGTGACTTGCCGTGCTTGGTCACTGACATTGACGGGAGGTATGCACCTCTCACTTCTGAATCATCGACGCATTCTAACCAACATACAAGGGCTGGACTACCGAGGGATGGCGAAAAAAATTGTGTTCATGAACGTAGTTGCTCACGATAATCAGGATATCGCCATAAAAAGGTAAAAAAGCAAAAGAATTGACTGGAGTGGGATTCGAACCCACGCATCTTTCGATACTAGAAAGCACCTCACCATATGATGAAGAAGAACTTGGTTCTTGAGTCTAGCGCCTTAGACCGCTCGGCCATCCAGCCATTGGAACATTGTTGATTCCTCGAGCTGACCAAGACATTATGTACGTAATGTAATGCCCCACCACCATGTACTTTCCTGTTTTTAGTTACCACTTTCTGTATTATTTTCATTTGGTATATCTGCTTGCACGCTCTACGTTCTATTGATTATTGTCTTTCAGGTAACGGAAATATCTCATGTTGTCCCTCATGCTTCGGACGTGAGCTCTTTCCTCTGTAGCAACAAGCGATTGCATCAGTAATTGCATGTGCAACCCCTCAGTTGTTAGCTTGCCGGATCACCAATGCGAAGGGCAATGCTCTTTCCCGATGTTTGGAAGGTGGTCAACGAGAATAAGATCATATTTTGGCTCACCCCACATCGTCTGATCCGATCTGGAAGGCACCGAGATCACTGCATGTGTGTGAAATCCAAAAGAGTTTCAGCGTCCGAGGCAATGACGAACTGCAGACTGGATTGAAACCAGGCACAACAGGCCCGAGTTCCCAATCCTTGGCTGGTAGCGTGGTGGCCGCATTGCGTCCCGCTTTCACCCCCTGCTCACTACTTCCCAGAATCCACCAGCTCCCGTATCTCAAACGACAAACAAAACAACAACAGCTGAACTTATCTCAGTCGAGACTTTTTTTTTTCCCCCCCGAACCTCTTTCTCACTCCTTCCTCCCTGTCATTTCTTTAATTCTTAATATTCAACTAATTCGTCACAATGGCCGCCGTCACAAACCAGACCACGCAAGCAGGACAGGATGAGGTTACGGAGCTTGCCAAACAATATGATACCCCAATGGGCCTTGCCCACTCAACGATGCAGGCTCTGAAAGACCGCATTAAGCTTCATTATGACCTGGCCAGCGACTATTACCTGAACCTATGGTGTGTTTTCAAGCTCTTCCTCGGCAAATTCCCGACGGGTGGCTTGGTTGTTCAATCTGAAACAGCCCTCACCAAACACCTCAAACAACATTCAAGACACAACAGCTACAGAGAGCTAACAACCTCACAGGGGAGAGCATATCCATCACGGCTACTGGGCCACAGATGAGGCCAAGGCCAAGGACACCAAGGAAGTTGCTCAGGTCAACCTGATCCGCCTTCTTCTCGAGATCTCCAAGGTCTCAGAGGGCGCTCGTGTTCTCGATACTGGCTGCGGCATTGGTGGCACCTCGCGCTTCCTCGCCTCTGAGTTGGGATGTACCGTAACGGGTATCACCATCTCTACCAAGCAAGTTGAGATGGCCACCAGGTTGACCAAGACTGAAGCCGCCAAGCAGATCCAGGGCGATGACAAGACCGTCACCCCTGATGCCGATGGCTTCATTGCGCTCGGAAAGGGCAAGGTTAGGTTCATTGAGCTTGACGCGGAGAAGATGGGCGATTATTTCGCTTCGGACGCCGGCACCTTTGATGCTGTATGGATCAGTGAAGCTTTGAGCCACTTTCCCAACAAGGCTCTTTTCTTTCAGAACGCCTTCAAGGTCCTCAAGCAGGGCGGAAAGCTGGTTCTTGCCGACTGGTTCAAGGGCGAAGGTCTTGACCAAACCCAGTTCGAAAACGATGTCAAGCCCATTGAAGGTCAGTAGCTACCCTGAGAAGGACATCGGTATCGAGACCAAGTCAGCTAACCTTAGTTTGAACAGACGGCATGCTGCTCCCGCCTCTGTGCACTCAGCCCGACTATGTCAAGTTCGCTACAGATGCTGGACTCAAGGTCTTCCACGAGCCTAAGGATATTAGCAAGGATGTCAGTAAGACATGGTCAGTCAAGCTCGAATCTGTTCCATGAACCTACTTGATGATTCTAACACCAATTACAGGGACATTTCTTGGTCGCTGGTCCAAAACCCTTCTTTATGGGCATTTGCCTTCAGCCAGGGCAGAGACGGCATCGCCTTCTTGCAAGCCTTCCGTGCGATGAGGAGAGGCTATTCCAACGGCAGCTTCCGATACGCCGTCATGTCATTCCAGAAGTAGGATCGAATGACAAAAGCGTAAGGGAGGCACTTCCAGTTGCTTGATTCCTCTCAGTGATGTGATCGCTCATGAATGCTGTCTCTGTTATTGATGTTGACTGGCGACCAGCACAACCTCATCCTCCGAGTACTCTGCCGGGAACCTGACTCTTCTGAGCTATGCTGCCATAGTAGGCCCGACTTTTCTGAGAGCCATAAGCAGCACTCGTTGCCTCATCTTGAAGACATTACCAGCTGGACTTTTCCAAATGATCGAGTCGCTGGTAGAATTGTAGATATAAGTGACGAATAACACCCCTGCCCCTGTTGTCGCTAGGGAGCAAAGCTACCCCACCCCCAATTGACATCTCCCCACCCCGCCCCCGCCTGTGCGAACCTCTTATTCTCCGTTCCGGTCCGGTCCGGTCCGACCCAAGAACAATCAATCACGGCAGCACGTCCGCAACCCCGGAATCATCGCCGCTCGGAGCTCGGCATCTTGGTTCCACATCGAATGGACGTTGGCGAGGTTCGAATTTCAAAGACCGGAAACAGGACCGACCAACAGATGGTTACCGAGTGCAGAGATACTTACCCGAAATCGGGGGCTGTCAAGTTTGATGCCTCGGTAGTTGGTGGTTGCGGATTGGTCAATGACTTGAAAGGCTCTGGCTCATGTTTTCGAACATCTTTCTGAGCTCGCCGAGGAAATGGCAGATCAAAAGTAGAATTCTCTTTGGTGATGGAAACCACCAAGTATGAGTCAAGCATCCGGAAATAAGAACACAGCACAGTCATGAATCTTGTACGTGCGCATTATCATACTCGAGTCGTGCCACCACACAGGAAGCAAACAAAACACCCCTCATCTTGTGTGTCATAACGCATTAAACGATGCTTCCCTGAGGAAGGAGGGGTCAAATCCGAGGCGAGCCTTCCTTTTTAGTAAAGGCCGTCCAATAGTATTGATTACCAATGGCAACGAGATCGCCATACCATGATTCCGTTTATCAGTATTCGTTCTGGTAGCACGTTTCCCAAGCAAGATCCGATGGAGCAATAAATGGAGTAACTCTTCCCACCACCTCCTCTTAGGTTCTTCTTCGTTTCCTTCCCCCATCTGTGCTCCTCACTCCACTGTGGCCCAACATAGTCCACGATGCCTCTTCCAACCTCCTCTGTCTACCCACCCCCGTCGGCCGAGTTCATGAAATGGCCGAGCCGAAGGAGTGTGGTTCACAACACCAAGGGCATCGTAGCTTGCACACAACCGCTTGCCGCCAAGTGCGGCATCGACATCCTCAATGCTGGAGGAAATGCTGCTGTGAGATTTATTGCCCCTTATCCTTTAGACCGATGATGAACAGCCTGCTAACCTATACACCAGGATGCCGCCGTGGCCGTTGGTACGCTTTAACCGTCTACAGCATGAACTCAAGATCAAGTGCTGCCTTACTAACTAACCATTTCTCAAATTTCCAGCCGCCGGCATGAACATGACAGAGCCTTGCTCGACCGGCATTGGTGGTGACATGTTCTGTCTCTACTACGATGCCTCGACTGGCAAGGTCTCGGCCCTGAACGGCTCCGGACGTGCTGGCGGCAAGTGTACGCTTGAGAACGTCCGGAAGAGCCTGGAGATTCCCGAGGGCACCGTGGGAAAGATCCCTATGAACAGCGTCCACGCCGTGACGGTGCCTGGTGCTGCCGCTGGCTGGGTCGATACCGTCGAGCGGTTCGGTAGTGGCAAGGTGACCATGGAGCAGGTTCTCGCACCGGCGATCGAGCTCGGTGAGAGGGGATTTCCTGTTTCGGAGATGACGGCTCACTTCGTAAGTTTCTTTAGGATTATCAAGTCCTACTTGATTACACTCGATCTGACAGGCTGTACAGTGGGGAAGGCAAGAAAAGGACATCCGCGATGCGTCTCCCAACTTCGCTGAGATGCTTAAGACCGATTCTTCTGCGCCCGACGGCGTCCGCGCCCCCAAGGCCGGCGAAATCATCAAGCTCCCCAACCTCGCCAAGACCTTCCGCACTCTGGCCACCGAAGGCAAGAAGGGCTTCTACAGCGGCCGTATTGCCGAGGAACTCGCAAAAGTCGTCAACGACCTCGGCGGCCATCTCGAGCTTGCCGACCTCCAACACCACCTCGAAACCGGTAGCGAGCCCGTCGAGCCCATCGCCCTCAAATTTCCCAACCCCCACGGCACCTCCGAAACCGACGGCGTCGAGCTCTGGGAACACCCTCCCAACGGCCAGGGTATCGTGGCCCTGATGGCCCTCGGCATCCTTAAGCACCTCATCAAGCAAGGCACGATCCCAGCCTTCGGCCCCTCTGACCACAACACCGCCCCCTACTTGCACGCCATCGTCGAAGCCCTCCGTATCTCCTTCGCCGACGCCTCCTGGTTCGTCACCGACCCCAACGTCGGCTCCGGGGTCCCGACCTCCGAGCTCATCTCAGCCCCCTACCTCGCCGAGCGCGCCAAACTCTTCTCCCCCTCCTCCGCCAACACCACCATTCTGCAACCGGGCGACCCGTACGCCTCTCCCGCGCTGACCTCCTCCGACACCGTCTACTTCGCCTGCTCCGACTCGCAGGGCAACGCCATTTCGTTTATTAACTCCAACTACGGCGGCTTCGGCACCTGCATCATTCCCGCGGGGTGCGGCTTCACGCTGCAGAACCGCGGCGCCAACTTTTCTCTGGACGCAAAGCACCCGAACGCTTTGGCGCCCAGGAAGAGGCCTTACCACACCATCATCCCGGGTCTGGTCACGAATTTGCAGGATAGCAGTTTGCACTCGGTCTTTGGCGTCATGGGCGGGTTCATGCAGCCGCAGGGACACGTGCAGACGCTGCTTGGGCAGGTGCTGTGCGGGTTGAATCCGCAGCAGGCGTTGGATGCGCCGAGAGTGTGTATTGGCGCGGGCATGCCGGATGAGGGCGACGTGTATGATGCGACGGTGTATGTGGAAGAGGGGATGCCCGAGGAGACGGCGGAGGGACTGAGGAAGCTGGGACATAAGGTGGAGGTGGTGAAGGGTATGGGACGGGCGTTGTTTGGAAGGGGACAGATTATTCGGTGGACGAAGGATGTCGATGGGACGGGGGTGTGGTCGGCGGGCAGTGATCCTAGGGGTGATGGTGCTGCCTACCCGGCGTAGGTTAGTGATTGTGATAACTCCGCTGAGGAGGAACGTGGTTATGACCGGCAAAGAGCAAGTTGTTAGAGCGAGACAAGAAACACGAACAGATTTGGATATCCCCAACACAAAATAAATGAATCCGACCACACTACAGTCTTCTTCCCTCCTGTTCCACCATCTCTCCTTGACATGTCCCAACATCAACAATCAACTCCCCTACTGCCTCCCCTTCATCAAGTTCTTCATCGTATTATACATCAACTCCGGCACCCCCTTGAACCCCCTCATCTCCAAATACCGCAACACTCCCGCCCTATACTCCTGCCAACTAATCTCCAACCCACCCTTCCCCGCCAGCGTCACCAGACTCTGCTGCGTAACCGGCCCTGCATGTCTCGCCCTCAATCCGCGATCACTGATATCCATCTCCCCCTCCAACTCCCGATCCTCCAACTCTCTCAAGAATGAAATACTCTGCAGACACAACACCGGGCTATGACTCAACCCAAACACCGAACCCAACACTAACTCTCCATCGGGCTCCACCTTCTTGAGATACCCCCTCAACGCTGCCTCCAGCGCCCGAGGGACGAGACATCCCTTGGCGTTGGCGTCGCTTACGGCGAACGCCCGGCCGCGCCAGAGGACGTTGCACAGATCCATCAGGAAGGCGTTGAAAGTGGTGATTTGCTGTCTCTCCTCCGCGAAAAGGGGCCGAGCGGACGGGGAGGTGGAAACCATGACGGATTCCCATGCGCGCTTGTAGGTGGCTAGGATGCCGCACAGGCGGGAGACGACTTCGAGCGAGTGCGAGAAGTGGAGGGTGTAGATGAGCAGGGAAGGGGGGATGGTGATGGGGATGTGTTTGAGCAAAGAGGGAGAGGAGAAGATGCGGGTGGAGACAAGGGTGTAGAAGTCCAGGATGAGAAGGTGGGTGGGAACCGTGGGCGAGGTTTGGGTGAGGGTTAGGGAGAGGGTGTTGACGTGGGCGATGAGAGTTGGGATAGATTGAGGGGCCGGAGAGGAGGAGAGGGTGGTTACGTCGGAGGAGAGCATGACGAGGGTCCACTGTCGGAGGAGGAAGGTGTAGAAGGTTAGGAGGGATAGTTGGGATTCGGGGGTGTTGTCGAGTAGAACGGATTCGAAGGGTTGGAGGAGGGTTTGGTAGAGGTCTGTGGTGCGTGGCGGGTTAGTTTGGTTGTCTAAGGCTGGAATGGATCGAAGAGCCAATATTCACCTTTGAAGTTCGTTAGTGGAAGGAAACTCAAAGTCTCTATGACTGTTTCCCTTTTGTCTTTGCCATTCCAGACTTGGAAAAACTCCCTGAAGAAGGTTTCGAGCAGAGGTGGTAGTGTCTGCTTTCGGTGTTAGTCAAAGCTAGTACTTGAACAATGCTCACTGATACGGACCTTTGTGCTGACAACGTAGTCGTGAACGATATCGACCATGTCAAGTAGCAGACTTGGATCGGCGTCCCCACCTCGAACATCGTCTAGACAGGCTGTTACCCAGCTGTTTACACGCGATAAACCTTCGGCATCTGGCCGTAGGAGCATGAGTTTCTGAAGAAGAGGGTCTGCCAAGACTGCCACCAGTTGTGTGGGAAGCTCAATCTTTTCCAGATTATCAGCCAGGGATTTCGGACTGTTGATCTCTTCTAGAGTAACAGAGTTCTGCAGGTTAATTAGTAATTTGGTTTACATGTAATAACGATAGTAAGGGGGAAGACGACACTCACTTCTTGAGCATGCAGGGTATGCACCACCGGAATAAATATGCCCTTTGCGCCCCTTTGTTGGCGCCCAAACGCAGACTTGACAGCAAAGCCATTCCTGACTGTGCTGTCTTGGATAGCTTCTGTTTGTTGCTGTTGGATCTCGTCTAACCTCGCTCGCCATTGCGGATCCGGGTGCTTGAAGGTAGCTGCGCGACCCTTGGCAGCATCGCCGACAATGATTTCCGGATAGTAGTTTTTGAACACCCGGAGAAGACCCGTCAAGTTCGGGTCGTTCCCCGTCTGCCTGGACAAGGCCAGAATGGTCTGTATCCTGAATGGCTTGACGTGTTTTCGTCGTGTGATCAGAGCCAATACATGGCATAACTGTGGCCTGATGGCGGCAGTGTCGAGGAGATTGAAGAGGACACCATAGGTCTGGGATAATATGCTGGTGTCTTGGAGCAAGTGATAGACCATGATCAGCCACCTGAGAAGGAGACTCTGAATCGGAAAAGAAGGCTTGAGCTGGCCATGGCCCAAAGCACCCACCACTTTCAGGGCGGAGTCGACGTTCAGCTTTCCCAGTGGATACAGGTTTTTGATGATGGCTCCCTTGGATGCCTGGTCGAGATGGTTGGTGAGAGTGACCAAGTCAACCAGACGGACGAGCTCATCGGGCAACGCACCCCTGTCGTAGAGCAGCGAGGTTAGGCTTTCGATAGTGGGTTTGATGCTGGTTTGCCGGCGTTTGGACGGCACTCTGGAGGCTGGAGGAGAATTAGTAAACCTGATGCTCAAATATAAAAAGTGAAGTGCGTACCTGCCTCGATGTCATCCAGAAGAGCGCCGAGATTGTCTTTGTCGCGGACATGATCATGATCACCGAGATTCGCACTGGTGTCGTTTGAGTTGTGGTTTTCTTCGACGGAAGACATTTTTGGACAAATCGGGTTGACGGATTGATGCAAAGAAGAAAAAATACTTCAATTCCCTTATCACAAAAGCACCATCCTCATGCCGTTGATTATTACGGTTTGTTGCGACATGTCTTTCGAGGCAGGTGCTACTACTACTGTACAATTAATTGGGAGACGCGTCGCGGCGCGCCCCACCACAAGGTACAATCGTCACCCAACCGACCTGGTGGTTGGATGTGGCTCGTGCGCTCGTCTCATATAACTCTTTTGCTGACATAATATTTATGCCACCTAGCTTTGCTTATGCACAGAGTTATGCGTCCTTTCGAGCAGGTGGTGTTTTCCCCAATTCGCTTTCAACAAAAGTCCAGCCAAATCGGGACCAAGTGATGTGATCAACACTACAATTGGGTTTTCTTCCTTAACTTTAAAGTGCCAGAAACAACATTGCTAACGACCAACGCACTGGATTGTCAGCAGTTTTTATCTCCACCATTTTTGCGGACTATTGGAGCCACCCGGACTGATCTGACAAGTCACGACGTTCACGCCTTCCTCAAATGTACCCGCCCAAGAGAACCATGTGGGACTCTTTCGCTTTTCGTGTTACACAAGGCATCCTTCGACCAGGGAAAGAGCGATTTTGCACACAAATCTCCTACAGCCCGTGGGGCACTTGCACATGACATGGGCAGAGGTTGAGCTCGGTTGCGGCGTTTGTTGATGTGGAAGGTGCCTTTTCCTCCACTCACCGGAAGGAGGTTTCTCTTGGGTAACTTTCTTCGTCATTACTCATCGTCTGTTGTCGGCACGTTGGCCTCATTCCATCACCAATCCCACCATGGACGGGAACGGGAAGCGAGGTCAACTCGGACCAAGAGAGCCCTACCTCTTCACAACCATGAGTTCCGACCTCCTGGCTGACTGTTCCTCCCGCCGGAAAAAGACGCCTCAGGGCCACCGATGATACGACACTACATGTGTTTCGAGACCGGCAGCATCATGTCTGTCTATCGATTTCATCAAACAGACCGTGGCTACTGTCACGATGCAGTAACGCCTTACACAGTGGGAGACAGCAACCCAATTCATATCACGAGCTCAACCATCAGTCAGCTTGCAGCAAGCATGCCAGGTTATCTATCTCCTAGGTTCCAGCAATGGGACTTTCAGCTGTAAGATCGTCATGCGGATCAAGCAACAAGTCGAAACACCAACGGGGATGAGCCGCTTACCGGGGCTTCCACCCCCGTTGTCCGGCCCCGGCTTGCCTAGTCTTGGAGCATGGACCTATGCTAGGGTACCTCTTCTGAAGCTATTGCTATTCCTTCAAGCCATGGGGGTCTAAAAAGGCGCTGCTTGCTATTCGTCTGTCTCCCCGACCTCATCAAATTTCGTCAACTACCTACCACCACACTAGCGTTTTGCCGTCACTTTGACCTATCGCCCTTGCGAATATTTCTAGATGCCTCACTGCAGCTTACCTACCTCTATTGTACGCAGTATACTGCAGAGCTACTCTTCAATTTGGCCCCCACTGTCACCCTTCCTTGTGTCTGGCCACTACCTCGCTTCCTGTGCAGGGAGGATCACTGGACATCACTCCTTGTCCTGGCGAAGCCGGATTTGACCTTCATGTACTCCGAACCTGTCTGAAGCTCAAAGTTCCTGTTAAGATTACCGTGAGAACGACAACCAGTTAGCTGGTTTTGCCGTCTTTGTACTATTGTCACGGAAGCGCCCGTTCCAACATGTCAGAGGCAGAAGAGGCAGCCTCTCAGCAGCATAAGAGCAAGCCGATGGGGCGATATCTTGCACTCAGAAACCAATCGAGCCCGGCCTCTTGCGCCCGCTGTCATCATCCAGCTCTTCTGGTGCGACTGAACGACAAGACGGATATGCTCTGTGCATACTGCATCAAGCGGTAGCCATTTGCCGCTGTCCTCGTGTCAGCATTCACCGGCTCAAGACCGCGCCCGTCAGACCTGACGAGGCATTCCGACTTCAGATAGACAGCCTTGCACGCAAATCATGAGAGCTACCATAGCAGCACAGCATCATCTCAACTTTGCCTCTTGACCGGTGCCGTTGTAGTCAGATATGGGTACGTACTATGCCCTCTGCCGTGTCACCGTTCCATTCAGCCAGGTTGCTATGGACTCGAAAAAGTTTGTCCCTCCTCCTTCAGTGTGGGTGGTCAGCGTTGGCGCCGGCTGCGCTTCAAGCCACCCCTTGTCGATGCTGTTGACTAGATTACGTAGTGTTCTTTACCCTTGAAGCCACCCCAGCACCGAGTTACAAACACCAAGAAGCTCGGTACCACAGCGCCCGTGCGAGCCCATCGTCAGGGGCTCAGGTTTTCAAACCGTTCTGAAATCCTACCAAATATTCTTCTCCCTTGCCCAGGCTTCTCGGTCTGTCTCAAGCTACGGAGCAATGAGCGAGATCTTAGAGCTGGTGAGAGCATCGAAGAACACTGGACCGGGTCTTTCTGTTGCCCCTGCAAGGCCTCGTGTGTCTCCTTCTAAACCATTCTTCCCACAATCTTGATGTGTCAAGTACTGTGGCATCACACGCCCTGATACAATATCAGCGCATTATTCTTTGTGTCACCCCAGTTGCTGCTCAGCGCACACCAGAGCTATATAGCCTGCTCGTCATCATCCAATGGGCTGTTGCCCTGCAAAAAGATGCCCCTGCAATTTTCTCGAGGTTCCTACAACTTGCCTCATCTTTTTTTTTCTCCCTCGTGTCTTTTTAGACGCGCGAATATCCGCAACGGCTTGGTCCATTCGCCCACTCGTGTGGAAGGTGGTAGCATGGTGTTACCATTACACATGCACCACCCGAGACATCCAAGCCAAGCAGCTCCCATATACACCTTTGCAATGGTAACAACTACTTCCCCCTATCTTGATAACCTACTGGAAGGCTTGGATGGTTGGACTGCTGACGTTGGTGGGATTATCTACCCAGTCAACCAAATCTTCTACAAAGAGGCGCTAGTGTTCCCTTAAAGTCCCATCATTCCCAATCCTGTTCGGTTTCTTTACTGGGTATCGCGCTTAAGCCTAGTCTCTTTCCATTTCCGGTATGAAATTCCAGCCCAACCGCGGTGTCAAACCAGGAAACACAAGGTGAAGCCTGTCCGTTCGCATTTGCCATTGCCGAATCTGCTTCCCGGTTCAAACCTAATCTATCGCCCCTATTCGTCCTTACGAGCTACTGATCCGACTCGAGTTTGAATCCGAGCGCTGCTAGACGCGAACCTTCTTATACATGCGTGTTACGAACCCATTGTAACTTTCACAAGGCTGTTTTCTACCTCTACCGAACGTTGTAGCTTGAATTGACCATGTGGTAAACCCCAACCGCTTAAGATTCTTCAAATTGCCTATACACATCCAAACCACCCGAATCAGTGTATAAAAACCAAAGAACGGTGAAGTGGCGTTGGTTTTATCGGAACATAGTCCTCAACGAGGTAAGTGTGTCAGTCATCAATGCCCTCAAATTAGTTCGTGACCGCGGTCAGTCCAACCGATCTTTTTCGCTAAGCATGTTGATACTACAGGCTCAAAATCATGAACCCGCAAAGGTTTTCGGACCAGGGACTCGCGAGCCATAACCATCTTGCACCCCCTGAGCTGTCTTCTGCGATTGAGGTCAGCAGTCAAACAGCAACTGTTATTCAAGACACGGCAGAATATTTCCCCCTTTCAAGGCTCCTCGATGACGGCGATATTCTATTGCTCCTAACCCCGGCAGTCGCTCCTGCTCATGCCCCATCCAACGCCAAAACCGACCATCTGACCAGTGACCCCTTTGAACCGCTCGGAAAGGCCTTAGCGAAAATACACCCGTGGGTTCGGCAGGTTCCTTACACGCCCAAAAACGGGATAACTGGGACTCACGCCGTGCACATTAAGCTAGCGAAATCCGTTGTCTTTGTTATCTCAGGTCCTCCCTGCTTTGGTCAAACTCCACAGGTCTCACTGGCTGAGACGGTACGATCGCTGTGTGAAAGTCGATCGCTAATATTGTTGGCATGCTGCAACGTTAGGTGGCTAGGCCCTCTAGAATGCTCATTTCCAACAGTCGTTCAGACTTCTGGCTTCAGTCCCTCAGAGCTCAAAGCCGCGGCCGATACCATGCTTGGGAGCGTCAAGCAGCCACATACAGCAGGAGGGCCAAACGTCCAGAATCTCATCTTAGCGCCAAAATCATGGCAAGTTGAGGCATGGAACGAGCATCGTGATGTCCCCCCTGCTTATGAGCTGTGGTGCCAGTGCTTTCCCGACAACTTTCGGCTTACTCGGTTTTTATTCCAATCCCTTCTCTGCCGCGATGGCTACGCGATGCACTACGTGGTTCGCGAGCCAGGGACCACCCAGCTACTGGGATTCTGTGCTACTTATACCACATACATTGGCAGCGACTCGGAAAGATTGGTTGGCTCTCTAGCCGCTCTGTTTGTTCGACCGTCCTATCGACAAAGGGGCATTGGGCTGAGTTTGCACGACCACGCTTTGCGCCAACTAAGAAAGACCCGCGGGGTCAGCCGTCTACAGCTCGGAAGCACATTTCCACGTTTGTTCTACGGAGTTCCAATGGACAACCCCTCGGAGGACTGGTTCTCTCGCCGCAACTGGCCCGTCAGGCCTCAGTCCAAGTCCATGCTACCGGGCGCTGGGCAGGAAACGTGCGACTGGTTGCTTGTGTTTGACGACTGGCCCACGACGGCAACGATGCATTCGGGACTAAAGTTTCGGCCATGTGAGTTTAGCGAGTACCACATGGTAATGGAAATAGTGGAGGGGGAGTCGAGGGAGAAGGACAACATGGGGTGGTACGACCAATACGCAAAACTGGAGGGCACCGTAAATATCGAGGATATCGTGCTGGGGCTTGAGGGACAAACTATTGTGGCGGTGGCCTTGACGTACGTCAAGAACACTGGAAGTCCAGTTTTTGAGGATCTACCGTGGGCCGGAATGATTTCAGACGATGTTGGCGGAGTCACATGTATCTGCATATCAGGTAAGTTCCGTTGTCAGTTGAAAGGCGAATTGTCCGATCTGTATGTATGGATGCTAACGATGGACATGATATTCCCAGATCAAAATCGTAGTGTGGCAAAAGGGAGAGATGCAATCATGCTGAGGCTTCTCGACAGTTGCGTCCACAGATTTGCCCAGCAAGGATTGAAAAAGATGTTCATTGACGCCATGAAAGGAGGTGATGAAGGTTTTCAATCCATGGGTCAGTAAAAAAAGACTCTATTCTTTTGAGACGATGATTTGCTAACGTCCTCTTTCTTAGGTTTCCAAAAGTGGGCGAGATACAGAGAAGTCTGGCGTGATGTTTAATCGACATCAGCTTGTGGCATAGGATACAGTCTTACGTCCATTCAACATGAGAAATCTAATATTTTCATGGATAATGGAAGTACCGAAATTTAACTAATGCCCAAGTCAAATGCAAACAACTGTCATCAAGGTCTTTGGAATATTATGTCCACGTTTCAGTAGAGGATGGGAAAACATGACAGTGAACTCTCCGAGCGCTATCCCGTATCACCTTTTTATACTCGACCGAGAGTCAGCTTTTCACCTTCCGGGTCTCGAAACAAATGATTCATTTGGGCCCAAGCGATCTTTCAGTCGAGCTCAACTCTAAATCCCCAGGAAAGAACAAACGGGAAGGATACTCGATATTGACACTGCTATGTATCAGGCTCGGAAGCAAATCCAAATCTTGATAGCAAAACTTTACGTGTATGAAGAGGGATTCAAGAAGTTTATGATCAATATATATGGAAAGAATGTGTCTAGACCGTGTCTTGATTTGTTCTGATGCTTCATTCCTATTTCTCCCCCAAGAGCTTCGAGGTCGTTTCCTATTATCATTACCGTTACGAACATGACACCCGTTTATCCACCCGCATTGTTACCAAAACAGAAATATTACATGCCAAGGCTTACACATGCAGTTCGTCATGGTGGTTTCCGTTTTGGGTTGTTATGCAGTGCTTCATTCGATCACGTTACTGCACGGAATAGAGTTGCACCTGTGTCGAACTGATTTGAACCTCATTACCTAATATGTGTAGGTCTAGAAGGCAGGAGCTTTTGATGTCGCAATGGCGACCTGTCGACCTGTTTGTCGATCACAAGTCTCAAGTCAATGGGGGAAGGAAGAAGGGAGGGAGCTTGGACCAATGGATTCCTGGCCTCCGAGAACCCTGTTAGAGCTTCCTCCCCTGCTGCCCTCCCGGCTAGCTTTGTTTGGTAACGTCCATCCAACCCCTCTTCTACACTCAACGACATCCCTCTTACCCTCGAATCATCACTTTGAACTTGTTCTTGTTGCTTTTTGGCTTACACCTAGAATCCGAATATCGACGGCAAGATAATCAAAAGCAATCGGATGGTGTTGTGGAATTGCGTTTCAGATCTGTACCTGTGTTAGCCCAGTCGTGGAACTTTGACTCGAGCTCAGCACCTGGCTCGTTCAAGCATTCAGCATCTCGGGATTCACACACAATCTACCAACCACCTCACGTTTATCGCCTCCGCACTTTGTCACGCATCCTGTCCGGCTTCATCACACTGGCAGCAGCAACAGCATCATCATCTCTCTCCTACATGTTTTGACCTCCTACCTTCCAACTACCTACACATCTCCAACTGTGTTTTGACATCTTGATTTATTGCCAACTTCCAAAATTACCGTATCCTTCATGTCATTTACACGAGACTCCACCACGCAGTATTTGAGGAGCTGAGCACAGGATCTTTCCCGTGTACGCGCGACATCGGCGTCCTACGCCCTCGTCTCATCTATCTTTTCTTCCTCTTCTGATTTCCGTCGCGACTCTTGGATCGATTATAGTTCGAACTGATGATCAATCCCATATCCTTCCGGCCGGGGCCGGTAACCTTCTGGACGACGCTCATCTACCTGGCCCTGCTGATACCCATCGTCATCATCAACGAGGAACCACCTGCCGCGCCCAAGACGGCCGAGCCCTTCAAGGGTGTCAACCTCACCGAGGCCTGGCTCGACCTCACCACCATCACCAGGGCGTACCACCCGTACAACAGCAAGTTCAACGAGGAGGTGCGCAGATATCTGCTGGAGAAGGTCGAGTCCATTTTGGAGGAGAATGGCGCTACCTGGGTGTTTGATGAGTGAGTACCTTAGTCTTGGCTTTTGAGATTCTATAACGGCTGAGTGGACCAGACACTAATGACATAACTGAATGATGATAGCCAAATGGCCGCCGCTGCAAAGGACGGCAAGTCTGCAGCAGTCACCGTCTTCGATGACAATGTGTCGAATTCCACTTTTGTGATGGGAAAGTCTAATGGAACTACCTTCACCCGTACGGAGTCGATTAATAACGCCGCTTACTTCGAGGGTACCAACATCCTGGTTTACATCCGCGGTAAGGAGGACGATGACGGTGATTGGTGGGAGGCCGACTACGTTCATGGAATGAGACGCAATGCGAAGGGGCTAACCTTGGTCAATGCCCATTACGATTCGTAAGTTCATTTTCACTGCCGTCCCCTGCGAGTTCCCAAAAAAACTGACATCTCATAGCGTCTCAACGGGCTTCGGCGCCACCGATGATGGCATGGGAGTCGTGACTTGCTTGCAAGTCCTCAAGTACTTCACCACCCCAGGAAACCAACCCCAGCGCGGCATCGTGGTCATGTTGAATAACGGCGAGGAAGATTGGCTCTACGGCGCCAGAGCCCTCGGTCAGCACAAGTTGAACCCATTCATCCATACGTTCCTGAACGTCGAAGGCGCCGGTGCTGGAGGCAGGGCAATAGTATTCCGTGCCACAGATCGAGAGGTCATGGCGGCATATGCTAGGACATCGCACCCTTTCGGTACGGTGATTGCATCCGATGCTTTTGGCATGGGCTTCATCTCTAGTGGTACCGACTACTCAGTGCTCGTCGATGCTTACGGCCAGCGTGGAATCGATTTGGCATTCTTCAAGCCCCGTGCGAGATATCACACCAACCAGGACGATACCCGGCATGCTTCCAAGGAGAGTCTCTGGCATATTCTATCAGCCTCTATCCACACGACCAAGCAGCTTTCCGGTGATACTGGCAACACGTTTATCGGTCAGAGGCCTGATAAAGCCCACGGCAAGGTTGCCAACGGCCGTCCCTCTAACGGAGTGTGGTTTGACCTCTTTGGCAAAAGCTTTGTGCTCTTTGGTCTGCGTGGCATGTTTGCCTGGTCGCTCACTCTTTTGATTGCGACTCCGCTGATCTTGGTCGGCATTACGTGGCTTCTTCGCAACCTCGACAAGGACTACTTCTTCACCTCCACGGTCAAGACTAAGGAGCATCCCGAATATGAAGCTGTTCCTATTGGTGGATGGAAGGGCTTCTTCCGGTACCCCTTTGCTTTGGG